AAAAACCGATTTTTCACTGTAGTCGGCACCATAAAAATACCTTCGGGTGAATAATTAAATTAGAAGGCCGGGTTCAGCCGCGATGTAAGGGTTGATTTTTTATGTAAGGGTATCAAGGGTGTCGAATGGGGTGGGTTAGAAAGCGGCTGAACCCGGCCGTGGGGGTGTAAATCGCGAAAAACCGATTTTTCACTGTGGTCGGCACCATAAAAATACCTTCGGGTGTATAATTAAATTAGAAGGCCGGGTTCAGCCGCGATGTAAGGGTTGATTTTTTATGTAAGGGTGTCAGGGGTGTCGAATGGGGTGGGTTAGAAAGCGGCTGAACCCGGCCGTGGGGGTGTAAATCGCGAAAAACCGATTTTTCACTGTGGTCGGCACCATAAAAATACCTTCGGGTGTATAATTAAATTAGAAGGCCGGGTTCAGCCGCGATGTAAGGGTTGATTTTTTATGTAAGGGTGTCAGGGGTGTCGAATGGGGTGGGTTAGAAAGCGGCTGAACCCGGCCGTGGGGGTGTAAATCGCGAAAAACCGATTTTTCACTGTGGTCGGCACCATAAAAATACCTTCGGGTGTATAATTAAATTAGAAGGCCGGGTTGAGCCGCGATGTAAGGGTTGATTTTTTATGTAAGGGTATCAAGGGTGTCGAATGGGGTGGGTTAGAAAGCGGCTGAACCCGGCCGTGGGGGTGTAAATCGCGAAAAACCGATTTTTCACTGTGGTCGGCACCATAAAAATACCTTCGGGTGTATAATTAAATTAGAAGGCCGGGTTCAGCCGCGATGTAAGGGTTGATTTTTTATGTAAGGGTGTCAGGGGTGTCGAATGGGGTGGGTTAGAAAGCGGCTGAACCCGGCCGTGGGGGTGTAAATCGCGAAAAACCGATTTTTCACTGTGGTCGGCACCATAAAAATACCTTCGGGTGTATAATTAAATTAGAAGGCCGGGTTCAGCCGCGATGTAAGGGTTGATTTTTTATGTAAGGGTGTCAGGGGTGTCGAATGGGGTGGGTTAGAAAGCGGCTGAACCCGGCCGTGGGGGTGTAAATCGCGAAAAACCGATTTTTCACTGTGGTCGGCACCATAAAAATACCTTCGGGTGTATAATTAAATTAGAAGGCCGGGTTGAGCCGCGATGTAAGGGTTGATTTTTTATGTAAGGGTATCAAGGGTGTCGAATGGGGTGGGTTAGAAAGCGGCTGAACCCGGCCGTGGGGGTGTAAATCGCGAAAAACCGATTTTTCACTGTGGTCGGCACCATAAAAATACCTTCGGGTGTATAATTAAATTAGAAGGCCGGGTTCAGCCGCGATGTAAGGGTTGATTTTTTATGTAAGGGTGTCAGGGGTGTCGAATGGGGTGGGTTAGAAAGCGGCTGAACCCGGCCGTGGGGGTGTAAATCGCGAAAAACCGATTTTTCACTGTGGTCGGCACCATAAAAATACCTTCGGGTGTATAATTAAATTAGAAGGCCGGGTTCAGCCACGATGTAAGGGTAGTTTTTTTATGTAAGGGTGTCAAGGGTATCGAACGGGGTGAGTTAGAAAGCGGCTGAACCCGGCCGTGGGGGTGTAAATCGCGAAAAACTGATATTCAGGTGTCTTCGGCACCATAAAAATACCTTCGGGTGAATAATTAAATTAGAAGGCCGGGTTCAGCCGCGATGTAAGGGTTGTTTTTTTATGTAAGGGTGTCAGGGGTGTCGAACGGGGTGAGTTAGAAAGCGGCTGAACCCGGCCGTGGGGGTGTAAATCGAGAAAAACCGATTTTTCACTGTAGTCGGCACCATAAAAATACCTTCGGGTGAATAATTAAATTAGAAGGCCGGGTTCAGCCGCGATGTAAGGGTTGATTTTTTATGTAAGGGTATCAAGGGTGTCGAATGGGGTGGGTTAGAAAGCGGCTGAAGCCGGCCGTGGGGGTGTAAATCGCGAAAAACCGATTTTTCACTGTGGTCGGCACCATAAAAATACCTTCGGGTGTATAATTAAATTAGAAGGCCGGGTTCAGCCGCGATGTAAGGGTGGTTTTTTTATGTAAGGGTGTCAAGGGTGTAATTTGGGGTGGGTTAGATAGCGGCTGAACCCGGCCGTGGGGGTGTAAATCGCGAAAAACCGATTTTTCACTGTGGTCGGCACCATAAAAATACCTTCGGGTGTATAATTAAATTAGAAGGCCGGGTTCAGCCGCGATGTAAGGGTTGATTTTTTATGTAAGGGTATCAAGGGTGTCGAATGGGGTGGGTTAGAAAGCGGCTGAACCCGGCCGTGGGGGTGTAAATCGCGAAAAACCGATTTTTCACTGTGGTCGGCACCATAAAAATACCTTCGGGTGTATAATTAAATTAGAAGGCCGGGTTCAGCCGCGATGTAAGGGTTGATTTTTTATGTAAGGGTGTCAGGGGTGTCGAATGGGGTGGGTTAGAAAGCGGCTGAACCCGGCCGTGGGGGTGTAAATCGCGAAAAACCGATTTTTCACTGTGGTCGGCACCATAAAAATACCTTCGGGTGTATAATTAAATTAGAAGGCCGGGTTCAGCCGCGATGTAAGGGTTGATTTTTTATGTAAGGGTGTCAGGGATGTCGAACGGGGTGAGTTAGAAAGCGGCTGAACCCGGCCGTGGGGGTGTAAATCGCGAAAAACTGATATTCAGGTAACTTCGGCACCATAAAAATACCTTCGGGTGTATAATTAAATTAGAAGGCCGGGTTCAGCCGCGATGTAAGGGTTGATTTTTTATGTAAGGGTATCAAGGGTGTCGAATGGGGTGGGTTAGAAAGCGGCTGAACCCGGCCGTGGGGGTGTAAATCGCGAAAAACCGATTTTTCACTGTGGTCGGCACCATAAAAATACCTTCGGGTGTATAATTAAATTAGAAGGCCGGGTTCAGCCGCGATGTAAGGGTGGTTTTTTTATGTAAGGGTGTCAAGGGTGTAATTTGGGGTGGGTTAGATAGCGGCTGAACCCGGCCGTGGGGGTGTAAATCGCGAAAAACCGATTTTTCACTGTGGTCGGCACCATAAAAATACCTTCGGGTGTATAATTAAATTAGAAGGCCGGGTTCAGCCGCGATGTAAGGGTTGATTTTTTATGTAAGGGTGTCAGGGGTGTCGAATGGGGTGGGTTAGAAAGCGGCTGAACCCGGCCGTGGGGGTGTAAATCGCGAAAAACCGATTTTTCACTGTGGTCGGCACCATAAAAATACCTTCGGGTGTATAATTAAATTAGAAGGCCGGGTTCAGCCGCGATGTAAGGGTTGATTTTTTATGTAAGGGTGTCAGGGGTGTCGAACGGGGTGAGTTAGAAAGCGGCTGAACCCGGCCGTGGGGGTGTAAATCGCGAAAAACTGATATTCAGGTAACTTCGGCACCATAAAAATACATTTGGGTGAATAATTAAATTAGAAGGCCGGGTTCAGCCGCGATGTATGGGTTGATTTTTTATGTAAGGGTGTCAGGGGTGTCGAACGGGGTGAGTTAGAAAGCGGCTGAACCCGGCCGTGGGGGTGTAAATCGAGAAAAACCGATTTTTCACTGTAGTCGGCACCATAAAAATACCTTCGGGTGAATAATTAAATTAGAAGGCCGGGTTCAGCCGCGATGTAAGGGTTGATTTTTTATGTAAGGGTATCAAGGGTGTCGAATGGGGTGGGTTAGAAAGCGGCTGAAGCCGGCCGTGGGGGTGTAAATCGCGAAAAACCGATTTTTCACTGTGGTCGGCACCATAAAAATACCTTCGGGTGTATAATTAAATTAGAAGGCCGGGTTCAGCCGCGATGTAAGGGTGGTTTTTTTATGTAAGGGTGTCAAGGGTGTAATTTGGGGTGGGTTAGATAGCGGCTGAACCCGGCCGTGAGGGTGTAAATCGCGAAAAATCCATATTTTATGTACTTCTAGAGATCTAATGCATAACGGGTTACTTATACTAGCCAAATGCATCCCCTAGAACGCAATCAGCATTCTTTTATAACCCTTTTTTAAGATAAAAAAAGTTGGCGATATCGCCAACTTCTCCACTTTTAAAAAAATGCCAAAAACTGTTGGCGATATCGCCAACTTCACTAACGTGTCCTCGGCTTTTCCAGCCAATTTGTATTTTTTTCCAATAGGCAGACAAAACAAAAGTCAACGAGCTTTTAAAATTCCAATGCGACTTTTTAGATTAATTAAACACAACATTTGGTAGCTTCAAATAGTTGTCAGTGTTTGCGAATCCTGCAATTGCGTGACTTCGCGATCCAGGCCAGTTTTCTTGCTCTGCTGACCTCATTTTACGGGTATTTTATTCCAAACAATTTATTTAATTAAATTTTAACTGGCGAGAGTTTGAAACAAAAAAACGGTGTTTGGCAGATTTTAATGGAATAAAATTTTTGCTTTGGAAATAGGATATCAATACGTGTGAGTGATCATTTCCACTTTGCCTAATTAACAGAGACGCAAAGTAGCAAATGATCAAAAAGAGTTTTTATTATGAGATTTTCACATGGTTTTGCTGGAACTGCGAGAATGAATGGAATACCAAAATATTGAGTTTAAATTAGGAAATTCAATTTTAAATGGCTCACAAAAAATAAAAACTCAATTGAAACTTAAACGCAACTTTAGGTGGAATTCAGAAGATCAAAATTTGGTAAAGATCGATTTAACTTTTTACCAACTTGAATTTCAGGACTTGCAAGAGTTATTTGTGCAAATTCTTCCAAAATTTTATTTCCATTTCCAAAAAGAAACGATGGTAAAATTTGAGTGCTGAAATTCGACTAAATTAAAAGTTTGTGTAAAATGTTTCTTCTTTTGCTTGATATTATTCACTTTAGGAATCATTTCTTTAGCTGTGAGAGTAAAAAAGTTTGTCAACTCGGGAAAATATCGCAAAATCTGCAGATTTTCATTATCGTTGTTTCGTGAAAAAAATTACTAGCTCTAATTTTCATCTGCATGTTTTTGAAAAATTCATTGCTGGCAAAGTAAAAATTGGTTAGTTAAACATTGCAGGCAAAATTCGCAAAAGCCAAGGTTGAAAATGGAGATCGGAAGTTGGATTTGGATTTTCGCCCTCTGCACTTTTTCCGCTTTTGCCCAGACTTGGGACGTGGAAACGAGGCAGGTGAGAGTTTGGCTAAAACGCAAAATTCATTTTCTTGAATTCAATTAATTTCGAGCGACCAAATCTGTTTGAAGTTAAAATCGGAGTTAAAATAAAACTATGAGAAAATCAACTTTAAAATTTGCCAACATTTTGTAACATGTCCTGACAACGTATTAACAAGTTTTCAACTTTTCGATATTGAAACTATTTGAAGGCAAAATTATGTCCAACGGTTTGAATTGAAATAAAATATTATAATCAATTTCTTAACCTTAACGACTTTAATTTTGGCAAGTTACGGTTAATCTGTTAGAAGAAATAGAATTATGATTAATTAAAGTAAAATAAAAAATTAAAATAACTTTTATTTTTCACAGGAAATTAACTTGACTGACTGCTGGAATTATGGAAAAAATCGATCAATTTTTGAGGCTCCAGGTATGAAAGTTTCAATTCAACATCATTAATTTTTTTAAATCAAGGTAAATGCTTTCAAAACCTTCAAATAATATCAGGCTCAAAATTTATTATTGAATCTCCGGATGTGGAGCATAAATTTTTGAGTTCACTCAACTTGCAATTTTCAATTTTTTTAAGTCCCCATTATTTCTGTTGGAAAAAGGACGGAAAATTCGGTTTTAAACGCAACTTTAAAAACGATCACACATTTTTCAATTTCTTTTTATTCGAAAATAATTAAGACCAAATATTCTGTACAAGATTTTCCAGAAAATTTTTTTTATAAGCCTTTGACTAGGTAAAAATTCAAAATTCCAACTGGATAATCTCAAAATTTTGATTTTAAAGAAAAACTTGAGAGTGATCTCTGAGAATAAATTTTTTTCATTAATCATCTTTTATAATATCGAGTCGACATTTTACTCTTTGTAAAAATTCGCATGTAAATAATTGTGTATAAAACTGGATCGCTCGGCTTTCAAGTCTTGCTTTCCAGTCACAAAAGCACCGGCCGAAATCTCCGCTTCAAGTTGGCTGGACTTGTTACTTCTTTCCGATAATTATACTTCATTCAAAAATAAAAATTATCAATAATTGCTTTTCAGGCGTTCAAAATTTCAATGACTGCGGCCGATGGAACCAAAGTGGAATCGCTCCGTGGATTGTTTGGCTCAGCACGGGTGGTTTTTTGAATTATGGAGTTCTTGTATCAGACGAAACAATCATCTCTTGTAAGTATTGATTGGAGAATTATTGTTTTGCAAGTTTTCAAAAATTAATTAAATTAATGATTTTTGATTCCTCAATAGACGGTTTGCTCCCTTTATACGACGCGCATAAAGAAGGGAAAGAAATTCAAATTTATGGAGGCAAATGTGAAGACGAAAATGATAAACAAAAATGCTTCCAGAAAAGAGGTTTATTGCAGAATAAAAAGGTGAATTTCCTTTTTTTCCACCTTTTCACAAACTTTTTCAAATTTTAATTTTATTTTTAATTTCCCAAAAGACGATTTTCTACTCAAGATAAAAATAATTCAATGTTTCTCAATCTGGTTGCCATGAATTTAAGTGATTTAAAAATTATATTTCCTGAAATTTACGTTAGCTAAAAATGTATATTCAATGGCACAATTTTTAAATTTAAAAACGGGATAATAATAAAACATAAAGGATACTTTTGAATACTCAAAATTTATACGCGATGGTTTCAGGTTTTGAACGTAAAGAAGGTGGAATTGAAGCACGGCAGATTTTATTACTATATGATCTTAGTTTGGCAAATTGAAAAATTGGATTTTACACCGAATTTGCAGCCTGCCTGTTTGTGGAATTGGGACAACACGAACGACGAACTCGAAAATTTTTATGGTTACGATCAATGGCATGTACGTATGATTAACATTTTTGCCTTTTACAATTTTAGAGGGCGCGATTAGATAATTTTTTTGCAGCTTCACTTCTATTCAGATTTTTGCATCGACGTTAGTTTTTTTATGAACAAAATTGAATTTTGAAATTGTAGAAAAAAATTTACGGGTTGTGCAATTTTTTTCACTAGATTTGAATAAATGGTGGAAAAATGATGTCAATAAATTTGACTGGAAAAAATCCGTCAAAATAATTCCATAAATTTGCCGCGATGATGGGAGTTTTTACGAATTCCGTCTTGTTTTCTTTGATATTTTTGAAAGAGAAACGTTTTTTTTTATCATTTATTTCTATTTATGGAGAAATTAACATTTATTGGAAAAACGATTCTAGAGCGAGATTTCAACATTTTCAAGATTCGAAAATAGCTATGAATTCATCTACACATGCAATTGTTTCATTAACTAGCAAAATTTTCAACGTAATTAAAAATTCAAAGAAAACTCATCTCATAAATAGCCAAAGCTGAATAATTGGAAATATTTTTTAATTTTCAACAGACCGAAAAATTGTTTTTCCATTTCGTCCCATGGAAATTCTGCACACGTATTCATGATACACGGCCTGGTTGCTTTACCGGAACCTTGTTTCACATGCAGGGGTAGGGGGTGGTCCATTGTTCCACGCATGTCGTGACACTCGGCCACTGAGCGCCACGACAGAGAGATTTCTGCTTTCTTTCTCTCTGCCGTATTCCCTTAGACTCGGGGTCGCGGTAATTAATAAAAGCACGGGTGGTTACTTTTAAATGTAGGATTAAATCTATTGTAATTTAAACTGGCAAGTACAACTTGGCGATCGGAATAAACTGCGAGGCGCAATTAAAGTTAACTGGGATACAAATAATGGACACAGCAATACCCCCCAATTATGAAGCGCGCGGCGCACACACGGGTGTCTTTGCCGGCCGGTGGCTCGCGAGCGTCTCCTCCTTCTCTTGCGGGCGGGTTGCTGCTGCTGCGTGCTGTCGTTCAGGGTGCCACCTTCAGGGCGCGAAAAGTAATTGCTCTGTGAGGGAACCCAAAAGGCGGCAATGGCACATTTAAAATTTAAACCTTTATTCAAAGGTTGTGGACAGTAGTTCCACAACAACGCAACACTTTGAAGGCGCGCGCGAATATCCAAAAGCGCAGTTCTGTTCACGAATTTTCCAATTATTAATTTTTTCGTTCCTCAATTTATAATTATAAAAGATCGTTTTCTTTCCACAATTAAAATTAATTCAAATTTTGTTCCAATCGTTAGGATAAAATGAGAAAAGTAGATTTCCTACCGGAGCAAACGTGTTATGGTGAGAAAAAGATTGAAAAATGGATCTGCGACCTCTACGGGAATACAATCTGCACATCAAGAGGCGGTAAGTAAAATTGAACCCGCGGAATATGTTATAAATTGTCGCCACAAAATTTGTGATTGGTTGACGATTTGCGACTTTTCGTTTCTTCTGCCTCTGCTCTTCAAAATTAATTTTGAGAGAATTAAGGTTTGAGCGCAGAAATTAAATTCGGTCTCGCAATCTACGATTTGCGTTCAAATTTTGCAAAACATATTTTGAAGAAAACACCGACCAAAAATAAGTTCGCCTGGAGCGCCTTTTCCTTTCAATCGTCAAGCCCTAGAACGACCTCAGCCACGCTAATTGAGACGGAAAATTTACAGGTTTTTTTAATAAAATATTTTTTTAGTAGAAAATAAAGAATCCAGCCAACTTTCTGCGGAGGTATAGGCTGGTGCTCAAATGTGACTCCAAAGCAAGGCAAAGCCAAAAGCATTTCAGTGCTTGCGATTGTTCTTCTTTTTATGGTTTTGGTTCCCTTTGGTTCTCTTTTGATTTCGAGCGTTTTAGCGACCTTTGATAGTTGTGATGCCCTTTCTGCTCATTTTTAAAGATTCTTATTTTTTTTTAATTACTTTAGAAGAATAAACAATATACATAAAATTCCGTTTACAAAATTTCAAAGGCATATTGGAAATTTTTTTAATTAAAATGTTTAATATTTTGTCAAGAAAGGCGGCAAATGTGGATAATTTGATTGAGGGGGATAGAAATTATATTTTGAGAGCTTTAAAAATAAAGAATTTCAAAAAACGAACCCAAAATTGGGGGACGTACGTGCTCCATTTTTTAGCAGCTCCCAACTGTTTGCTTATTTTGTTTCAGACGATTGGTCACGATATTTATTTATTGAGCGCGAAAAACGATTTTATCTACGCGCATTGGTGGCCATCCATTCTGAGTCCACTTTAACATGGTTCGATTTGTTGCCGTTTTTGAATGAAATCACTTCAGCGTCCGTCGATTTGGCTTCAATGCCAAAAATCCCCAAAGCAAAATCCAAAAAAGGTTTTAATTTAATTTCCATTTTGATTATTGCAAATTTCAAGGTTTCCAGATTTTGGCCCAAACCAGAGTTTTGCAAACTGCGGACGACGATCGGGCGAAAGGCGCAGAAAAAGAGAAGCCGGAAAGGCGCTTGCGTTGGTCACAAATGGCAAGAACGCGGTCAGAGGTCAACACCCTTGGCACGCGAGTCTTTCCAGAAAAATGCAAACAGGACGTAATGCAGATTCTTGCGGCGCGACCCTCATTTCAAAAAAGGTCCTCGTCACAGGTCAGAATTGTATTATTTTTAGAAAAATCGCTCTTTTCTCATAACTGAACTTGACAAATTTCTAAAATCTAAACACGATTTTTAGCGGCGCATTGTCTCTTTGACGACGATGGAAGTTCTTTGAATGCGAGACACGTGGACGTGGCCCTAGGAATGCACAACCGATCGAATTTGCAAGAAAATCGACAGAAGTTTACGGTAAAAAATAAAAATCAGAATTTCTGACTGAATCAATCTAAAACTTAAAAACTGCTCAGAGAGTTTTTTACTGGAAATTAGCCTCGATAAAAAGTTTTTCTCACAGAACTGACAATTATTTTTTTCTGACGGGAAAGAATTGATATGCGTTTTTTTTTTAATTAAATAAAAAATTCCTTTTATGTGCATTTTAATTTATTGCATAGTTTAAAATATTTTGGTGATGCTGAGCATTGATTAAAATCAAATTTTCCTTTTATTTCTCAATTTCTAGGTCGACTCTCTTTTAACAACGAGAAATTCATTAGTTTTGTTTCTTCAATTAAATTCATGAAAAAGACAAAGTTGAAAATGGGAAAAAATGAATCACAAAGCTGAGATGAGGTCTTCTTAAACTCTAAACGCACCACAAGAAACACACTATCGATTAAAACTCACGCAAGGATTAATTAATTATTGCAAATTGTTTGTTTAGGCTGCAAGTCTGGTGATTCATCCTGGCTACGACCACAGCAAGGTTGATTTCAAGGATGACATTGCCCTGGTCATCTTGGCAGAAGAGGTCAATTTCAATGATTTTGTGCGGCCCATTTGCCTCTGGAACGACGACTACGATTTGAACAAAATCGCCAACAAATCCGTCACGGTAAGTTTTTTTTTTTAATTTAAATTTTGCATTAAATTATGAAAAAATTAAAAAGGTGGTCGGCTGGGGCTTCACTGTGGACCATGAACAGCCACAAATTCTGCAAAAGGGGATTCTGAAAATCGTTTCGTACCAGGATTGCTATGAAAGCAACAATATGAAGAAAAAGTTTTTTTCCAAATACATGCGACCGACGGAGAACTTTTGCGCCGGAATTCCTCAAACGCGTGTGAATATAATTTCATTAGGGGGAAAAAAAGTAAAAAATTTGTTAATTTAGAGACAAGTGCTTGCAAAGGGGACAGTGGCGGAGGATTGACTTTCTACGATCGTGATGACACCGAACGCCACTTTTTGCGCGGCGTAGTCAGCATGGGTTCTGTCAAGAAATTGCCCTACGGTTTCGTCACGTGCAACCCCAAGTTCTTCGCCCTCTACACCGACGTCACCAATTACATGGACTGGATCGTCCAAAACGCCCCTGACATTAATATTTAGATTTTTTTTAATACAAATGACATTTTTGCAGTTAGTAATTTCATTGCCGGGAAATATTTCTTTTTAAACGAATTATTAAATTTTGGTCCAAATTGAGTTAAAAAAATGAAAAAAATCACCCCAAATGTTTGATGCGAACATACTATGTAAAAGGATTTTCATTAATCATCATTAAATTACTGTATTTTTTGTAAATCAATCATCAGTGTATACTGAGAAATTTCCTTGTTTTCTTTTTCTAGCTGTAAGAAATTCATTAATAAAAATTAAGAAAAATCTACTTCCAGAATAACATTCTTTGCAAAATTGTGAGAAATAATTACATGAAATATTTTCAGTTGCGGTTCTGGCGAGATCAAGCTGTTGTTGGGGTGGAGAGCACGCCATTTTTAAAGGTTAAAAACTGTATATAATTGTTAAATTATTAGAGACGAATGCTTGCATTGGGGACAGCGGCGGAGGATTGACTTTCTACGACCGTGATGACACCGAACGCCACTTTTTGCGCGGCGTCGTCAGTGCCAGTCCAGGAAAGAGGATAACTCCGAATTTCCGATCGTGCGACCCCGCCCACTACGCCCTCTACACCGACGTCACCAATTACATGGATTGGATCGTCCAAAACTCCCCCGACATAAATCCTTAGTTTTGTTAAATATTTTAGTCAACAATAATTATTAAAAAAGCAGCTATTGTAAATAAAATATTTATTCCTTAATCAAAAAAATTGTATGTTTAAAAAAAAAATTCACTGTCATAAACTATAGTTGAGAGGAATCGTATAAAAATTATAATTTGCTAACAATGAAAGAGACCAACGTGTGGGAGTTGTCGGGCCTGAAGGAGGGCGACATCATGGAGGACGCGCCGAGGTCGCGCAACGTGGTCAGCGACCCGGAAACCCTGTGGAAAGACGCCACCATCCCCTACATCCTCGAGCCCATGTTCAGTGAGTTGCGAACGAGACCTGCAGGGTAGGCAGCCTGCTCGACGCGTCCGTCCAGCGGCGCAGTATCCACTCGAATCAAGGCTGTTTTTATTGTTTAAAATTACTCTCGTCACGGAAATAAGATTCGTATTTAAATCTTTTTGCCAACTTTTTTCATCATTGTAAAAAAATTTACATAAATTTAATTGGAATGAAATTGAGAGAAAAAAAAGAAAATAAACCGGGATGATTTTTTTAAATCTATAGAAAAGGATATTTGAAAACAAAAAAACTTTTGGTACTATTTCATCTTAAACTCGGAGGAACAAATAAATTTCATTAAAATTAGGAGCCAAGAGTGTCTGTTTAAAAAAACTGACTTTAAAAACTCTAAATCAAAAGGCATCTTGAAAATAATTTTCTACCGGATTCTGAGACAAAAATTTTATTCTTCAAACGTTGGATGCTCTGGAAATGAAGTTTCAACCAATTTATTTTGAATTTAAGAAAAAGAAGAGTTTTGAAATGACGAGCAAGTGTTTTTCGGTTTCAGACGACGCGGAGAGGAAGACGATCCGCGAGGGGATGGACATGATCGAGAAGGGGTCGTGCTTCAAGTTCCGGCCGTTCCAGATCGGCGACCTGGACTTTGTGTACGTGCAGGGCGGGCCGACCGGGTGCTGGTCGTACGTGGGGCGGCAGGGCGGCGGCCAGGTCGTCAACCTGCAGAGGAGCGGCTGCGTCCACAAGGGCGTCGTCGCCCACGAGCTGCTCCACGCCTCCGGCTTCTTCCACCAGCAGAGCGCCGCCGACAGCGACGACTTCGTCTTCGTCAACTTCACCAACATCCAAGCAGGTCAATTTGTCTTCTAAAAAGCAACATTTTTGCAAGAAAAAACAACGGTATATATCTAGTATATTCCAGACTATAATTTTTGGGTTGGCACTACTGCATATATACTGGCTGGTTGCTACCGGTTTTTACCGGTTTATTTGGGCGGTTTTTCTTATCACTATTGGTTGATAGTGGGCGTTTTTCCTACAGCTGATTGTCTTCCACCCTACACTTTTATTGTCGAGTTACAGTGCGTTTTTGTGTTTTTTTCTCCTCCTGCTCCTGCTGACGTCCCCTTTCCGTCCATGCGTCACACACACGGAAAAAATTCAAAAAAGGTCACAGGTCAGCTGGGGTCAATGACCCTTTGTGACCTGGTCACCATGTGTGATATATCGTTTGAAAGAACAAGTCAAGGCAATCATTTTTTGTCATCATACATTTGTTCCTAACTCTAACAGGAACATTTTTATCGAGGTTAATATTGATATTTTCACACTAAGAATGATCAGAAAACCACGTATTTTGCCGTTTGATCCGAAATTTCTCAAAAACTGAAAATTTTAAGATCACCAATTTTCGACATGTTCTTTATTACTAGCAAGAGCAGCTTTTGGCTAGTTTGGAATCAAAAAAACTTATTGTCTTGATACTTTGGTAACAATTTTAATAATTCAGCTAAAAATAGTGACCTTCAGAGTTGACCTTTGACCTTGGTTATTTTTGCAAAGTTGAAGAACGTTTAATTTCCTACAATTTTGCTTTCATAAACTTTCGCGCTATGTTTAACGGGAGATGAGATATTTTCGATTTTGGAAAACACCTTTTTTTGAAAGTCTGCCTTCAACCCCTGTAAAATAGGCAATTTTGAGAATTTTCAAAAATTCTTTTGCTAAATTCCGTCCAATTCGGTTGACCATAGCCAAAAGTTTTGCCGTATGAAAAAAAGTGCTCATTTTTTTTAAGTGGCATGAAAGTGAAAATAAAAGTTTTGGTTTTGAGGTCGCGAGAGCAACTTTGACAAGTACAACGAGTCGATCGTGTCCGACTTTGGCGTCGGCTACGACTACAACAGCGTCATGCACTACAGCCGCAAGGCCTTCTCCAAGAACGGCGAGGACACGCTGGTGCCGCTTGTGAGTTCTCGCTTTTCCAAAAGAAAAACCCTGAATAAAAAAATTCCCACTTGAAATCAGATCAAAATTGATTTTTCATTACTTTGAATTCGCAGCAAGACGGCGCCGAGATCGGCAACCGACACTTTGTCACCGACAAGGACATGGCCAAGCTCAAGGCCAAGTACGGCTGCGGCGAGCAGGGCGGCCAAGGGGCCACCGAGGCCCCCAACTCGTACGGCAACATGATGCTCGAGGCCGGCAACCAACTTCTCGCCCTCCTCGTCCCGCCCGCATAAATTTCTTGTATTTTAATCAAATCGGTGTCACGTTAATTGTTCTTCGGTAGATTTAGAATTTTTGTAAAATATATCCAAGCAATGTCACATTTCATAGTTTTAATATTTGTCCATCTTTTAGGACATTTAATTTTAATTCGATAAAATTTTAACAATGGAAAGTTTGCAGATTTTTTAATAAACTGGAGTTTGAAACACGAAAAACAATCTCTTGAAATAATTCCTACGCTGAAATGATTTTTATCTTAATTCTTTTCACATTACGCAAGTTTAATTTTGAATGGAAACTTTGGTCAGCCGAACCGAAATCGATTCACACTCCAGGAGGAGTTTTTCAGGGTGAAATCTCGACAATTATCTGCTTTCCAGGAAGTTCAATAACACGCCTCTTTATTGCTAATACGCTTCGTTGCTCAGTTTTCGTCAAAGTCATAATCGGAAGAATTTAATAAAGTTCACCTGTTGCCTTTGAGGTATGCAACCGGCAGCACAGGTTTGGCATTTTATTAAAAAAGAGATAAAAAGAGGCGTTTCATACAAATTTGCAGGAAATAAAAATAATTCTCAATGAGAAAAATTTCAACTTCATTCTTCATAAACTTGGTATATTTCGGACTTGGATTGGTTTCTTTTCATGCGATTTCAGGGCAAGAAATAAAATTATTAATGCTAAAATTTTAAATTGATTTTGCAGATCTGGGACCGGAGACCAGATGTTTAATTTCGTGATTCACACACGCATCTGTGCGAGTTTTTTGTTTTGATTGCAGGATTTGCACGTGTGTTGGCCAAATAACGTGTGAAAAAAATTCATTCGCTCCCAGCAGCGATCTGCACCAGCAAACGGACGCAACAGAAAGTGTCAAGTTCATGTCAGAATGAGAAAACCAAAACTCTTGAGTTGTTTTTCTGAAACTCTAATATTCTGCCCAATTAATTTTGGAATTAAACCGGTCATTTTATAATTCCGTTTAAACAAAAAACTCTCTAAAATGTATATTCAGCTATTTATTTTTTAATTTAATTTTGGTGATTGATTTTATGCAAAATTGTTTCATTCAAAATGTATTGTACGAATTGGGACAAAATTCATTTGTTGCTTGAAAGAAATTAAATTACGAGTATATGAAGGAAAAATATACCAGTTTGGCTCTCGCTTAGCAACAGATAAATTGCGTCTGCTTTGATTTCGGCGCGATCAATCTGAGACGGCGGATGCTGCGAAGGTCAAAGTTTATCACCGATGCCCCCTGCCAACTGACGAAACCCGCACAATCTGCCGATTTTCCTCAACAACCGCCAAAACATTTAATATAAAAAATATTAATTTTAATCTTTTCCTTAAAAAATTTGGTCTTTTAATTGCAGCATAAAATTTGATATAATGAAAATTTTGTGGAACTTCTTAACGTTGACAAAGGTTGAATTTGTTTTTTTATTAAGCCAGCAAAAGCGGAAGCAAAATTAAAATAAAAAAGCAGAAGAGGAATTGTCAAGCTTCTTCACAGCACGTTTTAATTTCATTTGTTATGTTTCAGCAAAATGAAAACTTTTTCTCAAATATTTATTTTTAAATGCGTGCATTTTTTTGCACATAACAATTGAACAAAAGTCGTTGTTTAGAGATATTTCATTTATTTAATATGAAAATAACTCGACTTTACTTTTTGCTTTACAACAAATAAATTTTTGCCTCGGTCGCTCGATTTCCGATGCTGTGAGGGTTTATCAATTCCGATTCCTTCCAACTGGAAAGTCCCGCAATCTACACAAATTTTCCTCAACATCCGCCCCTCAACTCAAAATCTTGGAGCTAAAGAATAATTTTCACAAGAGCATTTTAATTTAATAATAATTTTTGATCACTAAAACCTTATCAATTGAATATTTTGCTATCTTAAACATTTCAATTTGAAAGACAAATTTTACAATTGATTTTTCAATATGGTTGACTTGATAAAATTTATGATTTTAAATTTTAATTCAATTTAGCGAATCAAGCGTCCAAGTTGTTTTAATCATGGTCCAAAATTTTTCTTTCCACGTCTTCTTGTCATATTGTTGTTTATTCTACTCAAGTCATACATGAAAAAAAAATTGATTTGGAAAAAGTGAGCAGAAAGGGTATCACAACTAGCAGAGGTCTGCTAAAACGCCCGACATCAAAAAGAGATCGGCCACCGCGTGAACCCACAGTCTTGCGTTCTTTTTTTTTAATATAATAAAAATAAACAGTAATTTTCAAACTATTGGCAAATCTATAAAAGCAAAATATACAAGGCCAAGAAGAATTTTTCCACGTTGTTAAATTAATATAAAAAAGAAATCAATTTCCTAAATTTTATTCAGAAATTTGATTCAAAAGAACTGAATTTGTTTCATAGAAAAAAACGGCAAAAACTATTCGTGTCTTACAATGAAATACACAATTATGAAAGAAGTGAAAAATCTTCCTGGAAACTGCTCCTTTTGAAATTTTAATCCTCGACTTCAAGTAAAATGTCGTTAAGAAAATTTTCCCTTAAGATGAATTTCATACGAGGACGCGCTAAAACTGCCGATCGAAATACAACATGGGTCGATAATTTTTTCAATGATAACCACCTGTCCATAGGTCACCCCCATGTGGTTAAAAAAAAATCCCAAAAATTTTTTCGAATTTTTAGAATTTTTTTATTCAAAAAACTCAAAATTTGAGTTTTTAATTTTTCTATGAGAGATAAAAACTTCTAAACAATTTTTCTAGACTAATTTTGCAACGCCCGACAACTTTTCAATGCTGACCAAACGTGTACAAACACGTTTAAGGTCACTTTCAGACAAATTTTGACTTTGACTGAAATTTTCAAAATGAACGCACCCTTGGATTTTTTTGCAGGTATAGGAAAAAATGTAGCCCATCTAATTTTGAATCGATATGGTGATTTTCAAAAATATATTATTATTAGTTTTTCTTTAATTAAAAAGTGAATAAATAAAAATATTATATTTTGGGTTTCCTGGTGAGGAGTGAAATTTCGGAAGTTACTTCGATCGTCTGATTAATTCTCGCGCTAAAAATTAACTTAAAAACTGCTTAAAAACTGAACTTATCTAGACGTATTTTTAGTTTTCCAACAATTTTTCAATAGTGACCAAACGTGTACCTACACGTTCAAGGTCACTTTTAGACAAATTTTGACTTTGACTTAAATTTTCAAAATGAAAGCCCTCTTCGATTTATTCGGTGGTAAAGGAAAAATTGTAGCCCATCTAATTTTAAATCGGTATGGTAATTTTCAAATGTATATTATTTCTTGTTAAAATTATTTTAAAATTAAAGTAAACCAACTCCGACCATGAGCGTATTTTCAGCGCTTGAAACGCACAAAATCTAATGTTTTTATTTGTTCGCCTTTTAATTAAAGTAAAACTAAAAATAACATATTTTTGAAAATCACCATATCAATTCAAAATTAGTAGGGCTACATTTTTCCCTTCACCTGCAAAAAAATCCAAGGAGGCGTTCATTTTGAAAATTTCAGTCAAAGTCAAAATTTGTCTGAAAGTGACCTTAAACGTGTTTGTACACGTTTGGTCAGCATTGAAAAGTTGTTGGGCGTTGCAAAATTAGTCTAGAAAAGTTGTTTAGAAGTTTTTATCTCTCATAGAAAAATTAAAAACTCACATTTTGAGTTTTTTGAAAAAAAAATTCTAAAAATTCGAAAAAATTTTTGGGATTTTTTTTTAACCACGTGGGGGTGACCTATGGACAGGTGGTTATCATTGAAAAAATTATCGACCCATGTTGTATTTCGATCGGCAGTTTTAGCGCGTCCTCGTATGAAATTCATCTTAATTGACTTTAAGTCTCAATGATTTTTTTTCTTCGAATTCAAATTTTTCAAGTAATTACCCTAATTTCATGGAATTATTTCAACAAGATCAATTTTGGACGTGGTTATAATGCCCAGTGACCGCCTCTATTTTTGTGCCTCTATATTATTAATAATGTGTTATCGCGCGTATCAATAGTCCGAAAGTGAGCATAGTCCGGCCACTCAAAGTGCATCCTTCCATATTTGCTGTACACATATTGGTGCCTATTTGCATTATTATGAGAGAAAGGCTAAAGCGGCTCGCGACCGATCGAGGACTCTCGCTCGAGTTGCTCGAGAACAATAAAAGTTTACTTTACTTTTCAAGTGCCTTGTTTCCCTTCCAAAATCATTACAACGTACAACAATCCCCCCCCCCCCCCCGTGCAAGAATCTAGTGAGGCAGCAGCAATTTCAGTGATTAATTTTTTTCCAAAAGTGATAATTAGCTAACGGCCGACCTCTTTTGAGACCCCGCGTTTTAGCAGCTTGTTTGCCAGAGTTGTTGCCGTTTCTTCACATTTCGTAATTTTCCTTTCCATGACTTGATTTGTGAAGAATAAACAATAATGACAATAAGAAGAAAAATGCTAGTGAAATAAATCATTTCACAGATCCTGAATGAAAATGAAAAGAACCATTTTTTGTTTTTGAATAAAAATAATTTTGTTCAACGAGGACAGGCCCCGTTTTATCTTTCCTCTCCACTCGGTTTGTTCTTCAAAATTCTGTGCACAAATTTTTGGTTCCCCTGAAAACGAAATCAATTCTAACCTTTTAAAACTCAATAAAAATTAATAAGAAAAATAGGGAATTCATAATTCAGCTGAAGAGAATTAATTTATTTCGGCGCGACCACGTGATTCAAACCAAGAGAGTTTTTATCAATTGGCTCAAACAAAAGCAAGTGGCTTGGGAGGGCACTCGGCATTCGCTCTTCGCTTCTCAATCGCGATCATCGCCACGGCTCGTCCATCACAAAACCATTCTCAAGTAAGATTTTTGTCCAATCCTTATTGCAAATTGAAATTTTACTTTTCCGTATTTTAATTTTGGCAATTATTCCAGCTTCAAATTTTATTCAAAATAGTAAAATGCAGATCTAAACTATTTGATATCTACAAATAGTTGTTAGTGTCTTGAGCCGTGGAATTGCGCGAAATCGCGATAAATTATCTCGCTCTGTTTGCCCTATTTTTCCAAGTTTTAATCGAGTATTTTTATTTTTTGTGACTCGAAAAGTCATTTAAAATTAATTTCTTGATTTTAGAAGTCAAAATTTTTGGATGTATTCCATTCTTTAAAGCCACAGTTTTAGTGAAACCAACGTAAAAATCTATTAATAAAAACACCATTTGATAATTCCTCACTTTGCGTCTCTGTTTTCTAGGCAAAGTGAAATTAATAACTCACGTTCTGATAATCCTATTTCCAAAGCAAAAATTGTCTTCATATCTTTTCCGATGGTAAAATTTCAGAGCTCATGAAATTCGAGAAGGATTAAATTAAAAGTTGGTGTGAAATGTTTATATTTTTGCTTAAAATTATTCACTTTAGGGAACATTTCTTAAAAGCTGTGAGAGTAAAAAAGTTTGTCAACTCGGGAAAATATCGCAAAATCTGCAGATTTTCAGTATCGTTGTTTGGCGAAAAAAAATTACTCTCTAATTTTCGTCTGAAGGTTTTTGCAAATTTCATTCCTGGCAAGGTAAAAATTGGTTAGTTAAACATTGCAGGCAAAATTCGCAAAAGCCAAGGTTGAAAATGGAGATCGGAAGTTGGATTTGGATTTTCGCCCTCTGCACTTTTTCCGCTTTTGCCCAGACTTGGGACGTGGAAACGAGGCAGGTGAGAGTTTGGCTAAAACGCAAAATTCATTTCCTTGTATTCAATTAATTTCGAGCGACTGGATCAGTTTGAAGTTAAAATTGGAGTTTAAATACAATTATGAAAAAATCAACTTTAAAATTTGTCAACATTTTGTAACATGTCCTGACAACGTAATAACAAGTTTTCTACTTTTCAATATTGAAACTATTTGAAGGCAAAATTATTTTCAACGGTTTGAATTGAAATAAAATATTATTTCAATTTCTCAACCTTTACGACTTTAATTTTGGCAAATTTCGGTAAATCTGTTAGAAGAAATAGAATTTTGATTAATAAAAGTAAAATTAAAAATTAAAATTACTTTCATTTTTCACAGAAAATTAACTCGATCGCCTGCTGGAATTATGGAAAAAATCGATCTATTATTGAAGCTCCAGGTTAGAAAGTTTCAATTCAATATCATTATTTTTTTTTTAAATCAAAAATGCTTTCACAACCTTTAAATAATATCAGGCTCAAAATTTATTATTGCATCTCCGGATCTGGAACATAAATTTTTGAGTTCACTCAACTTGCAATTTTCAATTTTCTAAAGTCCCCATTATTAATGTCGGAAAAAGGACGGAAAATTCGGTTTTAAACGCAACTTTAAAAACGATCACACATTTTTCAATTTCTTTTTATTCGAAAATAATTTAAGGCATCAAATATTCTGAATATTCTGTAAAAGGTTTTCCAGAAAAGTTTTTTTTATAAGCCTTTGACTAGGTTAAAACTCAAAATTCCAACTGGATAATCTCAAAATTTTGATTTTAGAGAAAAACAAAGTCTCTGGGAATAAAATTTTTTCACTAATCATCGTCAATATTCAATCAATTTAATTAAGGACTCCTTATTGCAATGCTAAGAGTACCAAGGAGGTTTTTTTTGATCGCACATATGCCCAATGTTATTTTTTTGCCCCATGAACCCTCAAATTTTTTTCTGCTAATCTGTTTAGGGTCATTCGCTTATCATTTTGTGAAATTTTGAGCAAAAAATTTCGGCCAGTTTTTTTTTAATCACCAAAAACAAAAATTTCCATAAGACGCAATGTAAAAATTCAAAAAATCATATTTCAAGAATAATCGGCGCTACCCCCCATTTTTCTTTGTGCAATCAACTCTACTGATAGGTAGGAATCTATAAAAAAATCTGGGTCCAAAAATTTCGGGCCGATTTGCCGCAAACAGGAGTTGTAGATGTCAATAATAAGCAGGCCTTAAAACAATCTGTTGAATTTCATATTAAAATATGGTTTTTGTCACTTTTTTAATATCGAGTTGAAATTTAACTCTTTGTAAAAATTCGCATGTAAAACAATGCGTATAGAACTGGATTGCTCGGCTTTCAAGTCTTGCTTTCCAGTCACATAAGCACCGGCCGAAATCTCCGCTTCAAGTTGGCTGGACTTGTTACTTCTTTTCGATAATTATACTTCTTTCAAAAAAAAAATTCTCAATAATTGGTTTTCAGGCGTTCAAAATTTCAATGACTGCGGCCGATGGAACCAAAGTCGAGGAAACCCTCCGTGGGATTGGGATGTTTTCCTCAGAACGAAAGATGGCGATTGGGATTATGGAGTTTTGTTATCAGACAAAACAATCATCTTTTGTAAGTATTGATTAGAGAATCGTTGTTTTGCAAGTTTTCAAAAATTAACACCAAAAGATTTTTGATTCCTCAATTAGTCGATTGGTACTCTTTATACAGAGCGCATAAAGAAGGGAAAGAAATCAAAATTTATGCCGGCAAATGTGAAGACAAAAATGATGAACAGAAATGCTTTGGGAAAAGAGGTTTATTGCAGAATAAAAAGGTATATATCCTTTTTTCGCCGCCTTTTTTTCCACAAACTTGTAAATTTTAGTTTTTCGATTTTCCATAAGACGATTTTCTGCTCTAGATGAAATTTATTCAATGTTGGTGATTTGAATTTAAAATTCGGCTTTTCCTCGATTGGTTGTTGTGAGTTTTTATTGTTTCAAAAAACAATATCCTGCTCTACATGTTTCGGCTGCGGGCTGCAGCCATAATTCATGAGCTGTGAAAAACAGTTTGACAGCTGTTTTTCACAGCTCATGAATTATGGCTGCAGCCCGCAGCCGAAACATGTAGAGCAGGATTTTGTTTTTATGAAACAATAAAAACTTACAAAAACCCCCCTGTCAACATGGTCGGTGTATTCCTACACGGTGTAGCGCTACCCCTCTTTTACACGCGTGTAGAAGACGTTTAAAAGAGGTATAGCTCTAGCGCGCTAGGCCTGCACGCATAATATGCGGTTTTTACACCTTAAAGATATGCGTATAATATTCGTACAGTAAATACGTGCTCTAAATATTTCATTCAAATCAAATTAAAATGCTTATTTCTTTTAATTAAACTGTTTTATGTAACCGGGTAGCACAAATAATGAAACCAAAAATAATTTTTTAGTCCTTTTTAAAATTGATTGTTTTAAATTTCAATTCAGCAGGTCAAAAAATTTCAACCACATTAATCAATCACAAATATTAGTTTTCTCAATAATTATAATAATACCTCTATAAATGTTAATAGTAGTTAAGATACTTTTGGAGAGAAATTCCTGTTTTAGATCTTGTTTTAGCTATATTTGGATTTTTTAAGACATTTCCTAGACTTAAAATTATAAGCAATCTTAATTTATTGTTTTTAAAATTTTAATTCAAGTGAAAACTGGTTTAAATATTTAACCTAAAACAAAACGGCATGTATGCAATTTCGTATACATTGCTGCATTTAGGTTGCATACTTTTAGGGTGCTTTGAGACATCATAAAATACACCCTCCTGTAAAAATATCAGTTAGGTTTCCAGGGGGTGCTGCTATCGTTTAAATATTTTTAGGTTAGTTACACAGATGGCAGTTTTTAGTTTAGGAAATAATGTGGCCCAACCGTGCCCAACAACAAGAGAAAAATCTGCTGCTCCTTTTGTTGCGAGGGGGTTCATTGAAGCGCATGTATGTGTAGGGGGAGGAAAAAGGTTATTGTGCTAGAGAGAAATCTCCAAGTGACAAACAACTTGGCTCGCGCATTTCAAGATTTTCAAGTGTGCCACCGCCAGCTACTAGAAATAAAAACACAAAGCATTTAATTATAAATTAAATTGTATGTCTGTATGAATTTTGAAAAATTTTCTCAGCTGAAGATATTTATAAAATAATTTACAAACTTTGGCAAAAAAAAGTATGTAAATATTTTTAGCAAAATATCGTTAATTTTTCGCGTTCTTTGTAAAAATCCTGCACCTATTAAATTTAATGAGTTTTTATTGGATCTCAAACGGGGCGGCAGAAAAGGACTCGGTTCCGAAGCCAGCAGTGCTGGGAGGTTTCCGAGCTCGGAGCGGCTCGGTCAGGCTCGCTGCTGTACAATTCAGCTGCGTTTGCGCTCTTCTTTCGTTTCGGAACTTAGACAAATCTTCCTTTTCGTGGCGGGAATTAGCTTCCAGACCAAAAAATAATAAATACGTGCGAAGGAAAAATTTATTTTTTTTTTTTTTAGGATAGAAATGTTTATTCCAGATCCAAATACGTTTTGTTATAGCTACATAAAAATTGCATGAAAAATTATAGAATTTTTCTCCGTAATTTAAATATTTCAACTTTGTATTTTGTGATTTAAAAATGTCTTACAAAATTTAAATAATTAAAAAAAATATCTAATGAAATAATGCGATTTCAGAAAGAACTGCACGTTGAAAAAACAGGGATCAAAATATTTAATATATTGTTGAAGTTTAAAAAATTGATAAATTTACAGTCATTAAAATGTTTAATTATAAACATTTGTAATTTAAAAATTTAGTATTTGTATTTTTAAGAACTAAATACTCATCCTACAAAAAATATGCCGAGGAAGAAATCAAAAGCATTAACAAAAAGTCTTAAATAAAGCAAAAATCAAGTCATTATTCCCATTAGCAACATTTCTACGAAAAAATGAAATCCATTATCAAAACGAAGCCTTCAATCTCTCTGCACACTAGCAGCAAGGTATGAGGCGTCTTCAGGAGACACGCAAAACACGCACTCTGCAGAGTTTTTTGTTGCTTCGGTTTAATTATCTCGGTTAATATTGCAATGAGAAATTAGATGTATGAAAATTTTATCAGAAAATGAGTCTGTGCACAATTATCCTCGATAAAATTTTGTGCTTCTGTAAATTGAAAGGAGATGTGGCACATTTTGTAATATATTTGTGAATTAAATGCATTAAATAACTGAAAAAATTCTTGAAATTTGAAGGCCTGCTTCCTCAACTAATGGGCAAAAAGTTCTGAATCGCTCATGGCGCCAGTGTTAATAGAAACTGAGATAACAAATTTAAAAGGTGGAAAAACGTGATGATTCTTTTAAATTATCGAGTGAAACTGCAATGCTCCCAACAATCGGACAGACTTCATTTCAACATATTTTAGCTAGAAATTTTGTGGGCCATTGCAAGAAAGTATTTTGGAATGGAAATTTGACCTGGGTCACACCTGTGCCCTGATGACCCCAAAAACAGAATTATTTAAATTTAGCATCTTTGGAAGCGCCTTCTTTCAAGGATTCCAGCGGCGTCGACAAAATTAAATTCCGATTTCTAGAAGTAAAGTTATTGAATTTAAACGATTTAGATTTTTTAAGTGGCGCAGACTGTTTTTACTGTTATGCTGCGAGACAGGCGCGCGCGAGAGAGAGCACAATGTGTCTCCCTCCATTGACAGGGTATTATTATTATTATTGTACATACATTTCACAGGTGCTTTTCATTCTCTTTCTCTCAAGCTGCTCTTGAACTATTTTTTATATTGGTCAATATGCATAATTTGATTAAAAATCATGGTTTTTCCCTCACCGCCTATTTAAAAATTTCCATAATTTAAAAGTCACATTTTTCGGTCTCAAAAAAAAAACATACTCGCGCCGTATTGACAGCGCTACTCATTTAGCTTATTAGAGCCGCGATTTAGTAAATGACTCCGCACTTAGGGCGATTGATTTCCTTTCTTCTTCCCCTCAAATTTTAAAATTTATGAAAGGGCTGGAACTATATTATGAAAATGATTTCAGATTTAGGATCGGCAAAAAATTGGAGCTCAACAAACTTTGATTGACATTTGTAGCATGATCTGCTCATATTATTACTGTCGTTTATATCATAAAATAAGTTTCAATTTTTATTAAATTTTGAAATGAATTTCTCTCTATTAATTTTTTATTCTCCTTATTTCTTAATTTTTTTAATTTAATTCAACCCTCGCACGGGTATTTATTAAAAAAAAATTGCTAATCCTTCTAAGGACTTATTGTTGCTTATTTAATTTAGTAACGGCACCACGCCTAAGCAAAGGAATTTAATAAATTTTAGTAAAATAATATAACGAAGAAAATAAAAATTAATAATGAATGATAATAATTATTTAAAAAATTCTTAAAAATTATTTTACTATAATCTGATTGCTAGAACAGAATTCAAAATTTCTTATAAAAACAAATTGTTTTTGCCGATTCCATTCCTGAAATCATTTTTCAAAAATTCCAGTCCATTCATAATTTCAAATTTTATTCGAAAAGCAGGGGAAGTCAAGCGTTCGAGGAGCAAAATAATTTTTTACTCATTCGCGGCGCTAATAGTGCCAAATGAGCAGCACGGTCAGGCGCCAGCCAGAACCGGTCAGCAGCGCGTTGAGACCCACTGACTAAAATAAAGGTGCCAGGTGTGTACATATATGTAAAGTGTAATGCAAAGTGTAATGTATTGTGCAAAAGGTTTAGACATTGACTTTAAATGGTACAAATAAAATAAGCACAGTTTTGTTTTTAGCACTTTACTCCCAAAGAATTTAAAATAAAAATAGAAAAAATAAATCAATTTAATAAATAAAGTAAAAAAAAATGAATAATATAGAAACAGCGAGCGAGCAAGCAGGCGACCAAACTCTCGTGAAATATGTTCTTGTTTGTTTCGCAGAAAAAGCATCAGTCGTTGAAAAATACCCTTTGAAATCTCTCCCTCCTCGCTCGCAGGCCGATCGTTTGCTCCGCTTGCTCACGGCCACCGTGTCCTACAATGGGGATGTAAAATTTTGGAGTTGCTGTATGACAGAGGGGGTGGAAAAGGTTCTTCCTGGCAGTTGCCAAGTGGTCAACTATAGCAAAAACACACAGAGCAGCGCATCACGCAGCAGCCGCAGCACAAACAAACCAACAACACACTTGTGAGGACGTTCAAGAAAATCACTGCGTGTTTTTCGAGCTCATCAAATGGAATTTTAATCTCAAAGGTAATTGATACTTTTCTTTCTACAAATATATCTGCCTTTATTTACTTTATTGAAATCTCAAGATTCAGATATAGCCTTTACAGACTCGTTTCTGTATGTTAAATAATTATGTTTTCTCTTTATTATGTAATTTAATTCAAATTCGATGCATTCAATTTTGCTTATGATTAAATTTCAGTTTTAGGCTTTAAGTTTTACTGTTTATTTTTGAGGCGAAACTGTTGAGTTTTGAATTATTATTGAATATTTTCAAAATTAATTAAAAAAAAATATTTTTGAATAAAGCATCGCGCGTAGCTTTCAATAGTAAATTATTTATTTTTGATTTGTTAACTTTTTTCATATTTAAATTTTTGCATCAAATCAATATATTTTCCAATATTCACAAAATCTAATTCCAAAAAGTAACCAATTCGGCACTTAATTAGCTAATAACAATTTTATTCTTGAATTTATTAAAAATGTGCCTCGTTCAACTCCGGCACACCAGCGCATCCCCTCGATGGCGGAGATTCCTTAAACTTTTTCAAGCATCCTACCTACCCTATGCTCCGCCCTCGCAGTATTGCCTACCCTGACTTCTAACTTGCTGCTGCTCTATTTTTGAGCGTCGGCAAAAACAGTGCGGCAAATAGCTTTAGAATTTACGAGTATAATTAAAAGAGAAAAAGAAAAGTAGACTAAAACAGTTGTAATATGAATATAACTTTTATATTATGTTATTTGAAAAAAATATAAGGAATAAATTATCTGACAAAAATGGCCTTCAACTAATCTTTTAAAATGTTTTCAGATCAAGAAATATGGACGATTAGCTGCGTAAGCGTTACCATTATTCTCGTCAGAGCTAAATGGACACCCAATATATCTGAGGTAAAAGAATATTAAAAATGTCAATAAACACATTAGCAATATAAATAACTATTAATTGTGGATTGCGGTTTAGTAAATCTAATTTCTGTTAATTTAGTGCAAAGAAAATGTTGAAATTTAAAAAATAAAAATAAAGTTATTTGTGAATTTGATATGAGTAAATTTAAAAGTGATGAATGGAGAGAGAAAAAGGGAATTTCTTAATTAATTACTTTTAACTATACTCAAATTAAATGAAAGCTCCGCAATGAAACACGGATTAAAAAAAATAATAATATATTGATAATATTCAAATTTTGCACTCTTTAATAAGATTTCTTTCATTGTAGAGAAGCAGCAAGATTACAATGGTGATGCCACTGAAATAGACATACTTGCCAACAGCCAGTCAGCGCCGAAGCAGAGCAGAAAAATGAAGACGGGGCAATAAGAAGAGATACAAATCTGAAAACTCTATAACGAAGACAATTTTGAAAATTATTGTATTGACTTCCATAATTTAAGTGATGTTCAATCAGATATTATTTGAACCTCCAAAGTGAGCACGCTATTCAAGAAAAAATTGTCATGATCTGGCCTAGCTGTCGCTTTTTTTAATGACGCTTGAGCTTCTTTTGAACTAATTTTAATATTTTTAATTTTCCCTTCAAAAAAGAGAGGAAGGAATGATATACCATTCATTAAATGTGTGCTGTTGGTTTTGTCTAATTTACGAACTCATTTTTTGGGGGGCTTAAATTAAATAGTGTATTCCATTATTATGCAGTCTTCCACTTAGTTATTTGTAGGTAATGTAATACTTAAAACAAAATCTTTTAATACAAAAATGTTGTATTTAGTACTGCTTTAGTTACTAAAAATAAAAATAGTATCGTACCTGATTTAGTGGGGATAATTTAAGAAATCTCTGTACTTTTTTGCATGGAGTTAATAAGAAATCTTATGCTAAAAATATCTCAAATTTATGTTGCAAAAATTTTAATTTACCATCTAACTCTTTAATTTGTTCTTCGATGTATTTTGTTCTTTAATGGTATGGATTATGGAACTGTTTATGTTAAATTACTTTCTGTGTTAATACTTGGAAATTTTTGTGATATATGGAATTTACGTGAGAGCTATTGAAATAAAACGAATATTGCTAGAAATTTGACTTTCAATGATAATTACGAAAATACCTGCTGAAATAATTAATAGAAATATAAAAAGAACGCGAAAATATAAAGAGGTATAAAAGCCGCATAAAAAGCGTTTAGCGTACACGGTGTAGGCCTATGCGCATATTACACGTATATTAGGCGGACATTTTAGACGTTTAATATACGTCTATACACCATCTAGGCTATACCAGAATTATACGTATAATATACGTATAATATGCCGAAAATACACGACTCTTGCGCACAGGGCCTCGAGGAAAAGCTGAACTTTAAATTCAAATCACCATGAATCAACCCTCGATCGTGAACTTCTACTTCAAAATTAATTCAATGTTCCTCAATCTGATCTGAGCGTGTAAATTTAATTTAAACCTATTTGGCCATTAATTACGTGATTTATAAATCTTATTTCCTGATATTAACGTTAGCTATAAATGTGTATTCAATGGCACAATTTTTAAATTTAAAAACGGAATAAAAATATAGCATAAAAGACTCTTTGCAAAATTCAAAATCAATACGCGATGGTTTTAGATTTTGAACATAAAGATGGTGGAATTGAAGTACGGCAGATTTTATTCCGAGATGATCTTCGTTTGCCAAATTGAAAAATTGGAATTGACATCGAATTTGCAGCCTGCTTGTTTATGGAATTGGGGCAACACGAACGACGAACACGAAAATTATTATGCTTCCTATTTGCATGTTGTACGTATGTTTGACTTTTGCCTTTTCCATTTTTTGAGGGCGCGATTAGAGAATTTTTTTGCAGCTTTATTTCTATTCAGACTTTTGCATCGACGTTAGTTTTTTTATGAACAAAATTGAATTTTGAAATTGTAGAAAAAAATGTACGGGTTGCGCTATTTTTTTTTTTTAACTAGATTTGAATAAATGGTGGAAAAATGATGTCAATAAATTTGACTGGAAAAGATCCATCAAAATAATTCCATAAATTTGCCGTGATGATGGAAGTTTTTGCGAAATCTGCCTTGTTTTCTTTGATATTTTTGAAAGAGAAACGTTTTTTTTTATCATTTATTTCTATTTATGGAGAAATTAACATTTATTGGAAAAACGATTCTAGAGCGAGATTTCAACATTTTCAAGATTCGAAAATAGCTATGAATTCATCTACACATGCAATTGTTTCATTCACTAGCAAAATTTTCAACGTAATTACAAATTCAAAGAAAAACTCATCTCATAAATAGCCAAAGCTGAATAATTGGAAATATTTTTTAATTTTCAACAGACCGAAAAATTGTTTTTCCATTTCGTCCCATGGAAATTCTGCACACGTATTTATGAACATGGCCTGTTGTTGTACCGGAACCTTGTTTCACAGGGGTAGGGGGTGGTCCATTGTTCCACGCGTCACTTTGATGGCGCGCGCGAATTTTCAAAACCGACGACAGCAGGATCGATTGTTCTATTCACGAATTTCCAATTATTAATTTTTTCTAGTTACTTGATTTTTAATTATAAAACATCGTTTTATTTCCACAATTTTGTCTCCATCGGCAGAATAGAATAAGAAAATCATATTTCCTGCCGGAGCAAAGGTGTTATGGTGAGGAAAGGATTGAAAAAAGGGAATGCGACCTCTACGGGAATTCAATCTGCACATCAAGAAACGGTTAGTAAAATTGAATCTGTGGAATATGTTATAAATTCTCAATGACGCCACAAAAGTTTTGATTGGTTAGTGACTGGCGTCGTTTCATTTTGTCTGCCTCTGCGCTTCACAATTAATTTTGAGAGAATTTAGGTTTGAGCGCTGAAAATTTTGGTCGCGACCTCAGCCACCTGCCCTCGAGCAATCTCCCCACGCTAATTGAGACGGAAAATTTAAAGGTTTTTTTTTTTAAATAAAATAATTGTTTTAGTAGAAAATAAAGAATCCAGCCAACTTCCTGCGGAATTATAGGCTGGTGCGCATATGTGACTGCAATGCAAGGCAAAGCCAAAAGCATTTCAGTGCTTGCGATTGTTCTTCTTTTTATGGTTTTGGTTCCCTTTGGTTCTCTTTTGATTTCGGGCGTTTTAGCGACCTTTGATAGTTGTGATGCCCTTTCTGCTCATTTTTAAAGATTCTTTTTTTATTTTAATTACTTTAGAAGCATTTTGAAGAATAAACGATATACATAAAATTCCGTTTGCAAAATTTCAAAGGCATATTGTTGGAAATTTATTATTAAAATGTTTAATATTTTGTCAAGAAAGGCGGCAAATGTGGGTAATTTGATTGAGAGGATAGAAATTATATTTTGAGAGCTTTAAAATAAAGAATTTAAAAAAACGTACCCAAAATTTGGAAAAGTGCTCCATTTTTTAGCAGCTTCCAACTGTTTGCTTATTTTGTTTCAGATTGGTCACCACATTTATTTATTGAGCGTGAAAAACGATTTTATCTACGTGCATTGAGGGCCGCCCCTTCGCGTGGAACTACAGCATGGGTGGACTTGTTGCCGTTCTTGAATGAAATCACTTCAGCGTCCGTCGATTTGGCTTCGATGCCAAAAATACCCAAAACAAAATCCAAAATAGGTTTCAATTTAATTTCCATTTTGATTATTGCAAATTTCAAGGTTTCCAGATTTTGGCCCAAACCAGAGTTTTGCAAACTGCGGACGACGATCGGGCGAACGTCGCCGAAAAAGAGAAGCCGGAAAGGCCCTTCCGTTGGTCACAAATGGCGAGAACGCGGTCAGGGGTGACCATCCTTGGCACGCGAGTGTGTCCATTAAAACGGAAACAGGGCGTAAGGCAGATTCTTGCGGCGCGACACTCATTTCCAAAAAAGTCCTCGTCACCGGTCAGAATTTTATTATTTTTAGAAAAATTGCTTTTTTCTCATAACTGAACTTGACAAATTTCTAAAATCAAAACACGATTTTAGCGGCGCATTGTCTCTTTGACGACGATGGAAGTTCTTTGAATGCGAGACACGTGGACGTGACCCTAGGAATGCACAACCGATCGAATTTGCAAGAAAATCGACAGAAGTTGACGGTAAAAAATAAAAATCAGAATTGCCGACTGAATCAATCTAAAACTTAAAAACTGCTCAGAGAGTTTTTTTACGGGAAATTAGAGAACTGTCAATTATTTTTTTCTGATGGGAAAGAATTGAAATGCGTTTGTTTTTTAATTAAATAAAAAATTCCTTTGGTGTGCATTTTAATTTATTGCATAGTTTAAAATATTTTGGATGATGCTGAGCATTGATTAAAATCAAATTTTCCTTTTATTTCTCAATTTCTAGGTCGACTCTCTTTTAACAACGAGAAATTCATTAGTTTTGTTTCTTCAATTAAATTCATGAAAAAGACAAAGTTGAAAATGGGAAAAAATGAATCACAAAGCTGACGACGAGGTCTTCTTAAACTCTAAACGCACCACAAGAAACACACTATCGATTAAAACTCACGCAAAGATTGATTAATTATTGCAAATTGTTTGTTTAGGCTGCAAGTCTGGTGATTCATCCTGGCTACGACCACAGCAAGGTTGATTTCAAGGATGACATTGCCCTGGTCATCTTGGCAGAAGAGGTCAATTTCAATGATTTTGTGCGGCCCATTTGCCTCTGGAACGACGACTACGATTTGAACAAAATCGCCAACAAATCCGTCACGGTGTTTTTTTTTTTTTTGTAATTTAAAATTTGCATTAAATTATGAAATAATTAAAAAGTTGGTCGGCTGGGGCTTCACTGTGGACCATGAACAGCCACAAATTCTGCAAAAGGGGATTCTGAAAATCGTTTCGTACCAGAATTGCTATGAAAGCAACAATATGAAGAAAAGGTTTTTTTCCTTATACATGCGACCGACGGAAAACTTCTGTGCAGGAATTCCTCAAACCGGTGAGCTTTTGGCTTCATTAAAGGGAAAAAATGGTAAAAAATTGTTGATTTAGAGACGAATGCTTGCGTCGGAGACAGCGGCGGAGGATTGACCTTTTACGATCGTGATGACACCGAACGCCACTTTTTGCGCGGCGTAGTCAGCATGGGTTCTGTCAAGGAATTGCCCGACGGTTTCGTCACGTGCAACCCCAAGTTCTACGCCCTCTACACCGACGTCACCAACTACATGGACTGGATCGTCCGAAACTCCCCCGACATAAATGTTTAGATTTTTTTTAAAATACAAATGTCATTATGCAGTTAGTAATTTGATTGCTGGGAAATATTTCTTTTTAAACGAGTTATTAAATTTTGGTCCAAATTGAGTTAATGTTTGATGCGAAAAATGCGAAAATGTAAAAGGATTTTCATTAATTATCAATGAATTACATTTTTTGTAAATCAGTCATCAGTGTATAATGAAAAATTTCCTTGTTTTCTTTTTCAAGCTGTAAGAAATTCAATAATAAAAATTAAGAAAAATCTACTTCCAGAATAACATTCTTGCAAAATTGTGAGAAATAATTACATTAAATATTTTCATTTTCCATCCATACGTGTATGAAATTGTAATAGGAAAACACATGCTGGGTTAAGTGGGGGGTAAAGTGTTGCAGTCAGAAATAAGGGATGCAGCCCCACCTAGGCCTAGTTGACATTAACACATTTTTGTGCATCAGCTTTATTTCTTTTGGAAATACTGTCTTGGGGGTCGAGTTAAATTTAGGGAACCAGAGCTTTTTGTAAAATAAGAGCTACTGATCAGGATTACGGTCGACTTTGAATTACTTTGAGGTGTTTCGGCGATCGCTGTTGCTTTGGGCCCAAACTCAAAGTGAGACGGGCCCCCGAAAGGACACTCTGGAGGGAAACAATTCACCTGGCCCTGTTCCGATTTGATTTGGTAATATTAATTTAAGGCTTCACTCGTCAAAATTCTCTCTCTCCAAAAATGAGCAAAATTGTTCCGCGCGATTTATATTTCTTCATCTGTTATTTAAAGTCCATAGCTTACTGAAATATATAATTTTTAGTTACAATAGCCTGAATATTGTGTCATTTGTATTTTTGATCTTGGTTTTAAAATCGTTTCCAATTAATTTAATTAATAAATATTTACATTTCATTTTAACCGCAAGAAATATCTTTTTATGCTCAACACACTTCTGAAAAGAACCCACATCCTCTCACGCCTGCTTGTTTCACCAGTTTAAAACTCGATAAATTAAATAAAAATAATAATTTTCAATAGTCTAAGCAATTGATAATAATTCATAATAAGAAAAAAGTAATTACAACATAAAATTATAACTAGAAGTTTATAAAATATAATATAAAATTAAATTCAGCTCGTTTGACAACATTCTCACCAAATAATTGAAGATGAACGCGAGTTGGGCTTAATTTCGAATAGTTTTTTGGTGGAGGCATAAATATTTTGTATTTTAGAATTGAAAATTATTAAATTTAATGACGAGTTATATTTTTATATTTCATTTAAAATTGACATAATCCGACGGAGAGGTGAGAAAATATAATGAGAACTACTAATATTAAGTAAAATAATTCCCACATTTGCATAATTTTTTTGTTCCATTCATTTTTTTTTTTAATTCAGTTGTTCAGTTCAACACATAATTTTTTTTTTTAACTTATGTACATCATTATAAAAAATGTACAACATTTTTGATTGTATTTGGTTTAAAAAATTTAAAAAAAAAGAAAGAAAATGATTTAGCAAATATAACTTGGAAATAAAAATCAAGAACTAGAGTGTCGACAAGGAAAGTGATCAAAGTATATAAGTATTTTGCTACCCAGCACGGTTGAGGCTGCGCGGTTCTGGCGAGATCAAGCTGTTGTTGGGGTGGAGAGCGCGCCATTTTTAAAGGTTTAAAATAGTAAATAATTGTTAAATTATTAGAGACGCATTGGGGACAGTGGCGGAGGATTGACTTTCTACGACCGTGATGACACCGAACGCCACTTTTTGCGCGGCGTCGTCAGTTCCAGTCCGGGAAGCATATTGAAAAACCATGGTAGATGGTATGAATTTGCATAATTAATTAAGCGCAATGCTCTGAATCAACGCACGCTAAAATCACAAACTGACAATAAAAACGACATTTTCAAATAATTTGTCCTCTTTCTGGACTAAATTTAATTAAATTTGAGCTTAATCGCAATTAATACCGCTTGAAAGTGCTTTTAATTAATGAAAACGTGTAAATTAACTCATTCTTCACTGCGATTTTGACAATTAAAAGTAAAAAATTAAAAATATTCAAGAATTTTCGGCTCCCGTGAAAAAGGTAAACTTACGATCTTTGATTCCTAAGGAAATTAGCGCGCGTTGAGATATTCGCTCGGGACGTGGCTTAAATTTCTCTCCTTGAGATGAATTTGCATAATTAATTAAGCGCAATGCTCTGAACCAACGCGCGCTAAAATCACAAACTGACCAAAAAATCGACTATTTCAAATAATTTGTCCTCTTTCAGGACTAAATTTCATTAATTTTTGGCTCAATCGCAGTAATTGCTGCTTGAAATTGCTGTTTAATAAAAAAAAATTATTGCAACTCTAAATAGTGTTTTGAGAAAAACGTGCAAGGAAAAAAATCTAAATTTGAATATTGTAAATTTAAAAAAAAAAACGTTTTTTTTTTTTGCAGGACGGCGCACAAGTACGTGCAGCAGGCGATGGAGCGGTCCAAGGGTGGGTCCGAGGGTGGATAGCCGAGGGGGTGCCTCACAATGTCCTAAAGACAATGTCCTAACAGAAAATGTCCTACAGAAAATGTCCTAATGAAAATGCCCTAAAATTAAGAATTGAAAATGTCCTAACAGAAAATATCCTAACGCCTGAAAATTATGACAAGTCATGTGTCATGTGCAAAAAAATTTAATTTCATCCTTTCAAGTAATTTTGCTTCAAAATTTATCCTCATTTAAAATATTTGACGCTTCATACGACTAGGGTCTTTATTGGAAAATAAACTTTTGAATTAATTTCAGTAATTTTAGGCTTTTGTAATGACGTCAAATATATTTTTTTAAATATTTTTGTTTTTTTTTCAACGGGTAGTTTCTTCTAGACAATAGTTTCGAAGAATTTCGTAAAAATCTTCAGGCGATTGTATTTTTGTTTCCTACGAAAAAGTTTACTTAAAAATATCATTCAAATTTTTTTTCAAGAAAAAAAATATGAAAATTTCTAATTGAAAATGTTCGTTAAATTTATTTTCAATGTACGTTGTAGTAATAATATTGTTATTAACAATAATTTGTATTTGTGGAAAATAATATGATTGTTTCAAAATTTTATATTTTGAATTATTTGATCAACTATATCGTAAGAAATGTGACATAGAAGCTTGACAATTAGCATCATTCTTTCTGCTTAAGTGAATTCATTTGATAAGGAAAGAAGTTCTTGTTAGTCCCTGTTGAAAAAACTAAATTTTTTATAATAACTCAACCACTTTTCAGAAGTTTAGGACATTTTCTTGAAATTCAATTAGGACAAATTTTTTAGGACAATGTGCGACCATAGCTTTTAGGACATTTTCTTTAGGACATTATGATGGTACCCGAGCCGAGCGCCCTGGAGAGGATGCTTGGGCGCGACCCGAACCCTACACGGGCCGTTGTCATGGCCCTGGACATGCTCGCCGCCGGCATCGACACGGTTTTGATCAGTTTTTTCGTTCAATATTTTAATTACTACTTTGGAAATAAAATTCCAGACGTCGCACTCGCTGACGAACGTGTTGCTGCACGTGGCCGAGAACGGCGACAAACAGGAAAAACTGTTCCGCGAGTTGGAGAAAATCATGCCGGACCCTTTGACGCCCCTCACCAGCCAAATGCTCGCTGAGATGAAGTACCTCAGGGCGTGCATCAAGGAGAGCATGAGGTGTTCGCTTTACTTTCGTTCTGTCTTTGTTGACCTCTTAAAATTAGTTGAATTCAAAAATTGAAAGAAAAAATAAATAAAAAAGATTTTTTCAAAGGAAAAACTGAAAATAATCTAAATATTTCATTTCTTGTGAGTACTTTGTAAGGAATAAATAATAATTATTGATAATCATAATAATAAAATGGGTAATAATAAAAACCAACTGAATATTTTCTAAAGCTTTTGTATCTGTTAAATAAATCGAGATAAATTGAACGCAGGTTGGCGCCAGTTTTCTCTGGAATTTTGAGGAGGACGACGAGCGAGATGGTGGCGATGGTGCTTTCGAATCACCGCGTGCCCGCAGGAGTACTTCTTGTTAATTTATTGAAAAATTTCATAAAATCAATTTGAATTATCAGGTGGACGTGGTGATGGGGAACGGCGTCACGTCGCGGTCGGACGAGCACTTTGCCGAGGCGGGGAAGTTTTTGCCCGAGCGGTGGATCAGGGGCGGCGAGTTGGAGGAAAAACCCTTTCGTGTCGCTGCCCTTCGGCCACGGCCCGCGCAAGTGCATCGGCATGCGATTCGCCCTCCTCGAAATCGACGCCCTCCTCGCCAAGGCACTGTCAAAAAATCTTAAAATTTTACTTAAAAGTAAATTTGCTTTTGTTCAGATGATGCGCAGGTTCCGGTGGGAGTTCAAGTACGGCCCCGTCAAGTACAAGTCCAGCCTCATCTACGTGCCTCAAGTTCACCGTCCGCCACCGTTGACGTCTCACGCGAATATTTTTTTTAGTTTTATATCTCAGTGTGTCCATGTCAGAGTAAATTTGCAATACAGAAAAAAATGTAAAACCTTTATTGGCAGAGATTTTGATTGCTGAAATTGATATCTTACTTTTGGAGAAGAATCAGTTAATTTACACAATTACACTTTAAAACACAAAAACAAGAGTTTATTGTAATATTCTTAATACCTAAACTATACTAAATAAATACTTCTTTTAATCACAGGGCGGCGTGGGCTTCACATTTGAATTATTGTTTTATTTAAGAGACTGAGATTGCAATCAAGTTTTTCACTCTAAATTCAGCTGAGAGAAAATAACACTCTTGTAGGCGCGCGGCCGCAAAATTTTGATAGCGCAATAAAAACTGTTGAATCGCTATATTTCTTCTTCAAGCCTTGCGTGACTTCGGTCCTGTTAAATTATTGAGCACCATGAAAACCGCTTATAGACGTTAATTTTATTTAATTTCAAACCATCAACCAGCAACAAGAGTACCCGTCTCTTCTTACCGCAAAAAATAATTCTTAATTACAAATCTCGGCCTGCCAACTCGAGAAATGCAATAAAACTTGCGGTTTTGTGCTACTGTTAAAATTTTGATCACCGTGAAAATCAGTCCCTCAATTAAAGTACCATTTTATGGTTTTGCCAACTTTGGCAAAAAGACCAAATTGCTATTAATTTCGGAATGCAATAATGTAGTTTTACATTAATATATAGTTTTAACAAGAAATTCTTTCTAGTAATTCTTGTTTCAAAATTAATCGTTTATTCCGTGTATATTAATTTTCTCACGAAAGTAACAATTTCACTAATTGTATTTATATAAACTTCGACATCATTACTATGAAGTAAAATTTAGTATTTTTAATTAATTCTGCTGATGAGGAAATGCCACTTTCACAAAATAATTTGTATCGCTTGATGTCGGCGAGACCACGCGTTTAATTCAAATCTGAATACTGCGGGAGAGTCAAGGCCGGTTTATCATTTTCATCAATGCCAAGCGGAATTAAAGTCTCGCAATCTCTGCTGATTTTCCTTTACAATATTAGACCATCAGATAAATTTCAAAATAATTATAAATTTGAATTAAAACCAAATTTAATAAGACGATATATTTTTATCCTGAAAACAAGGATTTTTTTAAAGATTTTGAATCTCCTCTAATTATTTAAATTGTATTTACCTGGCCTGGAAACAACGTTGACGAAGCAGCAAACTCATTCCCCAAAAAAGATATTAAGCAAATCTTTGGGAATATTTTCATTAAAATTATACATGAGAATTGATTTTGTAAATTATCAAAAGGGTCAGTTCACAATTCAAGCAAAAAATTTATTTCTTCGTGACCATGGGTAGCGCGAATTTCTTATCAATTGATGGCCGACATAAAAGAAAGTTTAGTGGGTTGAGAAGGTCATGACAACATTCGCTCTTCGATCACTTCTCACTTGTGACTTAATTGAGCTCCTGCAAAATCATTCTCAAGTAAGTTTTTTCATTCCCTTCTCGAATTCATTCGAATAATTTAAAATCTCTTCTTTTGCCTAATTTCACAGCATTAATTTTATCAAAGTGTCTAAAAAGATTTTTATTTTGGTTGTCTGGTGATTTTTGATATCCGAGGATAATTGAGACACCTCAATATTCTTCTAGCCGATTTTATCAGTTTTATCCCATAGATTAGTTAAACATCATCATTATTAAATATCCTCTCCGGCTTTTTTTATTTGGCGACGTGAACAATGCATAAATTATCACAGGAAAATTTTCTATGCTTAAATTGCAAATAACCTTGTAATTTATTTTTGTACATTTCATTCGTGGGAAGGTTAAAAGTTTGCTTGATTAATTTTGTAGAAAAAATCGCAAAAGCCAAGGTTGAAAATGGAGATTGGAACTTCTTGGATTTGGATTTTCGTCATCTGCGCTTTTTCGCTTGCCCCTGCCCAGACTCGGCCAGCAGGGTATGATGAGGTGATAATTCAGCAAAGACACACAATTAATTTTTTTTTTTAAATTAAAATAAATCTCAATTTGAGATTAAATCGATTTGTCAAGATTTGATTGAAAACAAGAATGTGATTTTCTGATTAAATCAACACTAAAATAAGATAATTACTTTTTGATTGAAATTGAAATAAAATATGATAAATTCTTGTCAGTTCAAACTTAATCATTCGCAATTCAAAATTTGAATTTTACATCTAAGAAAAATAAATTAAAAAAATATATTCCCATTTTCACAGGAAATTAACTTCATTGACTGTTGGAATTACGGCAAAAATCTATCAATTTTTGAAGAGCCAGGTACGAAAATTGCAATTTATTGTTTTATCGCCTATAATTTTTTCAAGTTCGTGAATAGAATTAAAAATAAAACAACGGAAATCTCAGAATTGTCCAAAAATCATTATTAATGATTTTACAATACTTCATTTTCTTCTTTGCTTTAAAATTCGTCAGGCGTTTTTAGGCGCAAAAAATTAGCTGAGGAAACATTTTCAGGAAATGTTCTGGCAAATAGAGCGATGATTTGAATCTTTGTGAATAAACAGAATTTTTTTTTATAAAAATCACGATTAATTCATTCTCAATAATCGACTTCAAGCTGTTCAGAATTTCCACGACTGCGGCCGCTGGAACCAAAGTGGAATCGCCCCTTGGCTTGTCTACCTCACAACGGATGGTTTTTTTGAACGTGGTGTTCTTTTATCGGACCAAACAGTAATTCGTAAGCATTATTACTTCATGTTTTAAAAATATGGTGTTAAAAAATATTATAAATTTTCCATTCCACAATCAGATGGAAATGAGAGGATCTTGACCGTGCATAAAGAAGGGAAAGAAATTAAAATCTACGCGGGCAAATGTGGAGACGAAAATGATGAACAAAAATGCTACAAAGGACGAGGCTTATTGCAAAACAAAAAGGTTAATCGCCTTTTATTTTTCACTTTACATTTTATATTTATAGTTCCGCCGAGATGCTTGTGCTCCAAACTAATGTAAATTTCAACAGAGCAATGAATGCCAATTCGAATTATAAATTAATATACTGTGTGAAGAAGTTTATCACAACGTGCGCGGAATTAACACATGGTTTAAGGTTTTGAAGTTGAAGAAGGTGGACTTGAAGCACGGCAGATTTCTTTCCGCGCCGATCTTTGTTTCCCAAATTGAAAAGGTGGATTTGACGCCCGCGAGTGTGCAGCCCGTGTGTTTGTGGAACCGAGACAACCGAAATGACCAACACGAAATTTTTTTTTCATCCGACCATAGGAATGTACGTAACTCTGGAATTCTCTCGCAATGAATAATTGAAAATTTTTAACATCTCACTTATTTTATTTTTAAAAAGTTAATTTTTTAAGGAAAATTCGTAGTTATAAAAAATGTGAAATAGTTTAATAATTTAAATAATGGTGCAATTTTGGCCTTTTTAAACAGATGAAACGTGCCGAGAAATATATAATTAATTTATATTGAAATCTTGCATTTCAAAATTTTTTTTAAACTTTTTAAAAAGTTTGCTTTTTTTTAAAGTGGATATCAACAACGACCAAATTTTTTTAAAAGTTTTGGATTGGATGCATCAAAGCTCATCAATAGGGACTTCAATATTTTTTTAAATATCCCTAATTTTAAAATTTACAGTCGTCAGAAAAGGTCTCGATTATCGTATTTCAGTCATTCGAAGACAATTTTTTAATTATCAACATTTTGCCAATGGCTCAACCAAGTTTTTTGAAAATCTAGCGTTTGACGTAAAAATACATGGCGCATCTTTTGACAATCTCAGATCTTTGTTCTGGTTGCATATTTTGAAGGGGCAAAAAAATTTAATTTTTGACCTTTTGCCAGGGTCAATGACCTTTGAATTACAAACTTTGTTACCACTGACAAAAGATACCTTGGTTCATTAGCTTCAACCTCCCTTCAAGAAAAGTAAAAAATCTTCACCCGTATTAATTTGACAGCAGTTTTAGTAAACCTTTAAGTATCTCCGGCGGCCATATTGAAATTTGACAAATATGAAATTTTTTATTACTTGGGTATTTTTGTAACCAAAATACGAACTATCATGAAATTTATATGTAGAAATCAATAAATTCCAAGCGCTTAAAAATTAGCGTATCTTTCTCGGAAACGAGTAAAATGCAAAAAACCACGTTTTTTGACCTTCAATTAAACTTTTCTCAAAAATTTACGCGGTGACCCTCAATTTTCTTGTGCCAAATCTGTAGCCCGGTTATTAAGCAACATGATGGTGGTTCACACACTTTTGGCAAAGCTATTTTCATGTACTTCAATTACAGTTAAACGATTTTTGCGAAAATTTCACATAAGCGAGCCATGTTAACTTCAAATGCGATTTTCTCTAAAATTTATGGGGTGACCCCCAATTTTCTTGTTATCAAAATGATCCATAAGGTCCATACTAACAGTTCTAAATAAAGATTTTGCGATCCTAAGCTGTTGATATCCACTTTAAATCAAGGTCTTCCGCCTGGAGGACTGAAAATTGCCATGACGATTATTTGTCAACGACGCAAAATCTTGTAAAATATACAAAATAAATAGGGTTTGGCCGCTTTGAAATGACATTGTGCGCCGAGAACTTTATTTCATGAACGAAATCATTACAAATTTCTCTGTATTTTAAAACGTTATTTTCAATTTCTTTGATTTGTGGTCTGAATCAGACGTTATTTTTTATTTCGGGTTAATTAGTTTAATTTTGATTCCTTTTAAAAGACTGGAATAAATTCTACACTGAAAAAATATGAAAAATTACACACGTATTTATAGATTGTAAATTTCAAGTCATTTAAATATTTGATTTCATTCTCCATTCTATTAGCAAACATTAAGAGTAATAAAAAGTTGCACAAAATATACCAATTTTCCAATCTGCTTCATAAATTAATTTTTTTAAATCCACGATTTATAAGACAAAGTTTAAATTTGTGAATTAAAATGTTTGTTCGATTAATAGGAAGAGCTGAGAAAAGTAGATTTCCTACCTGAGCAAAGATGTTACCTTCATGAAGAGATCGAGAAATGGAGATGTGACCTTTACAGTAATTCAATCTGCACATCAGGTTCATGTAAGTCAAGTGAAACCTCTGGACATGCAAATCCCTCTTTTTGAAAATTATATTTTGAATTAGAGACCGCATAAATTCTGTTCAGCACAAATTTAATTGGAATTATGGTAAGGAATTGTAAAAAAATGTAAACAGTTCGTTGCAGATTCAAGAAAGTTGAATATTTTGGTAAAAAATGTTGCCTGATTTGTTTGACGGAAACAAATGATAAAATTACATCTCCAGAGATTTAAAAGTGCAAAAAATGAACCGAAAATTTGTGAAGTGCCAAATTTTCAATTGCTTTTTAATTTGTTTCAGCCGATTTAGAATATTTGGTAATTGAGAGGTCTAGTCAATTTTATCTACGCGCTCTTCTGGTCGAATCTACAAATACCACTTGTGCGTGGCTGGACTTGTTGCCGTGGACAAATGGAATCACTTGGGCATCCGTCGATTTGGCCGGGATGCCCAAAATCCCCAAACCGAAAACTAAGAAAGGTTTTTTTTTGCCTGATTTCCGGTATTATTGCATAATTTCCAAGTTTCCAGACTTTGGTCCGGACCAGAGTTTTGCTGATTGTGGACGCCGACCGGGCCGAGTGAAAAGAGAAGCCGACGAGCCGCTTCCGTTGATCACCATTGGCGTGGATGCGGTCAGAGGTCAACACCCTTGGCACGGCAGCCTCACCATTCACACGGAAACAGGACCTTTGGAAGAATCTTGCGGCGCGACCCTCATTTCCAAAAAGGTCCTCGTCACAGGTCGGTGTCTTTAATATTTCAAGAGGGGAAAAAGAATTATTCGGTCCCTGGAGAAATTCGTAAAATATATATTTCTTCTAGCGGCGCATTGTCTTTTCTGGAAGGCGAAAAAATTGGAGGGCAGATACGTGGACGTGACGCTCGGAATGTACAACCGATCGAATGAGAAAGAGACTCGGCGACAGACGTTGACGGTAAAATTTAAAATAATTAATTTGAGACATAAAAATAATTGCTGCGATCACTGCGTCTATTTGGGGATAATTGGAGATTACTTTTATTTCATTCATCAATTTGAAAGATTGCCCAAAAGAATTACAGCAGTGGTCAAATCGGTTCAATTGTCTTAAAATCTAGAATACAAAAAGCATATTCTGTTAATTCACTATTTACTTTATTTATATTGCCATTTTTATTTCAAAATGAAGCCTATTTTTTACTTAAACATTAAAATCTTGCCAAGATTTTGCTTTGAAAAATTCAACCAGAGTTAAAAATAATTTGTTTAGGCTTCGAGTCTGTTGGTTCACCCTGGCTTCGATGACAGCAGGGGTGACCTGAAAGATGACATCGGCTTGATCATTTTGAACGGCGAGGTCACCTTAACAAATTTCGTGCGGCCCATTTGCCTGTGGAACGACGACTACGATTTGAACAAAATCGCCAACAAAATTTTCACGGTGAGCTCCGAATCCATCATTTTTTTACTAGAGTTTTTATTGAAATAGATATTAATTGCAAAAGGTGGTCGGCTGGGGTCTGACGTACCAACACACACAGCCCGATGTCCTTCAAAAGGCCGACATTACCGTCGTTTCATACCAACAGTGCTTCGACAGCAACAAGCGCTTCTTTTCCCGCAACATGCGTCCGAGGGAAAACTTCTGCGCCGGAATTCCTCAAAACGGTGACATTTTATTTCAATTTCATGGGAAAAGGAATATAAAAAAAAAATTGTTTTTATAGAGATAAACGCGTGCTCGGGCGATAGCGGCGGAGGATTGACCTTTTACGACCGTGAGGTCAGCAGACGGCACGTTTTGCGCGGCGTCGTCAGCATGGGTTTGATGAGGAAATTGAGCGAGGATTTCCGAACCTGCAACCCCAAGTTCTACGCCCTCTACACCGACGTCACCAATTACATGGATTGGATCGTCGAAAACACCCCCGACATAAATCCTTAGATTTTTATATAAAACGGAAAATTCTAGTAATCATGCCGTGCGGCATTTTTTTTCTAGAGAATCACCACATCAAATGAAATTATTTAATAAATTGTGGAGGTTTATTGCATAAGTTAAATACACAAGTTTGTGCGCGTTTGTTTTGAATTTCACAAGAGGGAGCCTTCCTCGGAGGCGTGCAGCATTTCGCTGAAGAGACTCGTGGGTCTCGAGAGCAGCTCGGTGGGCGACGCGTCCTCGACCACTTTGCCGCCGGACAGGACGACCACCCTGTCGCACTTGAGCAGCGTCACCAGCCGGTGCTAGGCAAGTCAACATGATAAGCAACATTAACTTTGATAAATATAAATTTCAATTCATAAATAAAAATGAGAACTTTACTGCGGTTGTTCTTTGCAAATAAATACAAACGATCTTCTTAGTTTACTATAAGTTTCTTTGAAAAATCATCACAATATCATGCAAGTTACATAGAAAATTTTAATTTTGTTCGACTCTTTTTAAATTTCACATAATATTCTAAAAGCTGCGAGTTTTACATTGAGGATAAATTTCAAATTTCTATTTCCACATTTTTAAGTTCGGATTTGTTTCAGTATTTTCTAGCAAGGTGGAACTTTTTAGATTTTCTATCCAAATCTATGAAGCCTCCCTGAACAATTGTGGATATTCCAAGCAAATTGAAGTTAAAAAGAAATTTAAAGAATAAAAAGCTATGAACAAAATTCAATTTTCTTTTTTCTGTGTGACGAATGGGAACTATGGGAATTATTATTGTAATTTTTATAGCAAATTTACCGCGATTGTGATGACGGTGCGTGTGTTGAAGGCGTGGGCGGCGGCGACGAGGAGGCGCTGCTCCGTGGCCGCGTCCAGCGAACTGGTCGCCTCGTCCAGCACCAGACAACTGGCGCCGTGCAGAACGGCCCGCGCCAGGCAGAACAGTTGCCGCTGCCCCGCGCTGAAGTTCTCGCCGCCCTCTTTCACTTCGCCGTCTGAATCCATAACAAAATTTACAAATTTCAGAGAGTGAAATAAACTTCAAAAATCATTTCCAGGGACAATTTTTTAAACCCTCCAATTTAAAGCGGATTTCAATAGCACTGAATTTGGCGATTCTGAGCTTTTGAAATCATCTTTAATCTAAAATTTAATAAGAATCGTTTAATTTTTGATATTTTTTATCAAATAATGAAGTCAAAACAATCAACGGTAAAATTAATTGGAATTTATATTAAAAACTGACCCAATCCGCCGGGGAGGTTTGAGGCGACGGTTTTCATTTGGGCGACGTCGAGCGCGTCCCAGAGCTGCGCGTCGGAAAAGTCGGCCCTGGGGTCGAGGTTGTCCCTGAGCGAGCCGCCAAACATGATGGCGTCCTGCGGGATGGCCGAGAGGCGCGACCTCAGGGTGCTCAGGGGCACGTCCTTGAGCACGTCCAGCCCGTCGATCAGCAGCCGCCCCTCGAACGCCTCCACCATCCCGAACAGGGACATGGCCAGCGACGACTTGCCGCTCCCGGTCCGTCCGCAGATCCCGAGCTTCAAATTTTTACATAAATTTAATTTGACCAAAAGCCTTTGATCAATTCCAAGGGGACAAATATTGATTTTATTAACATTAAGGAGAAATTTTCATAAAATTTTTGCATCAATTTTTTTTAGGAACATATTAATTTAATTAAATTTTCTTCGGCAAGTTCAACAGTGGAAAAAATTGAAGATTTCTCATAAAAAAGGATTTTTTTTCCCTTTTTAAACTATGTATGTATTTCACTAGTTTTGAGAAGTATTCTGAAGAGAAATTTATACCTTTTGTCCGGCAGGAATGTCCAAGTCGAGTTTTGCAAGGACCGGTTCTCTAGAAACGTCGTACCTGAGGGAGACGCCCTGGAACTTGATGTGGCCCTCGTGCGGCCACTGCTTGGGCACGCTGGCCTCTGAAAAGAATCGCCCCAATTGTAGGCCTAGTCCAGCGGACAAAAATTCATGCCAGTTTAAAATGTCCACCGTCTTTTACATTGAGACACAGTTTATTTTTATTACCTTAGGTTTTCCCCTGCCTCTTCTCTTTTTAGGTAAAAACGTACCTTTGAAAAAGGTGGTGTAATTTTTAATTTATTTATTTTTCCTATTCCTTGTACAAACGTGAGACAAACGCCAATCAATAGGAACTTTAATTAGCTTTCAAAAACTTACCAAGTTTATTTAAATCAGGCAATTTTTGGCGTTGATTCTAACAATATAAGAACATAGATCAAAATTGTGATATTTTTATTGTTTTTTCAGCTCTAGCTCTTGTGTAAATCATTTTAGAGAAAAATGGTTCATACAAAACTTGTAGACAATTTAATTTTGCACAAGTATTGTATTAACTATTTTCTTCTAAATCCAAAGCGACATGAGTTATTACAGCGGAAATCTTAAAAAATTAGGGTTTTTTCAACATTGAGCAGAAAATCTCATTTTTCATAATTATCGCTTTGATAACGTTTTTCACTTTGGATTTGGATCAAAATGTTAAATAAATAAAGTGTACAAAATTGAATTCTCGACAAGTTTTGTTTGAAACATTTTTCTCTAAAATGTTTTCCAGAAAAGCTACATCTCAAAAACCAACACAAAAATCACACAAAAAATTGAACTTTGTTCAAAGATATAATCTTATTTAATTTAATTGGGTACTGAAAGCTAATTAAATTTCCAATCAATTGACTTTTGTCTCATGTTTGTACAAGAAATGGAAAAATTACAACAAAAAATAAAAAAAACGCCACCTTTCAAAGGTACTTTTTTTACCTACAGCAGGGGAAAATCTCAGAAAATGTTCTCAGATCAGACTGGTGTGAATTTTGATTTTTTTTTTCAGGGCTAAATCATGCCAAAATCTTTTGGCGAGCCCTTTTGAAATGATTTTTAATTTAATTTTTTTATTAAAATACCCAAGTGATCCTTGTAGTCCTCCTGGGGCAGGCGGGCGTACTGGTCGAGCCGCTCCACGGCCGTCATGTACATTTCCATGTCGGCCAGAAACTTGACCACCCAGTTGAGGTAGATGGGCACCAGCAGGGTGTAGTTGACGGCCAGGCCAACCAGCGCCGGCGTGACCACGTGCGGCAGCAAATGGGCCGACAGCAGCGCCGTCAGCACGGCCGCGAACACGATCACCCCTCCCAGGTAGTCCTACTCAAGAGGTCAAAGGTCAAATTTCAAAAAAGGGCATTATTTGAGCCTCACGAGAGCGACGCCGAGCCAGCGGTTGCTCGAGTTGAGGATGAGGAACGCGTTTCGGTGCGTGTCCATCTTGTGGTTGAGCATGCTGGTGAACCTGGCCTGCTGGCCGAACGCCCTGATCGTCTGCAGCCCGCCCAGGGTCTCGGCGAAGTGCGAGAAAATGGGCGAACGGGTCATGCTGTCCAGCCGCTGCAGTTCTCTACATTTGCACAAAACCCTCGTCAAAATTGTTTTACTATTTTTGAAAAGAATGGAAATTTCCCTACAAAAACAGTCCATACCAATTTGAGCGTAATTTTGAAAAAAAAAATAAATCAATAAAAAAAAAGGTCAGCGCGAATTTTTTAGAAACGTTTTAAGGATGAAAAACGCGTTTTTTTTTCAAAAAAAAAATTAAGCTACTTTTTGAGCACTTTAAATTTATTGATTTCTGCAAACAAACGCCAAAATAGTATGCATTTTAGTTCTCATAAAACCCAATTATCGGTTATCGGAATAATTTCATATTTTGTGAAATTCCAATATGGCCGCCGAGATAAAAAAGGATTTACTAAAACTGATGTCAAATTAATTTGGATGAAGATTTTTTAATTTTCTCGGCGGGAGGTTGGAGCTAATGAACCGAGGTATCGTTTCTCAGAGGTGACCAAGTTTCTAGGTCAAAGGTCATTGACCCTGGCAAAAGGTCAAAATTTATTGTTTTCTGCCCCTTTACAATAGGCAACCTGACGAAAAATCTGAGATAGCCAAAAGATGCGCCATGTCATTTTGCATCGGAGAACCAATTTTCATCTTAATTGAGGAAGCAGTTTTAAAAATATCATCGATTTAAAAAATAGTGTCTGAACGACTGAAAAAAGTCCGTTCCGAGCAGTTAAAAAATTAGTCAATTTTCATCATAAATGAGTCAAATTTTAAGAATCTTTTATAAAATTGCATTCAAAATTGTAAAAATATTGATAGGGTTTTTGATCCACTTAAAAATGGTCTCAAATTTTCAGTACCTTGCCGAGGTTCGGTAGAACTTCTGGACCCAGTAGTAGACGGCGCAGATGGGGACAGCGAGGAAGATGAACCACGGGCTGACGGCCACGTTGACCAGAATCGCAGACAGGCACAGCAGCAGGAATTGAATCAGTCTTTGGATCGCGATGGCGATTTTCTGAAGAAAAAACAAATTAATTTTTGACTTGAATTTTTGAAGAATTCGGCTCGCCTTGTCCACGATGGCCATGTCCATGGCGAACCTGTTGATGAGGTGGCCGACGGGCGTGGCCTCGAAGAACTTCATGGGCGAGCGCATGACGCTGTGCAGGGCGCGCTGGTGCACCACCCTGCGCGCCCTGGCGCCGGCCACCTGGCCCAGGGCGTTGCTCCCCACCGACAGCACGATCGACAACACGCTCAGCCCTGCGTACACCGCCATGTACTCTTTCATCTGAAAATCAAGAGACTTTTCATGGAAATATGCAAAAAAAAATTATAAAAAAAAATTGTGGCTGATTTTATTAAAAATAAAAAAAATTGGAAAAAAGGTAAAAAATTTGAAGTAATTTATAAAAAACCATAAATTCAGTTGCAAATTTACCCTATAAAAGATTAATTAGTAAATTATATCTTGAATAGGTTTTGAAAAATTGTAATGCAAAGTTAATTTGCAAAAAATTATAACCTTTTCTTAATGCTAAAGAGCATCATTTTAAATTTGTATAGAAAAATCTCTTTAATAATTCATCAATTTTTTAATATCCTATTTTAAAAGAGCAATAATATACTTGGGATATTTTTTTAAAAATCTTCAAATTTAGATAGAGTACCTTGCAATTATTGGAGTAAACCTGACTTGATTTTGAGCTTTCCATTGTAAAAAAAACTGTCAAATTAAAAATTACTTGTGACGAGTCGAGCTGCTTATTTTTCTGGTCAGTCGAGTTTGTCCACTCGCTGAGCCAATAGTCGGTGAGGACGCGGCAGACCTGCCAGGCGACCGCCGAGACCAAATACGAGCAGCCCAGGGTTGTACCTGAAGCCCGCAGGTAGCTCAGGTACACCCTGCGAGCCACCTTTCCGTACTCCCGCTCCTCCTCCAGGGTCACCTCGTCCTCCTCGTTCTCCACGCTTTCGCCTCCTGCCATTTTTTCATTAATTTCGCCTTCAATTAAGATACAAATTTTTACCAATGTCGTCGTCGTCGTTGAAGTCGTCGCTGAAGGCCGAGGTGGAGGAGGCGAGTCTGCGCACCACCGGCTTTCCACCCACCTCGGACGCAGAAACCGAAGACCTGCCAGTGAAATTCTTTTACTTTTTTACATCAAAACAAATTAATTCGGAAATAATTATTCCTTGCACATTAAAAAAGGATTTTTTGAAACGTAAAATAAAACAATATGTACTCAAGGCCTTTGATTTAGAAAAAAAATTTTGTACCTGAATGAAGAGGTTGAGGAAATGAGGCGTCTGAAGACGTTTTTCTCTTTCGCCGCCGCCACAGGTCCATTGATGGCGTCGTTTGAAACCGACGCAGCCACGGTTCTGCAATAATTTCTCATTATTATTTTAAAATTATGCATTTTATTTTATTTAGACAAATTCCTTGCCCGGGGCAGACCGATTTTGACAATACTTGGCCGATTGGTTGCTTTAATATGTAGACAAATAATTAAGATTTGAAAAAAAATACCAAAATTGCCTATTTTACAGGGGCTCAAATTTCGGAATTTTTTAGAAGGTGATTTGGAAAGTCGAAAATATCTCAGCTCCTGATAAAAAATAGCGTATTTGTCTTAATTACCGAAATTTTCAGGAATGAGACGCCCTACAACTTTGCAACAGTGACTGAAGTCTTCGGTCAAAGGTCAAGGTCACCTTTTTGAACCTGAATATTTAATTAATCCCCAGGAAGGAATTTTTTTCAATTTGAAAATAGCCAAAAGCTGCCTTGTTTAGTTCTTCACAACATATTAAAAAATGAAAAGAAAATGTTTTTAATTTTTGAGATATTCATAGACGAAAGGTATAAAAAAACGTAGTTTCTCGAGCGCTTTTTACGACCGCAATTTATTCTATTAAATTTATACCTCTGAGACGCATTGGTGAAGATTCTCTTGAAAAAGCTGCCCTGCCGATTGACCCCTCCTGCACCGTCAAAGTTCTTCAGCCTGAGAAGCGAAAAATCAGATTTTTTTTTTTTTTTTTTTTTTTTTAATTGTCAAACTTGATCGAGGCCGAGGGCTGCATGGTGGGCGAGGACATTTGGCGCTGCAGCTGCGGCAAACTGCCGCGGCTCTTCCGGCTGCTGCGTTTCCGGCTGCCGCCCTGCAGAGACACCGTCCGGAAAATGGCCCTTTTCACTGCCGATATTAAAAAAAAGTTCAAAATTTCATGTTAATGCCAAAAAATGGAGTGGCCAACCTGAAAAGCCCCTTCCCAGTCGGCTGGACGCGTCGGCAGTTGGTGGCGCCGACCTGGCCGCCGAAAAGTCGTCAACGAACTCGTCGCCGCACTCATCAATGGGCAGCGGAAAGTCGTGCGAAAGGTGGCGCCGCGATAATGAGTTGGTGAACGTCCTTCGTCGGAAGGGCACAAACACCGACGACGGCTGAGAAGGTCAATTTAAGTGTTAATTAAATATTTTATATTTTGATCATAATTTTGTCTAGGGTTAACCGGTTTCAATGAAATTTTGTAATTAGTTGTTCTGAAGGCGAAGGAGCATAATATTTATAAAGAATTTTTGAGAAACTTTTATTAAAATTGCCCATTTTACAGAAGCTAAAAGGTGTTTTGGAATATCTAAAATATCTCAGCTCCTATTGCAGGTAGCGCAATAGTTTATTGAGCAAATTTTTAGGGAATTAGATTCTCTAAAACTTGGCTATAGTGACCTAGGTCAAAGGTCAAATCTGAAGGGCACTTTTTTGTAGCAAAATTCTTTAAGTTGCTATCAAAGTACCAAAGAAATGATTTTTTTAGATTCCAAAACAGCCGAAAGGTGCTACAGTTAGTAATGAAAAACATACTAAAAATTTGTGATCATTAAATTTACAAATCTAGAGATATTCAGGATCAAAGGGCACAAAATTGAGGTTTTCGTATCATTTTTGCGATAAAATTACTTTCAACCTCGATAACTTTTTTCCTGTTAGAGTTAGGATCAAATGCACAATGACAAAAAATGATCGCCTTGGCTTATTCTTTCAGACCATGTATCACACATGGATTTTAGGTCACAAAAGTTCATTGGCCCCTGGTGACCTTTCGTGACCTTTGAAAAATTGGTTGATATGTGTGGCACATGGATGGAAAGAGGACGATCGCAAGAACATTATTCTGCTTGAAATTATTTTGTGGCATAAAATTTGAGTGAATTTATTTGACGATTTCGCATTTAGAAACTTGGAAATTAACAGCAACCCGAAAAACAGGTAATATTTTGATAATTTTTCAAAATATACCCTTCCAAATTTTTTGTCGACTCAACCAACCTGCCAAATTCCATTCAAATCGGCAAAAACTTGCCAAAAGTGAGGCCATTTAAAAAAAAACTAGGAAAAGTTTAGATAAAGATTTTGATGCCCTTTGAGCCTTTTATAAAAAATTTTCGAAAAGGATTTTTGTCTCTCTCACCACGGGTGGCTCCTCTGCAGATTGCCAGGTGGCGTCGGGGGTGCCGACCTTTTGGCGGAGCTGCGAGCCGATGCGCGACACGAGACGCACCAACTGCCAGCGCTCGCGGGCCGTGCGACCCCGCGCCGCCTTTTGGTGCTCGTCCTGCCGCGACATCGCCGTCCGCCACTCGCTCACCAACTCGGGGTCCATCCGCTCGATCTCGTTCAGCGACCCCTAAAATCACAATCAGCGCGTTTTTTTACTTTCAAAATTAACAAAACTATCATTGATATTTTTTTTGAACTTTGCCTGTGATTTGATTTTACACAAAAAATAAAACTTTTTTTTCAAATTTGGATCTAATATAAAAAAAAAAATAATGGGAAAAACGGTTATTTGAGTTTGTTTTGAATCGGCAAATGAAGGTTTCATATTTATGTTTTTTGCTTCTTGGAGAATATTTTTAAAATGTATTTTTATTAAAAATTTTTTAATAAAATTTACTTATTAATTTTTATTATTTTCAATATTTTATAAAAAGCACGTTGTATGACCAAAAAAGTTACTCAAGTTTTTACAGTTTACAAATATAAATTTTTTTGAATCAAAATTATTAGAACACAATTATTTGTTGATTATTATTTTCAATTTGATGAAACCAAATAATTTTGATTTTCATAAATTTGGAATTTTGTTTTGAATTAAATTTTGATTATTTTTTTGACCTGAATCCTGAGGGCGCCGTGGGGGTGCATGACGACGATGTGGTCGGCGAGGTGGAGGAGCTGGAGGCGGTGCGTGACGAGGAGGACGGTGCGGCCCTGGCGGCGCAGCAGGAGGCGGCGCATGCCCGCCTCCACCACGTGCTGGCCGACGTGGGCGTCGAGGGCGGACAGGGGGTCGTCGAGCAGCACGAGGGAGGCGCGCGAGTAGAGGGCGCGCGCCACCGCCACCCTCTGCCGCTGCCCCCCGGACAGGCTGATGCCCTTTTCGCCGATCGGCGTCAGGTCGCCCGCCGGCAGGATCGCCACGTCCGGCTCCAGCGCGCACGCCGCCAACACCTTCGAGTACCTGAAAAATCATCAAAACATTATTTTCCTTCACGTTAGTCTCGATTTTATTCATTTTTAGCAAAACGGACGAATCTGCTTTGGTCTTTTCTTCACAAATGAAACATTTTTTGTTTTGATAATTAGGAGAGACTTCTGCTAAAAAGATTAATTTTGATGACAATTTTTCTTCACATTTCATCATTGTTTTGTAGATTTCATTTCCAAAGAGACGGAGAAAGAAAATTTTTGAAATTTAAAAATGTTTCTTATGAGAATTTTGTAAAATAATTTTTATCTCGAAAATGGTCTGATTAAAACTGATAATAATTTCCCTAAATCACGTTTAAATCCCCAGAATTAAGACAAAAAATAAAATCAATAGGTCAGTTGACCTAAAAATTTGTTCTAATGGAGTTTAGTAAAATTGTTTTCAGTTAAAGAAATATTATTTTTATTGTGCGATTTATTTTTTTAATGAAAAAAACATAAAAACACCGAGTGATATTAAGGCATTTAGAAACAAAAGATTTGTAATTGTTCTGCACTAAAAGGAAATAATATTATGAAGTGACTTTGAGGGGAAATAACTCAATATACGGGGCTTAAGGTGATTCTTCTACGGGGTTTTGGCCAAAACTAGAAATGCTGCAATGGATTTGAAATGGCTCAGATTATAAGATTTGAACTATTGTGTGTTAATTTTTCAAGTAGAAATGATTAATTTTCGCCCCATCGCTTCTTTACAGGGGACCAAAGTAATGTCCGAAGGTCGAAAACGGGTAAAAATCCACGTTTTTCTACCTTCTCATACTCGTAACTTTCCATTTTGCAAAGTGAACTATATTTTTCTATATAGCATTCAATTCGCAAGATGTTAAAGTATCCAAAAAATGCAAAAAAAATCATACGTCTCTTCTGTCATTTTATCACCCCCTGAGAAATCAAATTTTTTAATTTTATTGGCCCATTTATAAATGCTATTTCTCCGAGGGTGATAAAATGACAGAAGAGTTATAATTTTTTTGCTTTTTTTGGATACTTTAACATCTTGCGAATCGAAAGCTATCTAGAAAAATATAGTTCACTTTGCAAAATGGAAAGTTACGAGCATAAGAAGGTAGAAAAACGTGGATTTTTACCCGTTTTCGACCTTCGGACATAACTTTGGCCCCCTGTAAAGAAGCGATGGGGCGAAAATAAATCATTTCTATACTTGAAACATTAACACACAATAGTTCAAATCTTATAATCTGAATCATTTGAAATCCAGTGCAGCATTTCTAGTTTTGGCCAAAACCCCGTAGAAGAATCACCTTAAAAGACCTAGCACCGTCTCGGGCCTCCTCCGAGCTAAATGGGCAATGGACAACGCCTCGGAACGCCTAGCATGGTTTTTGGCAGCAGAGAATGCCTCGGAACGCCGATGTGGGATTTGGGCACTCAAAGTTACTTCATTTCATCTTGCATATTTCCTTTAGCGTTTTTTGTAAGAGATTAATTAATTACTTACCTTCTGGCGTTGAATTGAGACCCGAAGAGAATGTTGTCCCTCAGGGTGGCGTTCAGCAGCCAGGGTTTCTGCGCCGCGTAAGCCACGTCGCATTTGCTGGAAAAACAAATTGAAAACAAACTGGTAAAAATACACACCAACTTATAAAAAACTTATTAATTCAAATTAGAATTCAAAAAGAAATACAGCAAAAGGATTTATTTTCATTTCAACTTCAGAAAGATTTGATTGATATTATTTCCAACAAAATGCTGCTTTTTTATACTCTATTCTAGGTTTTTACTTTTAAAATATTCAGTTAAAATAAATTAGCAAAATAATTTCTTTTCGGAAACCATTTTTTTTTAATGCCAATACTTCTTTATAATTTCTCTCCTAGTATTTTATCAAATGCGAAAACTTGCATTTCTTTACTCCAATTAAATAATGGAACAAAGCCCAAGTCATATTTTTCTTCAAGGAATATCAGTTTCAAATAAAACGGTCGCTTTTTCAGGGATTATGTTTGTAAGAGAAGAAAGATTGATATCACGTGTGCCAGGTGACGGCGCCGTCGACGGTGTGCATTTCTGCGAGGAGGGCGCTGAGCAGGGAGGTCTTGCCGCTGCCGACGGGCCCCACGACCAGGGTGAAGGTGCCCCTGCGCAGCTCGATCTTGTCCGCGACGAGCAGCGACGGCGCCGCGTCCGAGTGCCACGCGAAGGCGCTGCCCGCGGCCACGCTGACCAGCACCTCGGCGCCGCCGGCGCCGCCGGCCCTTGGCGCCGGCCACCCGCAAACCGCCTCTGCGTCCTCCTCGTCCTCGTCGATGTTGTCCAAGCCGGCCGGACCAAACACGCTATCGCTACTATCACAAAGTCCGCTCGCAGCCGCACCCACTCCGGCCTGAAATAAACACACGAGAAAATTTATTTCATTTGCGCGAAAAGTTTCAGCGAATTATTAAGTTCTAGTGAAAAAAGTGATTATTGAACTCTGAAATGTGACATAAACAAGGAAGAAATATTATTTTTTCAAAATTTAGAAATTCAATATTAAATTGTTGAAAGAAACAGGAATTTCACCTTTTTCAGGCAAAGGAATAAAATTTTCAGCTAATCATATTGAATGCTTTTGAGGGAAATCAGATTTTTTACAAAATTACAAATTTCTGTGCTTCTATTTTGAAATTTTTTTCACTTGCAGTCGTAACTTCTTATGCCTGACAACTTTGCTGTCAACAACATTTGCGTAAGGCAAAGGTCATGGTCACTAAATAGCAAGTTTCACTTTTGCACGCAATTTTCGCAAAAAAGCACCCCTCAGATTTTTTCACAGCTTAGGATAAAATGTAGCCCCAAGTGTGTAGAACAAAATACCTGATTCTCAGAATGATAAATTTTTCAGTTGAATTTATATTAAAAATTGAACATTAAAAAAAGAGTGAAAAATCGATTTTCCGCAATATAAATTAATTTTCAGGCAGCGATAAATCAGTTTCTGTAAAAGATACGACAAAATGTGTAATGTCAAAAAGAGTTTGTCTTAATTTTCTGCATCCAACCATGTATCGTTCATGCAGGTCAGGTCACCTAAGGTCATTGACCTCGGTGACCTTCAAAAACGATTTTGCAAATGTCTTGTGCAGACAATAATATAAAAAAAGAATCTATACATAGAATGATTTCCATAAGGATTCAACAATTGTTAAATTTCAAATTTGAAGCACATGTCACAAAAGGTCATTGACCCTGTGTAGAAGGTCATCTTTTAAATTTTGAATGTGGGCGTGTCACTGACCTCGGCGGTTTGAGCGTCGAAAACACGACTAGAGATCTCGGCAGGCTCAGGCTCAGGGTCGTCCTTCTTCTTTTTGTCCTGGGAAATCTCGGGCAGGGCGAGGAAGTGGCGCAGCCTGTTGGTGCTGACGACGGCGCCGATGACGATGGGCACCGTCACCGGGAAGATGAAGAGCGGCACCGTCAGCTGGTTGAAGAGGGCCAGGGCGGAGAAGACGTCGGCCGCCGTCAGGGGCGTCTCCTCCAGCGCCAGGTATGCCACGAACGTCACCAGCGTCACCATCGCAGAAGACGCGTGCGTCAGAAACACTGAAAATTATTTTAAAAAAAAGAGATCAAATCTAAATCTTTTAAAGCATGCCAAAGTTTAAATCCGAAAGTTGGAAATTTGTAAATATCTACATTTTTAATTCTTCTTAAGCAATGAACTTTGGATTTTGGCTCAAATTTTACGAATATTACATTTTCTGATACGATTTTAAGTGAATTTTAAAAATTTTGACCTTTTGAACCAAAACGGAGATGAGAAGCAAAATGAAATAATCAAATCAACTATTTTGTTTCACTTTAAAATAAAAATTTTGAAATTATTTTTGCGCTTACTCATGACGCCCCAGTAGAGCGAGTCGTTGTCGAGGAGGCGCAGCTCGGTGGCGCGGACGCCGAGGATGCGTTTGCAGAACTCGTGTTCCCAGCTGTACAGCTTGATCAACTTGATGCCCTGGATGGTTTCGTTCATCTTCTTGAGCCGCTCGTCGCTCGCCTCCTGCAAAAACAAACTCGAGTCAATTGGGAGAGCGGAAAAGAAAATGGAAAAGAGCGTTTTTACCGAGATGTGCTTGCTGTTGGCTGACATCCTCTTGCCGACCAACAACTGCAGCGGCGTCATCACCACGATGCACAGCGCGGCGCTGATCACGGCGCTCCAACCCAACTTGCCGTGCAGCAGCCACATGATCACCGCGATCTGACCAAAATAAAATTAATTCAATACGAAAGATCAAAAATCATTCAAATCTGATCAAAGGTGAAGATTTAAAAAGAAAAATTGTAATATTTTCAGAATTCCAGGCCTTTTCCTAACCATTAAGACCAGTTGTTGGATTTTGATGAAACTTGGCATGGTGGTGAATCATCCTAAGATATAAATTTAGTTGAAATCCAAGCATTGCCTATTTTACAGGAGCTCTAAGTGGCGATTTGCGGCAAAGATAGTGTTTTCTTTTAACTCAATTATCTCTAGCAATTTAAAAAAACTTGACGCCGTTTGAAAGCCAATAAAGTGTACTTCAATTCAGCCATAAGAGTCAAGGTCATTAAAATTTTTAGGAAATTTTAAAAACGCCACAAGATATTGAAGGACAAAAAATATTTTGATTTTATCCACAGGAAAATGGAAATGAAGCGATCTTGTTTTTATTCAAAAAACAATTTTCTGCAACAAGGAAAAGCCCGATCGCTTCATTTCCATGATCATCTCCTTGAGAGTGTCAACTTCTTCACACAGGAAAAATATTCCAAATACATCGGTGTACAAATTTGGGTAACACATATTCTCTTCGTTTTTGAGATATCTACAGGGGAAGTTAAAAAAATGTTGTGTTTTGTCCTTTTTAAGGTTGGAAAATTTGTAACAATTCAAATTTTGCAATACAATTTACCAAATAAATTTCAGAAATTTAGGATCCATCATATAAAATTCCATTTTTCAGAATTTACTGAAATCTGTTCAGTAGAAGCCAAGATAATTGAGATTAAAGGAAACAAAAAATTTGAAAAATCCCCACTTTTTGCCTCTATAAAATAATGTTTGGAATTTCAGGCTGACTTTATACCTTAGATTGACCAAGACAAGTTTCATAAATGAACGTATTATTTTTTTTTTAAATTTGAACCAAAAAAAGTGAAAATGTCTATAAAAATAGATTTATTGTTATCAATATTTTCTTTTCACTTTCAGATGTGAGCATTTTGCACTTATTAAACGTTAAAAGACATTTTTTCCTACATATAAAATTTAACTCTGGACCACAAAATTAGGAGACGTTTTCGTTTTAATTGCATGCAATAAAAGTGTCCGCGGAATTCCATTGATGGATTTTTGTTACCTTCAGAGGAATGGCCCAGACGTAATGACCGATCCACACGCACGACATGACGTTGTACGCGTCTTCAGACATGAGGTTGGTCACGGCGGCGGGGTCGGCGAGGGCCGCGGCGGCCGCCGAGCCTTCGGCCGCCTCCTTGAAGCTCCACGGCGCGAGGCGCAGAGACTTGGCGTAAACCAGCGCCTGCGGCCAATCACAAATTAATTAAATCTGCTCAGCTTTGATTAAAGGACCTGAGGGAAATTTAATTTTGTATAATTATATCATTTAAGCATAAATTCTTGAATCAAATTTTTGTGTTGAGCGTTTCCAAGTGAATTTAAAGGGCGATTGGACGAATTTGGATTAGGCAGAACCTGTGTATGATTTTTATACATGTTTGAGAGGGTGCCCAGGGGTGTCCACGCACAAATTTTCAGACCTCTAAAAAGGGGCGTTACCCAAAATTTCGGGACGTGAAAAATGGGCAAAAATTATTTTAGATTTGCTATAACTTTGGAACGGATAAAGTTATATTGACGTTCTTGACTGATCCTGACGTAACTTTTTACGCTGAACAACTTTGCTGTTGATACCAAAGTTGTAGTGTTAAGGGAAATGTCACTTTTAGGTGACCTCTGACCAAAATGTCAAATTTTGACAGGGAACGCCCCCTTCGATTTTTTTTCAGGTATAGGAAAAAATGTAGCCCGTGAAATTTTACATCACATATGTCAAAATTAGAACAAGGTTATTTTTAGTTTTCGAGTAATTAATCGTTAAATAAGAAAAAACGAGTCCGAGGAGGTCGAAAATTTTGAGGTAAATTAAAGAATTAACAGAAACATAACTAAATCAAGTCAGCAATGTTCCATTGTATCAGAAATATTCAATTAAGGCAAAAGCAACATACAGGACACGATTTTTGAAAGTTTCCTTCGATTTTTGAAATAACCTCAAAATTTTCGACCCTCCTCGGACTCGTTTTTTCTTATTTAACGATTAATTACTCGAAAACTAAAAATAACCTTGTTCTAATTTTGACATATGTGATGTAAAATTTCACGGGCTACATTTTTTCCTATAACTAAAAAAAAATCGAAGGGGGCGTTCCCTGTCAAAATTTGACATTTTGGTCAGAGGTCACCTAAAAGTGACATTTCCCTTAACACTACAACTTTGGTGTCAACAGCAAAGTTGTTCAGCGTAAAAAGTTACATCAGGATCAGTCAAGAACGTCAATATAACTTTATCCGTTTCAAAGTTATAGCAAATTCAAAAATAATTTTTGCCCATTTTTTACGTCCCGAAATTTTGGGTAACGCCCCTTTTTAGAGGTCTGAAAATTTGTGTGTGGACACCCCTTGGCACCCTCTCAAACATGTATAAAAATCATACACAGGTTCTGCTTAGTCCAAAATCGTCCAATCGCCCTTTAAATTCACTCGGAAACGCTCCGTTACATTTTTTTCATAATTATATTCCATGAAGATTTAAATTGCGGAATAATTACGATTTTAACAATTTTTTAAATTGTTATTTAAATTTCTTGTGAATTGATTAATGAAAAATGTCTTTGAAGAAAAGAACGTTTGCAAATCGATTTGAAATTTGCGGGTTGAATGGAACAATACCTGGAGCGCGGCCTTGAGGTGAATGCCCTCGACGTTGACGAGGTGCGTGGACGCCTGCGAAAAGGTGCCCTGGGCCAGCGACGCCACCAGCACGACGAAACCCATCACGTAGCCGTTGGCAAACAACTCGGCCAACGTCAAATACTGTCGACAAAATACAATATTTGCAATCTCACAAATTTTCCTTATTTTTCAAGAGAAAGACACAAAATAAGTTCGTACATTTCAAAGTTCCCCCCGTTGAAGAATAGACCTTTTTCATTAAGGCAACAATGGGATTCGCAGGCACAAAAACAGCACTTTTTGGAGGTGTCAAAACGCGACGTTCCGTGCTTCCCGACGTCTTTCTCAGGTCAGTGGTCACCAAATCGCAAAAATCTGGGCATTTTCGGCATCCTCATGAAACGAGCTTTCCGCCGGTGTGCCGTTTTTCGCTCCGAACAGTCGCGTTCTTTTCAAAGCTCGGAGATACGACCAAGAATTTTTTTCAAAATTTGACCGTTTTTAAACGCAAATTTATCCCAGAAATCTAAATTGACACGCAATAAAATGCACACCGTTGTAAAGCTCGTTTCTTCTAGATTCAGAATCCTGAAGCGCGCACCATTCCTTTGAGTTTGCCCTATCTCTTTTTGTCCGAGAAGCACCCCTCCTCCGGCCCTTTTTGCGTCAATTTTGATTGTTGGTTGCGACTCGGTTGAACCCTGACCCGGGCCAAGTCAGGTCAAAAATATATTATGAAAAATTAATGAAAATCAATAAAAAATTGGAAAATAAAAGTTAAAGAGTTGCTTGAAATAACTATTTCAATGCCATAATTTATTTCACACGGACGCCCGAGATATAAAAGGGTTTGTGAGGAGTGCTCCCATTTCAATTGTGATTTTTTTAGAAAGAAAAACTTAATACAAAAGTTGTAGCTAAAGACATGTTCTTTCTTTTTGCAATAGTATATGTGACTGTAAAAAATTTTTATAATTAAGTAAAAATTGAAGAAAATAAAATTTTAACTTTTTAGACACGAAGAAAATTTTTAAGATTTTTTTGAAGATAGCCAATCGATTCAGCATGTCTTCATTAGTCTATGGCTAAATTTTCGTGAATAAATTCGCAACACTTACAAAGTTATTGCAAAATGATTGCCAGCACCTCTTTCATTTAAAAACAGAGACACGACCCTTTTGAATATTTTTGCAATAACTTTGTCAGTGTTGCGAATTTATTTACGAACATTTGGTCATAGACTAATGAAGACATGCTGAATCGATTGGCTATCTTCAAAAAAATCTTAAAAATTTTCTTCGTGTCTAAAAAGTTAAATTTTTATTTCCTTCAATTTTTACTCAATTATAAAATTTTTTTACAGACACATATACTATTGCAAAAAGAAAGAACATGTCTTTAGCTACAACTTTTGTATTAAGTTTTTCTTTCTAAAAAAATCACAATTGAAATGGGAGGGGGGCCCATAATATGTCCGAAATAATTGTGTCCGAATCCGGAAAAATAAAGTGTCCGAAAATAATGTGTCCGAAATATTTTTGTCCGAATTTTTTCAAAATTTTCTCCGAAAATACTTCATCCGAATTTTTTTTCTCCGAAAAATGGTTCATCCGAAATGAAACTGTCCGAAATTGAGTAGTATGGTAATGTATAGTATTCTTATTTATTTAATTCACAGCCCGTTAAAAATAACGTTTGTCACAGAGTTCCAGATTCAGTCGAGGTTCAAGGGTCTCTAGTCCGAGTCAGAGTCGTGCTGGTTGTCCTGACGCCGCTTTGACCTCTGATGTTGGACTGGGTTTTGTTAAAATTAAAAAAATGTTTAAGTTATATATAAATAAATAGATATAAATTCCTGTCTTTCTGCAACCCTCAAAGGATCGTACATTCTGTATGAAATCCTCTCCAGGAAAAGCCTGATGCTAATGCTCCCGTCAGCAAGTCTGTTTGTTTGTTCCTTGATGAATCTGTCTTGGTGAAAGTATTTAAGTTTTCTTGTCCTTGCAGGCAACGTTTAATGATTCCAAATCAGAGAGTGCTTTCATTGTCAATGCCTTCAGTGCCGCAATGTATGGCCAAATTCCTGGATGGGCAGTCTTCACAATCCCTATTAGCTTTTTGTGGAAAGACTCTAAGCTGTTATTAGTCCTATGCTTGTGGTTGTGTCTAATCGATAGCACTGCGGTTCACCATCATCAACCTTTTTGCCTCTCGCTGTACATGAAGGATATTTGGAGCACTACAGGTACTTTGTTGTCGACTTCGGGGTTTTCACTGATCTGTTGATATGCAGCAGGAATACATTGTGAAGAAGAACTTCCTTTTTATGTTTTTGGACATTTTGTATTTACAGTCTCACTCACCTCAAACCAACACAAAACAAACCCATAACCAACCCATAACCAGCGGCTGGCCAGGGAGCAGGTGGGAGTGCGCGGAAAGGAGTGCGCATGTTTCTGGTGCTTTTAAGGGAGACTAACTACAGTATTACTTCGGAGAAAGTTTTTTCGGAAAAATTAAGATTCGGAGGAAAGATATTCGGACAAATTATGGTTCGGATAAAAGTTTTTCGGACATATTATATTTTTAACTTCGGATCAAATTTTCGGATGAAAGTTTTCGGACAAATTCCAGAAAAAACTTTCGGACACAATTATTTCGGACACATTAAGGCCCCTCAATGGGAGCACTCCTCACAAACCCTTTTATATCTCAGGCGTCCGTGTGAAATAAATTATGGCATTGAAATAGTTATTTCAAGCAACTCTTTAACTTTTATTTTCCAATTTTTTATTGATTTTCATTAATTTTTCATAATATATTTTTGACCTGACGTGGCCCGGGTCAGGGTTCAACCGAGTCGCAATCAACAATCAAAATTGACGCAAAAAGGGCCGGAGGAGGGGTGCTTCTCGGACAAAAAGAGATAGGGCAAACTCAAAGGAATGGTGCGCGCTTCAGGATTCTGAATCTAGAAGAAACGAGCTTTACAACGGTGTGCATTTTATTGCGTGTCAATTTAGAATTCTGGGATAAATTTGCGTTTGAAAACGGTCAAATTTTGAAAAAATTCTTGGTCGTATCTCCGAGCTTTGAAAAGAACGCGACTGTTCGGAGCGAAAAACGGCACACCGGCGGAAAGCTCGTTTCATGAGGATGCCGAAAATGCCCAGATTTTTGCGATTTGGTGACCACTGACCTGAGAAAGACGTCGGGAAGCACGGAACGTCGCGTTTTGACACCTCCAAAAAGTGCTGTTTTTGTGCCTGCGAATCCCATTGTTGCCTTAATGAAAAAGGTCTATTAAAAGTATCGAATTATTATACAAAAAAAATTTGTTATTATTGTTGTTTATTTGTCCACATTGTTACAAATACATTGTTTACATTCAATTTTTGAAAAACAATTATTTAAGAAAAAGAGATTGTTGGACAAAAAGGCATCACCACTAGCAAAAATTTTGCTAAAACTTCCGAGATCAAAAAGACCCCATCCGCCGCAGTGAGCCTCGGTTGACTAAGTTTTTGTTCTTATCACTTATCACAAATTCTGCACAAATTTGTTACATTTATCTATAAAAACTTTTGATTTCTAATTTTACATCAAATTAAAATACAAAAATAAATAGCAAAATGATTAGAATTATTGACACGAACACGTTTCTGGTCAGAATTGGAAGTGCAAACACGCAGGGAAGCTTATTTGATATTGATTCAAAGATGAGTCACAAATTTCTCGTTTCGCTGAACATTTACTCGCCTGTGTTTGCGGCGTGCGTTTGTCCGCGGTCTGGACGAAGGCGACGATGACGGAAATCCCGAGAGGTCCGGCCAGGCCGACCAGGTCGCCCAGCAACTTGAAGACGCCGCCGAGCGCGAACTTGGCCCAGCAGAAGCGCGCGTAGCATCGCCACAGACTCCCGTTTTGCTCCTGAAAATAATTAAATCAATGCGATATGGTTTTGCAATTTGTGAGTGGCGCGCAAACAGGTTCCGATTTGTTCGTTGGAGAGAAGAATCGTGACTCGCCAAACGGGTCAGCTAATCGACGCACAAACACTCTCCATGCAAAAGGTGCAGAGAGAGAGAGTTTTCTCTAACGCGTGATTTATCAAAGCATCTACAGTGCGCGAGAGATCGAGATGATTGACGGGCCATTATTTGAAATGGTCAGGTCAATAAAGGAGTGCCCTTTTGTTTTAAGTGCATTTCGACAGTGCGTGCCCAATTTTTTTTTAATCTTCAGTTTCGGATAAAAGAGTCGCCGTTATTTGTCCGAAGTTTTTTCGTCAGAAAACAGCATTTTGCATTTGTCAGAAAACCTGTTTTTCAAATATCAGAAATTCAAAAGTAAGAAATGCAAAAGTTAGAAATTTTTTTATATTCATTTTTATATTTCAAATGTCTTTTTTTCTGACAAATAAGGGTTTCCCGGAAAAAATCCAATAAAGGTCATATTATAAAATAACCGCAATTTTGATCACAACTGATTGATTAATGTTGTCATCTGAAGTTTTTTTAAACTAGATAGAATTGCTTGATTATCTCGAAAATAGGAAATTATAACATATATAACATATAAGTCTAGATTTTTTTTCCAATTTAACGATTGAAAAAGCTAGGTACCCCCACTACATTTCCACCCCTATTTCCTATTTTGCATATTCCGTTACAATATATGGTGCTATTTACAATTAGAACTACCGATAACAACACTTAACATAAATCAATCCTGGGTCTCTAGGCATAAACGTATAAGTAAATAGCAAAAAACACAAAAACTACCGCTAAAACACCGCATTTCAGGCCCTTTTTGAGCTCAGGCCGGCCTGTTTAACACAAAACTTCAGTAAAACGCCGCGTTTATGCATCTTTTAATCGTTCGGATCCTGCGAAAGTCAATCCTGGGACTCTTGGCATCTATAGACGTATTTTTAATCAATGACTAAATACTCAAAAACCACCGCTCAAACGCCGCGTTTCAGGCCCTTTTTGAGCTCAGGCCGGCCTGTTGAACACAAAACTTCAGTAAAACGCCGCGTTTTGCTGTTTTTTCAGGTTGCGGAATGAAAATCTATCCTGGGACTCTTGCCCAAGCCCATTGCCTACTCTCAATGTTTGAACGGGGTTTTCTCACAATTTCAAGCGTTGGACCTCAAATTTTCTGGTTTTCAAATTTAATTATAAAAAAAAAATCACGATTCACAGCTGTTGAGATCCTCTTGCAATTGGCAAAATGTAAAATTGTGTAAAATGGCTTCAAATGGCTGCATTTAAATATTATGTTTTTGGTACCTGATTTTGCTGATTGTAGATGAGGTTGAATTTGCTGAAGGAGGCTTCGGTGCTTTCCTCCTTGGGCAGTTTGCCCAGGTCGGAGAGCTCGAGCGGCTTTTCGGCGCCCTTGCACAGCAGCGGCGTCAACCACCAGAACGTGGCCTGCGACGCCAAACTGGCCGTCGAGTGGCCGTACACGTGCTCCCCCTCCTCCCCCTCCTTGGCCTCCACAGCCGCCCGCTTGTACTCGGCCGACCGCAATCGCTGCAGAAGAAAAAAAATCATTTTAAACCAGGCAAACTTAATTAGTTGTTAATTTTTTCTCATCACGGTGAATATTTCTGATAAACAAGATAAAATTAAGACTGATTATTAACTGAAGAAGAATTTACTGATCCAAAAAAGTGATAAAATAAAAAATTATCTTTATTTTTTATAATTTTAATAAATTCTCAAATTGACTGTTGAAATAAATTTTTTTCTTTCTAAAAATAGCGGCAAATTGCAAAAAAGTTTCTCAACTTTACACATAGAGAGATGATGAATATGCGCATCGTAAATCTTGCAAATGTGTTTGAAACGTGTGTGTTTATAACACACTGCGGCTGTGACCGCGCGCGAGAAAATAAATATCGCGGCGGTCGCTCCGAGAGTCTCCAAAACGTTTCAATTTTTTCAAGTCAAATATGAAGATCATGCAAAATCCAATCGACTCTCACTTTTCGTTAGCTGCTCTCCTTGCCAAAATGCTAATTACAAATCTTAAATTGATATTTTTTGACAAAATAAAATTGAAAATAAAAAATTTGCTAATTTTCATAAACAGAAAACCAACTGGAATATGTTTGAAAGCATATTTTTTGGTAATAAAAAGGCAGCTTTTTTATTTTAACTGAGGAAAAAGTTTACAGAGAGGATCAATGTAATTTTATTTTATTCATTTTACCAAGTTCATTGGAATGATATAATTTAAAGAAATTTTTATCAAATTTGACCAAGTCAATTGTTAGAAAATAATTTTAGAACATTCACTTAAGAAACAATTTTAATTAAAAAAAAATTCAGTTCTCCTGATTAATTAATTTTTTTTCTGAAATTAAATCTGCACACAAATAATGAGCTAATTTAAACATTATTTAAATATTAATCTGGCCGTTTTTTAGCCCCTCCTTAATTCCTTTACGACGATTGATGCGGTTTTGCAGAGGAAACGTTGCAAAGTTTTGGGACACAGACAGAGAGTTTTGTTCTGCAGCTGCGGTTATGTCACCGCGCTCGGCGGTCGCGCGAAATGAATTGTGGCTCATTGATAGCATCACGACGAGAAGCGTGGTTAATTCTAAGTCAAGAGTAGAGAGACCATTTGGCATTTTTCCTGTTGAGTCACGCCTCACAAAAAGAGACGAAAATTCAAGTTTTTTTTATTTTCATTTAAACACCAGTCAACATTTAGTTTGAATCAATTTGAAGCGAGGAATGACAAAACAAGCGCACAGGCCTCTGATGGGTGTTTATTAACGAGAGGGGGTCCTGCCGAACCCCGGAAGCCCAAAACGCTGCACGTCCGCTTCAATAACAAGTGCCGAGACGGCCGTAAAATTTGCTTTAATGCGATTGAAACGAAATAGCGCCGCGGCCAAAAATGTCAACACCGACTTTTAAGTGGCAATTAAAACACGTCCTACGTGGAAACTTACTTAATTACGAAATTAATTCACTCACAATAATGTCTCCATAGTAATAAAAATACATGAAATTTTGTTTAAGCTTTCCCAAGAAAGTTTTGATTTATAATTAATTATAAATGCTAATATAAAAAATTATTTAAAAAATTAATTTACATAGAAACTATTTCTATAGATGTTAGCATTGGTTTTTATTTTTCATTTCCAAGGAGAAATTTTTAAAAAACTGGATTTTTTTTTAATTGCATCTCATGAGAATTTTCTAAATAAATTTTACTGTCAACATTGACGTGGCCAAAATTGATAAAAATTTCACCAAATCACCCCAATTAAGACAAAAAAATTAAGTTCCTCGACAATGAGATGCAAATATATATAAAAAAATTATATACAAGTATACTCTGAATTAAATAATATGTACTTGAAATTATAATAAAATTTAATGTTTAATTTATAGTTGAAAAATATTATTATTAAATATCATCAATTATAATATATTTCAACAAAAAACATTTTATAAAGAAATTAATAAATTACCCTTCAACCCGTAACTAAGGGATGCAATTTTCTTCCTCATTCAATGGAAATTTCCATAGCAAAATCACTCGAATTGCTTCCTTTGATTTATTTTTAATTTAGAACTTGCCTGGTTGAGGACGAGGGTGGTTTCGAGGGCGGCGAGGGTGCAAAAGACGAGGGTGGCGAGGGATGCTGTGGCGGCGCGCACGTGGCGGATCGCGGACAACCCCTGCTCGGACAGCAGCCCGTGCAGCTGGACGCCCCTGGCCGCCGCGTTGCCCAACCACACGCACAACACCAGCACTGCGAAATTCAAAATTAAACCAGGAAAACGTATAAAAAAAATTAGAAAATTTATTCAATGTGGAGAGTTAATTAAGAAGTGGGTTTATGGCGAGTGCATAAAAGTGTCACTTTGGCGTTCGGCTGGCGCTCGATCCTCTCGGAATAAGTGAAAGTGATTTTGACCGGTGGAATTTTGCATAGGCAGGTGTCAATGAGACGCAAATAAAGAAATCAGGTTTTCCTGGGAGTTTTTTTTTTAATTCTAAATTTCAACATTACAAAAATTCTTTAAAATTCATTCTCAAATAATCAACATTTCTACTAAATCACAAATCCAAATTTTATGAAACTTTTCCTTAATTTGCAAAGAGACAACTCTGCCTTTAACAAAATTCACAGATTTTACTGTAAATTGTTTTGCAATAATGAAATTTATACCATAAAAATTAACAACTTAAAATGAAGATTGTAAATTTGATGTTGGAAATGTGGAAATTATTAGATAGTGAATGTGGAACGAAACGAACTAAATTATGAATTGAGAAACGTAATTCTTGATTATATTTCTTTGTTGCTTTTTTTCATTCAACCAAATTTCTGATTATCTGAAAAGACAAACCTCTGGTTTTAGAGTTGCAGGTTGGGACGCAGAACGTGGCGGCGGAAAAAAGGGCGAGCGTGGCGAGGGGAGAGCCGACCAGGGCCAGGTTCGCGGCCCAAGAAGGGTGCGGACCGAAGGCCAGGACGATCGCCTCGCTCGCCTCCACCACCCCCACCAGCACCCCCGTCAACACGGCGCCGCTTCGGCAACACTCGCACGCCAAAACCAGCCGCGACTTCGACCATCTGCGGACGAAACAAGAAAATTATTGATTCAAAAAATGTTAAAAAGAGGCATTTCCATGATTATCCATCAAGAGGAATTCGATTCAGGAAACCCATAATCTTGAGATTTTAAAATTGAATTTTGTGCCCAAATTTGGATTTCTCCGATATTTTGGAATTTGGAAAAAAATTTAACTTGTGTTGCAACGACGAATGCTAGAGTGATAAAAATTTCTTCTCTGCACTCAATTTTTCAGGCCTAACAACTTTTCTCCTGACACTAAAGCTCGGTCAAAGTTCAAGGTCACTTATAACTTATAATTATAAGCGATATTTGATCATTTTTAGTGAAAAAGTCCAATTTTGAGGATGATTTTCCCTTCTGAATTTTTGCAGGTGGAGGAAAAAAATGTAGCATAAAAATAACATTTAATGTTTAGAAGGGTTAAATTTTCAGTTTTCTCAACATTCAAAAAATATGAATGCTCAATTTTTACCCTTTATTGAGAAAATTTTGAAATAACAACCATATTATTTCTCAAATATTAAATTACGAAAAAAATTTGCTCCCTCACGCGTAAAATATATGCCTTTATAACCTGTTTTTTTTTTCTTTAAACTTCTGATTTCATGGAAATGCCCAAAATAAATTAAAAATCTTCTTCCAGGAAATTGAGTAAAAACGGTGACACATGGACATGGTTTTCAAGGTGAACAACTAGATTGAACTGCTGGAGTTTCTGTTGTTATTCCTCAAGCATTAGAGCACGTGAGCGGCAATAAACATGTGTCTTTTTATAGAGTGTAATTTATATGCTGTGAGAAAAAGCGGCAACGCATCAAAGAATATGACATTTCATTTGTAATAAATATGTTTTTTTGCTGTCATAATAAAAAAAAACTTCTTGAGCAAATAAAATAGATTTTTTCTTTTTTAAATAACAATTATTTTGATATTCTTGTGTACCTGGAAGGTTTGTCGGGGCGGCAGACTTTGGATGCGGCCGCGACGAGCAAAGTGGAGAGCAAGGCGAGCAGCGTGTGGAGGCAGCAGTCGAGAGACCAAGTGAAGGGCATGTCGTCGACCTCATCCCGGCCCCAGATGCACACTGGCTCAGTCCACTCGGCCGACTGCCAGCATCTCTCCTTCTCCCGTCCGCACAGCAACTCGCAGCGCCCTCTTTCAACAGCTCCATTCAAATTCAAATCTTTTCTCTCTCTTTAATTCAATCAAAATTCGCAAATAATGAAGCACAACAATTTTTTATTGACATAAAAAACAAAATGCAATTGTATTATTTTTACATCAAAAAAGGATAAGTCTGTCAAATAAAATGGTCCTCTCGTTGAGATTTGTAAAAACCAAATTAAATTTTTAGTTTTACTTCTTCTTCGGATCCTTGAGTCCTGCCCCGGCGTTGAACTTGAAGAAAATAATGTCGCCATCCTCGACGGTGTAGTTGCGGCCCTGCTGCCTGTACTTGCCTGCAGCCTGGGATTAAAAAAAAAATAGTGAAATAATAATTTTTAAGAATTGGAAGTGGCAAACCTTGCAGTTGGCCTCGGTGCCCTCCTCCTTGAAGTCGTTGTAGTGCATCACCTCGGCCATGATGAAGCCCTTTTCAAAGTCCGTGTGAATCCGACCTGCAGCCTGCGGCGCTTTTGCTCCTTTCTAAATTGCAATTATTCATTTTAAAATAAGAAGGAAAGTGGAAAATTGAAAGACTGACCTGAACGGTCCAAGCCTTGACCTCATCCGGCCCAGCCGTGAAGAAGTAAATGAGCTGCAGAGACTTGTAACCTTGCACAATAATCTTGTCCAAGGCACTAATTCAAAATATTTTTTTTATTAAATTATTTGTTTTTCAGTAATTTTTTTTTTTAAATATTGGTTTTTCAGCTAACATAAGGTTTTCAACAGAGCAGGACTAAATTTCGGTCCCGTGAACTCCTGTTCCCCGAAAATTGTCATTTTTGGAAAATCCGGGCTCAAGATTTACTACCAAAATAAATTTGTAAATTTTCAGGTCTAAATTGTCTATAATAGCAATTTAGATAGAAAAATGAAATAATGCTGAGTAAAATTATGATCCCGGGAAATCCCATCCCTAAATTTTTCCCCAGCAGAGTATTAAGTCTGTTGAACCAGGACATCCCGAGCATTCCCTAACTTCCCATCCTGATAAATGCTCTAATTTTAACTAATTTAAGTTAAAATTGAAATATTTTAGGCAGACCTAGTGGTGCCCTGTTCCTTGAGGTAGGCCTCCTTGGCAGCATCGTCCATGTCGAAGATCTTGGACTCGAAAATCCCCGAGAAGGGGATGATGATGGCGCCCGGGTCGTTCTTGTCCACCCACTCCTTGATTTTGGCCAACCTGACAAGAGGAAAAAGTTAATTGTGCTTAATTATGAAAAAAAAAAGGTTTTTTCCCTTACCACTTGTTCTTTTTACGAATGTAGTCCTTTTCCGAAAGGTTCACCAGGTAAATGACCGGCTTGGACGTCAGGAAAAGGTACTTGTTCAACACTTCAATCTGAATCAAAACTTTTAATCAATTTAAAGCAATTGGAGGAATAATTTTTACATCATTGGCATTCCAATCTCCAAAGCGGATGTGCTTCTTTTCGTCCACCAACAATTGCTTCACTTTGCACAAAACGTCCTGGACAATTTTTATTTTTAAAATTCTAGTAAATCACTTTTTTTATCAGAATTTTACATATTCAGGCTTCATCTTCTTGTCCGAGCCTCGTAAGACGGTTCGCTCGAACTTTTCAATCGTCTGCAGCATGACCTCCTCATCTTTGAGGCGCAGCTCCTCCGCAATGACCCCGAGGTCGTTGACCGGGTTGACCTCACCCTCAACGTGGGTCACATCATCATCGTCGAAAGCTCCTTTTTATAAAATTAAATTTTAATTATAATATATTTTTATCAAAATTTAGAAACCGACTGCAGAGGTGGAAAATGGCGTCGCAGGCCTTGATGTGAGAGAGGAAGGCGTTGCCGAGTCCTTGGCCTTCGGACGCGCCCTTGACCAGGCCAGCAATGTCCACCACGTTGAGGAAGGCGGGCACTTTGCTGGCCGGTTTGTGGTGCTCGCACAGGAAGTCGAAGCGCTCGTCCGGCACCGGGACGCGGCTGCGAATTCCAAATTTCAGAATATTATTTCAAATTTGAAGACTTTTATTAATAAATTTGGCACCTTTCGTTGGGGTCGATGGTGCAGAAGGGGAAGTTTTCGGCGGCCGCCTGCGACTTGGTCAGCACGTTGAAGAAGGTCGACTTGCCGACGTTGGGGATGCCGACGATGCCCACCTTCAGGTTGGTGCCCACCCGCCCGATCAGCGGCTTCTTCTCTTCCTCCTGCTTCTTCGGCGGCATCTCTTGCTTTTTTTCTTTCTTTCTGCTCACAAAAACAATAACTTTAGTTCCAAATAATATATGTACAATTATGAGGAAAAGTTTGTTAGCTAAATTTCTCAATAAAACGTGAGTCTGGTCGGCGACACCCTCTGGAAGGCTTCGGCCGATGCAAATCCCTCGAGTTTTGCGTTCTCAACGCAGAAAAGGTAGAAAAAGGTATCATACCTGTTTTGAAAGAAGAAGTGTTTACAAGTCGGCCATATGAGACGAGCCGGTCCGACTCCGATTTGCTTCCACACGTGGACACGGCCCCCTGCATGGAACTCCTCCGCAGAGCCTCCTTGCTTTTGCTCACCTTGAATAAAAGGCGGGAAAATAAAGAAAGGAGCAGAAACATAACATAATTATTTTTCATTGTTTATTCCTTCAAACCGAATTAATTAAATTCAATATTATTGTAGAAATTTTGATTTCCCAGAAGAAATTGAAAAATTAAAAAAGGCGGGAAAATGAAGAGCTGGAATACAGAAATAAATTATTTTTTATTCATAATGCAATTGATTTTGGGGAATTTATGAAAAAAAGCTCTCTCCTTCATTTAGAATTTTATACTTTTAGTGCAGATATTGGCAGCAGGAAGGGAATGTAAAATTAAAAAATCAATTAAATTAATTTTTATTCAAATTTATTTAAAATTTATGCGCGCATAAGAAAAATGTCTAACATCTTTAAAAGGTAGGAACCGATAGGAACTTTTATCTGATATCAAATATTATTGTTTTTAATCTTCTTGTAATATCTTAGGAACATTTCTTGAGGAAATTTTAATTCACCACAAATTAAAATATGAATTATATATTTTGGAGAAATTAAAAATATAATTTATAAATTAAAATTACTTTGTAGAAATGCAGTGGAGAATTTGCAAAAAAAAAATACTTTGTTAAGTAATTTAAAATAAAATACGCTATTGGCCGTTTAACTTCTCATCCTAGGTGCGGTGCAGAAGGAGCCCCAGGATTTTCACCAGGAGATTGTTGGTTGTGAAGGGACCTTCCGACTCTTCCTGGCACAAAAGACACTTTGCCTGTTTCCGGCCAGCGAGCCACTTTTTCAAGCAGAACTGCAGAATTAAAGAATTTTTTTTTTATCACATTCTATTGGTTTTCTTCAATTGTAATTGAAAGACAGAAAAATTGATTCAAATAATGAAGGAAAAATTTAACTTACCAAGCATTTGTTGTGACCACATTTCAGTGTGGCTGGATTGACGCAGACCTCTTGGCAAATGACGCACCTAAATTGTTCAGCCACAGCCTTGATGAACTCCTAAAACAATTTATTTTTTATTTTATTTTTTACAAAATTTTATTCCAAATTTCTTACAGGGTAGCCAAGTTTCTGGGCCTCCTCCAAGGCCTTCCAGTTTCTTTCATTCAGACCATCTTGAGCAATCAGTTGCTGGACCCTTCTTTGCAGAACATAAGGTGTGATGAATTTCTCCTTCGTTTGCACCACCTCAGTTCGACGGACTTTTGCTGGGGTCCCCTCTGGCTGCCCCTTTTGAAGCCAGACAATTAATTCAAATTAATAATAAAAATTTATTCTTATACTTCCAGAAATCCAACACTCATGCTCCTCATGTAAGCCATTCCTGAGGACGTCCAAGGTGGGGGCTCGTTGTCGTCCCTGACCAACTCAAACTCCCAAGTCTTGTCCCTCCTCTTGCAGTACCGGAGGACTTTGTAAATTCCGTCGTAACTGGAAATAAATTAATGAGATTAAAATTAACATTTTGTATTCTTATCTTACCGGAATCCGTACGCAGGAGTGAATCTTGTGGGCAAGGTGTGGCTTCGGATGACCCTGACCGGGGCTCCCAGGCGCCAACTTTTGGAAGTGGCACCGACCTCGGCAAAACAAGATCGAGCCAAGGCCCTGGAAATTTAGATTTTTTTTACTAAAAACTGAATTTTTTCTGAATTTTTATACAAATTGTTGCCAGAAACTCCTGAAAAAGTGAAGCGATGTCCTTTGTCGTCCAAGCGACCTTTGTGACTTGAGGTCAACAAAATGCTCTGAGCACCAACTTTGGCAGAGCCACAAATGCTCAAATCTGGTGAGCAGTGCACTCCTAGGTTCACAAGCTGAAACATTGAATTTAAAAAAAAAAAAACAAAATTAATTAAATTCAAATTATTCTAATTTATATGTAAAATTAGCCCTATTTACCTGAGCTTTTGTTGCCAACAGCCTTCCTGAGGGAACTCCAGCAATTTTTCCAATGTGTCCTTCGGGCACCACACAAACCGATCCTTCCTCAGACGGACCTCTTTTCCTCAGCAGTTTTTGCACTTCTTCCTGCTTTTCCTGTTTGATCGTCTTGGCTTCAACATTGACGCACTTTGGACAGAACCTTTTTAAAAATTGCTAATCATTTTAAAAACAAACAACTATTACTGAATTGATTTACCACTCGTTTTCAGGGATTTTCTTCAATGGGGGAGTCAAGCAATGTGTGTGGTACGAATTGTCACATTCGTCGCACATCAGTTGACTTTGCTCCTCTCCTTTGTCTCCGCAAACGACACAGCAGCAATGCTTGCACTTTCTTGCTGGGCTGCCTTTGCAGAATCTGCATGCTGAGTACACAAAAATTAAAATTCATCGAAAAAATCGTCAATTTTTAATTACGTTCCAGCAAGGAGCGGCCACTTGCCAATTTGCTCCACTCGTCTCTGGTCACCAACCTCGGGAATTGGACAGTTCTGTGTTTGTAAATGAGCGTCTGGTCAACGAAGTGCTCCTCTTTGGCATGGACTGTGCAGGAAACTGAGACCGAGGACGGATGGGAGAACTTTTTGGCTCGACCAACACTTGTGATTTCGACCTCGTACCTGGAAATGATCAAAATTATATTATATGAAAAAAATAGTTTATTTTCTTCACCATCCTTCCTCCTTGCCAGGTGGAGCCACAAAAGCCAGAACCTTCATGCCAGCCTTCAATTGTTCAGATCGAAACTCGGCTGAGCCGCAAGGGAGCAAATTCCTCAGCTTCAAAAGCAGTTCCTCATTTTTCCTTTGAAGACAAGAATATATAAATTAAATTTTAACAGATTATTAATTATATATGTACTTTTGGCATAGGATTCTGTAAGTAAATTCATCGTCCCCATTCAATTCAGCATCATTGCATCTGAAAATTGAGGAAACTTCTCCCTCCTCCCACTGGCCTGTGTCCTCATCTTGGAAGTATAGGTTGTCTCCAGGCTAGAACGGGACATTCAGAATTCAAGATTTAAGGACTAAAACATATACAAATATGCCTCTGAAGAAAAAATTGATAGATTATAATTACCTTTTTATATTCAAATATTAAAAATTATAATTTAAATATTTTTCAGTCAAAATATTGATCAAAACAATTGATAATGGTGAAATTTTTAAAACTTTTCCGAAAACATTAATTTTAACATCTCACTTGGAAATATTTGCTGATCTGATCATTTAGCAGCGCCTCTTCTTCATTCTGATCAATCTTCTTCTTGACCTCTGAAGAGGTTTTCTCAGCAGCAATTCCATCCCTTCTTTGCTTGATGCGAATATTCACGACACATTGATCAGCCAAACTATATCCATGCAAAGGCAACTCCTTCAAAAGCTGCAAATATTTTACTGTTTTCAAATACTTCTGTCGTGATAAATAATTTTACCTTTTTTCCTCCGTAGAAGAGTTCAATTGCAGAGGATTTGCACTCAAAAAATGCGCTCGCTGCTTTGAGCAAATCATTCACCTGCGAGTTTTCAGGCACGTTGACCGAAGCCTCTGGCAGAGTGCGGCTGAAGTCTCGCAGTTTCAGCAGCATTTTTTTTTAGATTTAAATCAAAATTCAAAATAAATTCCCCAAAAACACGGATCCATCAGAGAGACACGAACCGTCACGAATGCGCACTCGTCTTGTACAACGAGAAAAATTAAAAACCAGGCACAATACATATATCATTCATTCCTCTGGCATCCTTCTCCCCCCCTCCTCCTCCGAGCACCAATTTTTGCACGTTCAACTGAGACTTCGCCGCCGCAAGAACTGGATTTCCACCACTCCACTGTTTTGTTTTTATTTGGCAGCGGATCTGCTCAGGTTGCGAGCCACCTGTTGACGGAATGCAAAAGTTAGGGTCTTTGAGAAGCGGTCATAAAGGTTTTGAGTTGAGACATATGTATTATGTTATGTTTGAACATAACATATCAGCCAATCAGAATCGAGCTTTCTTATGTTATGTTTTTACTGTTTTGGGCTATAATTTATTTTATTTGGTACCTTTCACGAATGCGGCTCTTATGAAATAATGTAGTACAAAAGTAAAGAATTCATGTTTTTGTACGCAGATCAAGAATGTTTTACATTGACGGCAGCAAAGTAAAAATAAATTAACTTAATTATGAATGCATATCACCATGAATATATTAACATAATAATACATATCTTTTTACTATATAATACATATCTGCAGAAAATGGTGTTTTAAAAACTTAAATATGAATTTATTTATGGTAAGAATTATGACAGAATAATGACATACAAAAAAATTTTTATATAAATTAAGTTAAAGTCGGGCCAGTGGTCATAAATAATATTGCAAAATTATGAAGGATCAGTAATTTGAATTAGCTTTGTAATATTCTCAAAAAATAATTGACCCATTTGAAATGTTTAATTAACAAAATTACTGACATATATTTGCCTCAGAGGCCGTCAAATTAATTTGCAAAAATGACATTGAAAGATAAATATTTTTATCAAATTTATAAAAATAATTGTGCCAAAACGTATTCAGCGTGTATATGATGGCTTTTCACTGGATAAATCCACATAAGACTCGAGAATACAAATCTGTGCAAATAAATCTTTCTTATTTATTCGAGTTGCATAGATGAACTCCAAAGAAAAACAGGCACACTTTTAAAGAATTTATTTGGCTACTTCAATTTATTTAATTTCTTAGTCAACTCATATTGTGTTAAATTAAAATTATGGTCCGCACAATACATATGGTGAGACAATGATCGAGGGTGCTCGCTCGCCATTCACAATTAGGCGGGGGTGGGCAAGCATTTGACCGACCCTCCTCCCCCACCACAGGGGAAAACCACCCCTGAAAACCCTGTGGCGGAGTCTCACTGTAAGATTAGAACAATATTTCCTGATATCGATACAAATGATAATACATAATTATACACATTCAAGTCTTTTAACAGATTTCTTAGTCAGATAATACATATCTTAAAATTATTAATTGTTGTTTTGTACAACCAAAACTTTCATTAATACAATTCAGCCGTACAAATATAACGGCGTCAACAAATATTAAGTGATTTGCAAAATTAATGCTTAATTTTCAGGCAAGGTACAAAAGCTGCATGTTCGATATGGACTTGCCTCAAAATTTAAATTCAACAGTTATAAAATAATTTAGCATTACAAAATAGCATTGTTTCTCTGGATCGCTAATCTGCACGAACAGGATTTAAATTATATAGAACTTAAATCAAAACGGGCTGCTGATGCGAGTTTTCTGCTGGGGCCGACTGCGTGCATTAACCTGCACACAATTTAACAGGAATAAACCAATTAGATTCTCTTAGGGACTACTATTTGAATCCCTTTTTGGTTTCAAATTTTACAATTTCGAGCAGATCAATAAATCCAAAATATATTATTTCCTTTTTGTGATTAAAAATAGGTGTCAGGTGAAGTCACCTGAATCTGGCGACAGGTGTCGTTGATGCTGCTCCTAGGGTCTACTCAACAAGGGTCTACTGTTGCAACTCAAGGGCGCTCGATCTTCTCGTCCACACACCACAGCAGCTTACAGATTTCCATCTCCTGGATCGTTGTGAACTTTGCCGAGAACGCTGACGTGCATTGATCCTTTTTGAGAATGCAATTCATTAGAGTTAATATCATATTATTTCTTCACTCGAGCTACAATAACCCTTTGTAGGGTGCCCCTGCTTTAGAGATGGTTCAGCACGTATTGATTTTGCCTTGACGGATTCTTGACGAAAAAGCACCCGTCTTCTTGTCTTGGCACTGAAAGTCGAGTGAATAATGATTATACTTGCAATAAATATATAAGATACGATATCAAACAAAATACTAATTAAAATCTACATGATCATGATCGTAATTAATTTTGAAGGGACCAATTACAAATATAGAGATGAAAACACATAATACTGTTTTCTGTTGATCGAATATGAAATGAGTCAAACTCACTTTAATTTGCACCTGGCTCTCCAGGAACACAGACGAATTCAAAATTTGAAGGCCTGCGTGCTTCATTTAACCTGTTGGCTGGTAAAAATTGAGATTGATGATCACAGCAAACTTCCAAAGGGTGCGTCTTCGAATTTCTGGAAGTTTAAAAAACCAAACAGACAACCAAGAAATTCATACTCAAGTGAGAAAGGCCATAATAGAATAAAAAAAGATTGTGTGTGTTTGGTCGAGAACGTCCCGAACGGCAGCGCCCTTTGCGGTCGGACGTTGCCACTCGAGGCGCCCTGTCCCGAGAATCCACAAAAGGCGCACTGAACAAGGTTCAACACGCCTCCCTGGCAGGGCAGCACCAGGGGTGGATTTTAGTTGAGTGAAAGGAAGAGAATAGAGATATAAGGTGGGGAAAAAATCTGGGAAAGACACAACCTGGCGTTTTTTGCAGGCTTTCATTTGGCTGTTTTAGATCAACTCGCCTAACGACTTCCCTCTCCTGCCTCACTTCTTGCCAACTTTGGCGATCTATAATAATAATTTTTTTTGTTAGATACGCACCTCGGAAAAATCTTATTAACTGCTTACCTTATTTCACAAAAAGTTTGATTTCAATCGATTCATATTTGAAGTCGGAGATTTATTGGCCTTCTGCGCAGCCACCTATAGTGCCGCTTTTCCTTCAAAGACTCCCGTCAGTCTGCACAATTTTCAAGGCCTTTCTGCAACGGGCCCCATGGGATGGATGTCTTACAATTTCTAAAACTTAAAAAAAAAAAAAAAGCAAACAGAAATTCTGTTTTTAACAGGCCAACAGTATAAAAGAAGATTGTGTGTTTGGTCGAGAACGTCCCGAACGGCAGCGCCCTTTGCGGTCGGACGTTTTGCCACTCGAGGCGCCCTGTCCCGAGAATCCACAAAGGCGCACTGAACAAGGTTCAGCACACCTCCCTAGCAGAGCAGAACCAGGGGAGGATTTGTTTTATAAGTGAAAGGACGAAGAGAGAGAAACAAGAAAAATAAAAAAAAAAATAAAAAATATGGAATGGTACAACTTGACGCTTCTGTTGTCTCTTCAAGGCTGTTTTTGATCAACTCGCTATACATTGACTTTTTTCTTCCTGCCTCACTTCTTGAAGAACTCATCAAACTGTAATAAAAATTATGGCATGAAATAATAACTTCATTCTATTGAACATTTCACTGATTACCTTATTCACAGAAAGTTTGATTTCAATCAATTCATATTTGACGTCGGAGATTTGTTGGCCTTCTGCGCAGCCACCAATAGTGCCGCTTTTCCTTCACAGACTCCCGACAGACTGCACACTCTGCAAGGCCTTAATTTCTGTCATGGGCCCCATGGGATGTCTTTCAATTTCTAAAACTTAAAAAAAAAAGCAAAAAAGCAAGCAGAGAAATAAATTTTTTTTTAAAGGCCAACAGTATAAAAATGAGATTGTGTGTGTTTGGTCGAGAACGTCCCGAACGGCAGCGCCCTTTGCGGTCGGACGTTGCCACTCGAGGCGCCCTGTCACGAGAATCCACAAAGGCGCACTGAACAAGGTTCAACACGCCTCCCTAGCAGGGCAGCACCAGGGGTGGATTAGTTTTGAGAGAAAGCAAGAGAATATGAGATATAAGTTGGGGAAAAAATCTGGGAAAGACAACCTGGCGTTTTTTGCAGTCTTTTCATTTGGCTGTTTTAGATCAACTCGCCAAACGACTTCCTTCTCCTGCCTCACTTCTTGCCAACTTCGTTGATCTATTTTAAAATAATAGCTTTCGATAAGCACCTCACATTAATCTTATTAACTGATATTACCTTATTCACAAATAGTTTGATTTTGCTCCTCTCAAACGATTCATTTTTGAAATCGGAGATTTGTTGGCCTTCTGCACAGCCACCAATAGAGTGCCGCTTTTCCTTCACAGACTCCTGACAGACTGCACACTCTGCAAGGCCTTAATTTCTGTCATGGATGTCTTTCAATTTCTAAAACTTACAAAAAAAAAAAAAAAAAAAAAAAAAACAGAGAAATTCTGTTTTTAACAGGCCAACAGTACAAAAAGAAGATTGTGTGTGTTCGGTCGAGAACGTCCCGAACGGCAGCGCCCTTTGCGGTCGTTGCCACTCAAGGCGCCCTGTCACGAGAATCCACAAAGGCATTGCACACTGAACAAGGTTCAACACGCCTCCCTAGCAGGGCAGCACCAGGGGTGGATTTGTTTAGAGAGACAGCAGGAGAGAGAGAAACAAGAATGGTATAATAAAAAAAATGACAACAACTTGACAATTCTTTTGTCTCATGGATTCTGTTTCAGCACAACTTGATTGCCAGTGACATTGTTCTTCCTGCCTCACTTCTTGCCATCGATCTAGAATAACAAATCACAGCCTTTGATAAGCACCTAAATTTAATTAACATATATCACTGACTACCTCTTATTCACAATAAGTTTGCTCTTCCCCCATTCGATTCATATTTTGCCAACGGCCCTGCTTCCTTCAGGCCACCTTTGGCTGGACACGGTGATTTCGAGGGCGCCTTCAACCCTTCCAAGAACTTCCTGGCAGTAGCAAACCGACCACCAGCACCTCTTTTAAGATTTTTCTCTGCAAAACTTCAAATTTAAGGGGATATAATAAATGAATAAGGAATAAAATTAAAGACAAACCTTCCAAAATATTTCTCTCGCTGGCTTCTCCGTCCTCTCGAATCTGAAGATCATTTGCAGAGCTAGTTCTTCTTCCTTGGAGATATTCTTGGCTGCATTTTGCGCCGCTTTTCCTTCAGGATAGCACCGCAGAGATACACAACTAGAAATTAAACTTAAATCAATAAAGAAGTCGAGTTTTAACCTTTCATTTTAATAAATACCTCTCAGGTCAATCAATGGAATGCCAGCCAGCTGAAGATGTCCTCAGTCAAGTGTCCTCATATTTGTGTGTTGACAACAGAAAAACTCAGAGGATATTCATGAAACGTACCAAGAAACAATATATTAGAAAATGATTCAAATTGCAATTAAAATTATTAGCCAACTTCCTGATTACCGTAATTAAAAAAAAAAACTCGCGATTTCAACATGATTCTGGAGACCTGTTTAAAAGCGCAGATGTTCACAGAATCTTAAATTAGTGGTTGGGGATCGATCAAGTTAGAAATTTATGACAGAGGGCAAAAACACTGACATTAAGTGATAAGCGCGTCATACAAACAAATGATTGGTGTAGGCAGCTTTGATTTCAATTTGTGGCGAACCGGAATTTTGAATGGGTGAAAATGAAGAAAAAATCGTCTGGTTTTCGCATGTCGGATACCAGAAGCGGACAATATTGTCGGTCGTGCAGTTTTAAAGTTGATTCAGTAAAAGACTTTTCCAAAGCCTAATTAAGCGTTTCAAATTTAATTGTGTTTTGCATGGTGCGAATTCTTAAAATTTAATCAAAATGTAATTATTGCCTTGTTTTAAAACCAGATAAACGGAGACGCATGAGATTTTTTTATATGCAATAAAGCAACTTGGTTGCTAAAAAGCGCGAGATTCTACACCCATATAAGTTGAAAACTTCCCAAAATCCAGTTCCAATTGCGCGTGTCCATCATGTATGGTAGACGGAACCGGAACCTTCGGAAGTTCCAACCCTCCATCCCTTCCTCCCGAGGTTCCGAGGGAGAACCCGTGGGTCGACCTGCCACCGGTGCGACAGGCCAAAGCCGAGGAGCCTCGGAATCCACTTGCAAGAGCCACCCGAAGGTCGATCAGCTTGCAAGCCATCGGAGAATATTGATCTCCGGTCACAGCATCCGCAGGTCAACCAGGTCGCGTGTGCCAAGAGACAGGCCTGGGGCCAGATGGCGAGGCGACACAACAACAAGATTAAACTTGGGATGCTGAGTAATTTAAACGCGCCGCGATGAGGAAACCGATTTAAATTTTTTCAGTTTCCTCAAATTGTTGGAAAGATCAATTAATTTAAATGAGATTTAAAAGGCAATAAATATATGACGTTTTAATTTGATAATTTAAATTCGTATAACGCAGTTGGAATTTCTTTACTGCTCTTTCTTCCACGCAGCCTGCTTTCATCCTAAAAAGTGCGTTTAGATTCAAATTTTAATGTTTTCAGAAGTCAAGGTTGATGCAGATTTTTATAAAACCAAATCAAAGTGAAAAACGCGCGCGTTGTTAGCTTAGAGGGTCAAATTGGATGGATCACTTGAGCCGGAAATCATCAACATCAAGTGGTGGCCCATCCTCGGACCTTAAAAGTTAACAATTATCCCCCCACCAGCCCCCGCCTCGTCAACAGAGCCGGATTGGAGAAGCCATATTTTAGCCGGAAATCATCAACATAACCTTTGGCCTGTCCAGGCCCTATTGTTGACAAGTATGCCCTATCGACGCGCTGCAAACTTCCAAGTCAAATCGGAAAGACGAGCTTAGCCGGACATCATCAACATAAGCTATGGGCCTATCCTGAGACCCTGAAAAAGTTTGCAGTTAAACTAATCTTTGCATTTACATAGCCAAACAGAATTAAAACGCATCACAATGATCTTGACTCAAGAAAACATAAAAACCGAGCCGAATCACACTTCGAGAATTACACGGCAGGCTGCCCAGAAGAAAAGGCGCCTCAAGAAAAAGGTGAAATGCAAGAGAGAAGTTTTTTGCATTAATATAAAAAGGCGCGAGATTCTACACCCTTTTTTAAGTCAAAACTTCCCAAAATCCAGTTCCAATTGCGCGTGTCCATCATGTATGGTAGACGGAACCGGAACCTTCGGAAGTTCCAACCCTCCATCCCTTCCTCCCGAGGTTCCGAGGGAGAACCCGTGGGTCGACCTGCCACCGGTGCGACAGGCCAAAGCCGAGGAGCCTCGGAATCCACTTGCAAGAGCCACCCGAAGGTCGATCAGCTTGCAAGCCATCGGAGAATGTTGACCTCCGGTCACGGCATCCGCAGGTCAACCAGGTCACGTGTGCCAAGAGACAGGCCTGGGGCCAGATGGCGAGGCGACACGACGACAAAATTAACCTTGGGATGCTGAGTGATTTAAACGCGCCGCGATGAGAAAAATTAAATTAATTGATCTTTTTTTAAATTAATTAAAAGGCAATAATGATATTTTGATGCAATTGAATTTAAGTCTCTCAGCCTCAATGCTATAAAAATACATATATAAAATTAATGTTTCTTCCATTTGTCGTTTAATGAATGACAATCAACATTTTCATTGTCGTAGAAAATGCACATTTCAACAAGGATGAGATCGTCTTTTAATTTCCTCGATTTCAGTGAGAAACGCAAGGAATTTCTAATTAAAATTCGTTTCGAAACGAACAGATTCGCAAAACGCAGAAATAAAATTTTGTTATTCTCCGGTCATGCTCGAGACCTTCAAAAATCAAAAGTTTCGTGTCAGTGTTGCTGATAAATTCGCTGTCTCATAATTTACGGTAAAACACAGAATATTAATCAGCAAAAATCTCGCCTTATCGAATTGAGTGAATTAAAAAAATTAAAAATTGATTTCTTTTTAATCGTCCAATTAAACGGTGATGTGGAAGGGGTAAAAACACCCGCACGTGGAAATTAGAAAATTATCACATAGAAGATGTTGCTCAAAAATTATTAACTAAAATTTACGCCGCACCATTGCACAGAGGGGACAGGCTGAAGATGTCCTGTTCGGAGGCACTTGACTGACCTCCGGACGTGTCCAGACGAGAAAAATCTCCCAGAGCGTCGTTCTTGTTTGGCAAAAATGCGGACGGAAATTCCGTCTTTCACGGGGGCTCCTGAAAAAAAATGAGTCAGCACAGAGTTTTAATTCAATCGAAATTGTTCACATGTGAGCGACGCCGCAGAATTTGAATTAAATCGTCAATTAATTTAATCATAACAAGAGTCCCGGATTAAACACAAAAATATTGCTTAAATTTTCACATTAAAAACAGGATTTGAATACACAAAGTTGCGATGAGACAAAAATTGATTCAATTTTCTGCCTCGTGGCGACTCGAATGCGGTTCGAAAAAGATCACGATTTTTTCGGCGTTTCGTGCGCGATTGATTCAGATGGCCGAATGGCTGTCAAAACCAAGACTTTTCTCACCTGTGAAACGATGACGTCGTTGCGTTGCTGGCCGAAAAGGACTGCCGACGATATTAGGCTCGGAAAAGCCTCCACGTGAACACGCAGTCGGGATTCTCGTCGGCACGACGACGCTCGCGGAAGCCACAAGATGGCCAGCATTTCTTTGCGAGAGCCAAATGCGGGCAGAAAACGCTGCAGATTTCTGTCTTTTCTGCGCTCCGACTTGTCTGGACTTGTCCAAAGTTCAAAGGAGTGTGAAAGCACTGAAAGCGGCGCTGTCGGTGCAGCGGAGGGAGGAGGGGAGACTCTTTTTACCCCTCCGCTCGATTTGCGCTCCCCCAAGCGGCCTTTGTTTGTTTGGGCGCCTTTTTAAATTAAAAAAATCACTCTGTACGTTAAATAATTAATATAAATTAGCAGAAAATTTTATGTTAAGTAAAAAATTTGTATTCAAAAGTATGTAAACCGTGAAATTAAATATTTTCTCTGGATTTTAAAAATTCATTTCAAAATGTAGTTCAATTATACGACACCTTCTGTAGATTCGTACAGACAAAAACCACACAATAATTAATAATAATAATTAATAATAAAAAATAAATCTATCAATAAAAAAATTCTTAAAAATATTAAAAAACCACACACGGATGCATATTATAAAATTATAATCTAGCTTCACTACCAATAGAATTAAAAAAATCACAGCCGCCGCTTCTAAAAAATGTAATCATATAATTTAATTATTTTAAAACTTAACAATACACACTATATGGAATCAAAAAAATCAAAATACAATCTTGCCAAAAGAAATCTTACAATAAAATAAATCATGCTGAAAAAAAGCAACCAATGTTGATAATTATGTTGAGAGGAAAAATCTAAAAAAATGAAACTAAATAAAAAAAATCAATAAATCCACACATTCATAGACACACACATTGTAAAATCTAGTTAAACTGAGATTGAATTAAAAAAAAAACACATATACTCACCCACCCCCTTTAAAAAAATGTAAACATTATAACAAAACAAAACTAACACATTTCTGACATTTTTTATAACCATTATTGATACTTTCCATCTATAATTGGCAAATTCGGCAACATTAATTTAAAAAAAGCATAATAATTTATAATAAGACTTTTTGCATGAAACAAAATCTTAATATAATTTTCATAATTTTAAAAGTCACGTAATAAAATGATGAAAAAAAACCGATTGTATAAATTCCAAGATTTCCATGAATTTAAATTTAACATAGTCTTAGGTTAGGAACGAAATCTGGTATCCTATTTTTAATTTTGTAAAAATTTGAAATTTTATAAATATATTGGACACAAATCACAAATAAAAAACAATATATCAAAAATTCCTCTCTATTATGAAGAAGCTTCAATTTTTGAAAATTAAAGATGAATGTTAAAAATTTTGCTAAAATAAAAATGATCTTCAATATTTCCAATTAATAAATAAATTTTTATACAATTATTTTCCTGTCCCGTAAACGCCTTTAAAATTTGTGGTACTGCCGTGCCGAGCAGGTTGCCTACCCCAGCCCATTGACTTTTTTCTCACATTTTTCGGTCATGCGCAGAAGAAGGCGTAGTATTTTGAAACGAAAAATGTAAACAGTCGGAAGAGCCGTGCAATTTCTGCGTACTGGGGTAGTTTTGAAACAATTCGTAAGACTTTTCCTGCCGATTTCCTTCTTAAAATAATTTAATTTCCAATTATGTAGGTGCGAAAAATGTGATTCGCCTGAGAGAATAAGAAGCCCATTCGCCAATTGGACTTTGAAATTGATTTGTATCTTTTCTGGAGGAGGCGCGATGCAGTTCGTGACGTCCCTGTTCATCTTCCTGGTGCCGACCCTGTCGCTCATCTTCCTGCAGTACCTGCCGCAAATCCTGTCCAGACTCCTCTACAATTCCTCCTCGAGTCCTGCTGCGGCGAGGAAATCCTCGTCCACCTTGGACCTGCTGAGGTCTTCCTCGACGGTGTCGCCCTCGTCGGTGTGGTGTTGCGAGTGCAACCGCGGCCAAAGGTGCTGCGACTTCCGCAACCTCTACTTCTTCCCTCAGGAGCGAACCTTCGGCTTCGTCCTGACCGACGCGTCCGCCGTCCACGGCCTGACCTCCGCCGAGGACATGCAGCGGCTCCTGGTCGGCTCCGTCGTCAACCACACCCAGTTCTTCCTGCCCCTGGTCGTCTTCACTGACCTCGACCCTGTCCTCAAAACCGTCAAGTATACTTTTTAAATCATAAACTTTTTACTGAGATTGAACGATTAATTTAATTGCAGGACCATTTTGAGGGAGAAGCTGTTTCTGCTCAAAAGGTTCAAGCCGGACAACGTGATGCACGCCGTGCACGACGACCTTCTGCCCTTGTTCTCCAGGTTCGAAACCCTCTGCAGCAGAGACGTGGAAACTTGCTCAAAAACTATCCTCCTCACTCTCCTTGATAATAACCTTCAAGGCAAGTTTGAATCAAAATTTTTCAGTTTTTTTTTTAATTAAAATTATTTCCCAAAAATTTTTATTAAAGCGGTACATTCATTTAATTCAAGTTCACATTGAACGTACTTTAAATTAAATAATTTTAATTGATTTTAGTAAGTGTTAAAATTCCTGAAAGGTACGAATCGTTAGCAAGGTCATATTTCAGGCGCTTAATTAATTTGAGAATACATATAGTTTTTCTCCGCTTCTAATGTAGCAATAGAAAAATTTCTGGTACCATAATGTTCCTCTTGATACGCTCTTTCCAACCATGTGTCACACTAATTGCGAATTGTATTGTTATAAGGTCAAAGGTCGCCAGGGTCAATGACCTTTTGTGACCCGGTCAGTATGTGCGACACATGGTCTGAAAGAGCAAGTCAAGGGGATCAAGTTTTGTCATTATACATTTTGTCTTCAAGTGAGCAGGTAAAATGTTACAGAGGCTCAAAGTTATTTTTTATCCTTTAGAGCTCAGAAAACCATGTTTTTTGCGTTTATTATTTTTTAATAAAAAAAGTTTGATACTTAAAAACTACTTCTTTGAGAATGTATTTTATGGACAATTTAACGCTCTACAAAATGGATATTTCAGAATTTTAAAACGGATGATGGAAAAATGTAAATTTGAGGTCAAAGGTCACGAGGTCACCGGAAGTGACCTTGAACCTACGCTGACCTACGCTTTTGCACCAAACAGAAAAGTTGTAGAAGGCAACAAGCCAAATTCAACCATACCTACATTTTTGTCCTACGACCAAGCCAAAATACAGCCGTTAGAACATTTCCAAAATCAAATTTTGAAATTAGGGGGTCAAATTATATATTTTTCAAAACCTTTTGGTATGACAAAGATTGTATGACCCTTGCCAACGCATTAAATGAATTTCCGTTGATAAATACATCAAATTTTACTTGTACATTTCTATTTTTTCAGATGTGAACAGTGCCTGGTACAGTTTGCTGTCTGCACAACGAATTTTTAAATTGTCCGAGTTGAAGGAGCCAGTTTTGATCTCGGAAGTCTACACCGGACTGCCCGGAAGCACCGTCGTTTTCCAGTACGGCTTCGGCCAGCCCCAGGGTGCTGTTTCTCAGGCCGGAAATTCGGTCGGAATTTACCAGCGTTTTTCCCAATTTGTGAAAAACCGGCTCAAGATTAAACATGAGCAGGTAATTTAAAAAAAATCAAATTTATTTTGTTTATTAAAGTTTTGTCTGTTTTTAGCAAGAACCGGACACTTTCAAAGTAGTTCTGATCTCTCGGAAGGAGACGAGGAAAATTCTCAATGAAGAGGAGGTGTCCAACTTTGTGATCAGTTCTTTCCAAAACACGTTCGGCTTCAGCACCAACATCGATCTGCAGCTTTTCGACCCCAGTGGGGAGTCGGTCCACGAGATGGTTGATACTTTTGGCAAGGCCGACTTCATCATCGGCATGCACGGGGCGGCCACTTTTCTGGCCGGGGTCTTCAGCAGGCCAAATGCAAGCATCGTCGAAATGTTCCCTTTCGGAATCAACCCCACAGCAGTGTCTCCCCTGCAGGCACTCTCGGAAATCAAAGGAGCGGTAAGAATTCCAACTTTTAAACAATTTTGATGATGATTTTGTCGATTTCAGTGGTTCAGTTACGTCTCGTGGGAAAACAAAGATCTGAGAGCGTCGGTGCCACCTTCGGAGGAAGCGCCCAGGCTGCTCGGAGGTCTCGCACATTTGTCCGAGGAGGAAAGAAAATTTGCTAAAAAGTTGATTCCGGTCCCCGCCGTCTACTGTTGCCACAACGCCACGTATCTGTACAGGATGTTTCAAGTAAGTTTAAACCAAAATTTAAAATCAATTCAATTTTCAAACTTTTTTTCTCCCCAAGTATCGATAAATTTCTTTCTTTCTAATTTTTCATTTCCAAACAGGACACCATAGTCGGACCGAGTGTCCAGTACTCGATATTGAAAGCAATAGAGTTTCTGCGGAGAGGACGAGCCGAGAGTTGGACGCACACGTTTTTGGTTCCGAGCGGCGTCCGGGACTTGGTGTGCCTGAGTGAGGCCGAGGGCACCAAAATGTTCTGGAAAGCGCCTCTCAACGTTCATTCAATGCGGCGCAAAGAGTTTCTGAAGTTTGAAATATCGGCGCGGTCGGTGGTCGGCGACCTGTACGAAGTGACCGAGACCAAACTGTTCTCCGAGTTCGAGGACCAGGTCATCAGAGAGGCGTGGGTGCGCGCCTGCACCCTCGACACTTGCGGCAAAGACGCCTACGTCCTTTGCAAGTGAAAGAAAAAAAACTATCAACCGTCAAGAAGGATCTCCATCTGTTATAATCGTTTTTGCACAAATTTCTTAATAAATATTTATTGCACACAATCGCTGTTATATAAAGAATCGCGAGAGCATTTTTTAATATAAAAATTACAAGGGGGATCGATGCAGGATCAGGAACTTCTAACGCCCCCTTGCTTGAGCTCACAACACGCCTCCAGAGTTGTCTTTTGAAAGCCCCCGGAGACCGGCCTGTCAAAAACAAAACACCTGAAAAATATGTAAGTAACTGAGATTGATTGAAATAGAATCTTCCAATTAATTTCTCGGAGTTTCAACCGTAATATATTAAAAGATTCAAGAGCCGGCGTGCCCTTATTTGCTCTGCTTGTCTCTCTTGTATGCTTTCCTTATCACATTTATATTTTTTATTTTGTTCGAATCTTAACAGTTTTCATTTGACCTTTTCCAGTTGCTCTCTGCAGAATGGCTCATTCCAAGGTGCCCAAAGTCAAGCTCTACAATGGAGTGGAAATGCCCATCTTCGGACTGGGCACTTGGAAGGTACTTAATAAAAAAAACTGATTTTGTTCACTGAAATTTGTCTTATTTACTTTTCAGTCGAAGCCTGGCGAGGTGACCCAAGCGGTGAAGGACGCAATCGACGTTGGCTATCGGCACATCGACTGCGCCCACGTGTACGGAAACGAGCAGGAAGTCGGACAGGGCATCGGCCAGAAGATCAAGGAGGGCGTCTGCACCAGGGAGGAGCTCTTCATCACCAGCAAGGTATCAAAATTCCGAATCTTTTGTGATGTGATCGGTACAAGATTTGAAATTTCAGCTGTGGAACACCTTCCATAGGCCGGACCTTGTGCTTCCGGCGTGCAAACAGACCCTAAAGGACCTGGGCCTGGAATACCTGGACCTGTACCTGATCCACTGGCCTGTCGGCTACAAGGTGATGGCAAGAATATGTATATATAAAAATGATCATTCATTTATTTTGTTAAAATTTGTTACTGGAGTTAAACAGTTTTGTTGTTTAAGCATGAAAGAATCTGTAAAAAAAAAATAGAAGTTTATTTTATCTGATTTTATTAATTTAATTATTCAATTAAATTACTATTTTATTCAATCTGATCAATTTTAGGAGGGAGAGAGCAAGTTCCCTGCTGACGCCGATGGAAACACCTTGTTCAGCGAGGTCGATTACGTCGACACCTGGCCCGAGATGGAGAAACTGGTCGAGTCCGGTTTGGTCAAGTCCATCGGCATCTCCAACTTCAACAGTGAGCAGATTGAACGCGTTTTGAAAGTGGCCAAAATCAAACCTGCCGTGCTCCAGGTACAAAGAAATTCAATTCGAATCAATTATTTTCAATTAATTTGAATTTTAGTTAAAAGTACTGAATCTAACTTTCACTTTTAAACTCATTTTAGTCTTAATTCATTACTTTTAACTTATATTTAAATTAAATGATTTTTTAATAAATTAAATTTTTTTTTAAATTTTTTTAAAACATATTCTCAGGTTGAATGCCACCCTTACTTGAACCAAAAGAAGCTGATGGCCTTTTGCAAGGAGCGCAAAATCGCCATCACCGCGTACTCGCCTCTGGGCTCGCCCGACCGTCCTTGGGCCAAACCCGAAGACCCGCAACTCCTCGATGACAAAAAGCTCAAGGAAATCGCCGAGCGCCTCAAACGCAGTCCGGCTCAGATTCTCATTCGCTACCAAGTATGAAATTTCACAATTTTTAAATTAAAATTCTAATTTAAATTCATTTCTAGATCGAGAGAGGAAACATTGTCATTCCAAAGTCAGTGACGAAATCCAGAATTGCCGAAAACTTTGATGTTTTCGATTTTGAACTGTCCAAGGAGGACGTCGAGCATCTGGACACTTTCGATTGCAACGGCCGCATCTGCCCCATCTTGCCGTAAGTCCAAATTTATTAAGTATTTATTCTTTAAACTCCTAATTTGAATTAAAAGGGCCAAGAATCACACCCACTACCCATTCAACATTGAATACTAGAACTTCACTCTGCAGGTGATTTCAAATCATTTGTTCAGTCGGAAAAGTTTATTTAACCTTTTAAATCAAAATAAACATATATATATTTTTTCTGTTTAAAATACACAACTTGGAAGTTTCAAACTAGAACAGTTGTTGATCCAAAATTTTTGTCCTCGTGGGAAATTAATGCCTCCGTCGAAGGGCTCATCGAGCGAGTCTTTTTCTTGCGATACTTTTCAGTCTCCTTGTTGACGAGTTTTTCCTCCAAATACTCTCTCTCCTTGACGTCCCACGGCAAGTCCGGAATTGCAGCGGCAATCAGGCCGGAGATTCCAAACACCAAGTGCTATATTAATGAGGATTAAAATTATTATTGGAGAGGAAATTCTTTTCAGTCGTGCAAATAGAATTGCTTAAAAATAGCTTTTAACATCCTGGGAGGATTCATTTTTTTGCTAATTGCCAATTTTTTTTTAACTGAATTTGGATATGAAATGATAATTCTCAAGTAAATGGAACGGAACCTCATTTTCAAATTGTTAAATTTTGAATCAGTTACAATTAAATCTACTAAATTCAACTCAAATATGATGCAAATTTTCTAATTTTTAACGCTTCGGATCAGACTATTTTCATGCATTCAAATAAAATGTACGTGATATTTTTAAAAAAACATCATTTAAAAAAAAAATTAAAATTTGTGTTCTGATGCAAAATGATATGACGCATCTTTTGCCTATTTTCAAGGGGCACAAAACTTACAATTTTGACCTTTGTCGTAAAAACTTTTGATTAAGAAAAGATTCCTTCTTGGTGCATTAGCTCCAACCTCCCACCCAGAACTGAGGTTTAAACTATAGATTTGTTTAAAATTACCTCGAAAATGACAATAAATGCCAATCGCGCCGCCAAAACGTGCCAATGCTCCATGGTCACTTCATATTCATTCGGATCCGACGGCGGGTACCTAAATCCGTTGTAAACGCACTCGGTCAATCCTGGTGGGCGCTCGACCGCCGCATCGTAATTGTCAATCAAAAATACTGGAAAAATTAATTTATTAAAGACGAACATTGCTAAATTTTTTCATCCCAGAATGTGAAAGAAGACCAAATTTCATGATTTAAATTGAATTCTAAAAAAAAAATTGTACCCCCAAGCTTCACACTAGGGGTTGATCGGATTTTCACCTCTTCCCGCCAAACGAATTTGAGCCTCCTGATTAAAAAATACGCAAATAAAGAAAAAAAGGTCCCATCGAGGTTTAAATGCTTTTAGCACAAATTTTGATTTCATTTTCATATTTTACTTGAAAGAGTGTATTGAACGTATCCTTCCAGTCCATTGTTGGATTTGGTCCACCAGTAAACGAGGCGCGGGATGAATTCCGACGTAAAAGCGATCACGATGGCCTGCGTGTTTATTATTTTTAATTAAATGGAGAATTTTATTTGATATTTTGACTTGCATTTGTGACGACCGCGATGTAAGTGAGCGTTTGCAAAATGGTGAACCACGCGCCCAGCGAGGCCGTCCTCTTCGGCACCGGTCTTTGGAATTTGCACAGAATCTTGTACGCGTCCAGTCTGATTTCCAAAAAGTTGTTCAGAAGGGCGAACATCGGCGCCAGCGGGAAGGAGGCGACGAAAAGGGTTGTGAATCCGAATTGCAAAACTATAAAAAGATAATTTCAGTTCATGTGAAGAAAAATCAAATTTTTTCAATACTCATTTCCATGAACTCTTCGAATAGGGACATTGAGTGGTCCTGTGGCGCCTCCAAAGTGTAGTCGCGTTCCCACTGCGGGCTTTTCTGGAACAAAACCTTCTTTTCGTCCGACGCGAGCCATTTTCGGATGTATCTGTTCCGTAATTACTATTATTTTGAGTTTAGTAGAAGAAAATTGTTAGTACGGAACGGCGATTTCCATGAAGTTGTTGAAAAACTGCTTGCCCACCATGATGACGATGAGCTGAATGAAAAGCTCGGAAATGCAACCGGCAGGGTCGCACGTGTCGGCGCCGATTCCGAGGAAACTGTTCCACATGTTATCGTCTCCGGGATAAGTGTAAAATTTCCCCTGATTAAAAATTAATTACATTATTTTTGCAAATAATTTGAAAATAAACCTTGAAAAAGGCGATGTAGAAAAGGGAAGAGTAGCAATTGACGAACTCGAAAACGAAAATTTTAAAAGTGAAACTCTCCTCGTAATCGGACTGCGTTCTCGGACACTCGAGATCGGTGAGAAATTTCGCAATGCGTTTGTAAACCTGCACAAAATAAGTTAATTTCAAATTACTTTTCTTTGATTAAAACCTCACGATAGTCAAAATCATGATGACGATCAAGTTAATAAGGGCCGCGGTCATCGAGGTCAGGATTTGCGTGTTTTGTTTGAGGAAATCGTCGCCGCTGTCGTAAAAAGCCGCGACGATCGCCAATTCGTAGACGATCACTCCGATGATGGCGCTCACAACGACGGCAAGCTGAATAGAAAACGAGTTAAATGCCAACAAAATTGATTTGTTTCGCACCATGAAAGCAACTCCGGAAATCGTCGTGAAAACGCGCACAACTTTGTTCCAAAAGGGAATGTACGGTTCGGGCTGGCCCGTGAACTTGTTTGGCCGAGTCGTTTGCACCGAGGCCGCGAACTCGGGTCTCGTTTCCATGTCCATCTGTGCGTCCGTCAGGCCCCACTTCTGCACCAACCGCGCCTGCTTCCGTTTCCACAGCTCCAGAAACATGGTGGCTTAAGAAATATATAAATCATTATTTATCTTTAAATAATGATTTCAAAGGTTGAAAAATATTGCTGCTGCTATCGTTTTTCGCCGCCAAAATTGTCTTATAATTAAAAGTCAAGTGGTCAAATTTGGGCGAATTAATTTATTCCGATGGCGATTGGCGATATTTGCCAATCTTTACAACTGCGGCCGCAGCGCTACCAGTCGCCGTTTGCATTAAATTAGAGATGAAACTAATTCTTACCAAAATTTTTTCTAATTCTTCAAATTTGAATAGAATACAATTAAAATTACTCAATTTGTTTCAATATGTGATAATTTGATAAGTAAAATGCCTCAATTTCTAATTTTTAACACATTATTTTCAAAATCAATTTAATATTCAATGATGTTTTTTAAACGGATTGTTCAAAATAATTGCAAATTTGTACTCCGGTACAAAATGACAAGGAAGATCTTTTGGCTATCTTGGATTTTTTGTCAGGTTGCCTATTTTCAAGGGACATAAAACTTTATATTTTGACCTTTTGCCGGGGTCCATGACCTTTGACCTAGAAACATGGCCAACATTAAGAAAAGGTACCTTGCTTCATCAGCTCCAACCTCCCGCCGAGAAAATTAAAAAATCTTTACTCAAATTAATTTGGAAACAGTTTTAGTGAACCCTTATTTATCTCCGGCGGCCATATTGGAATATGAAAAATTTGGCAAATTTTCATTATCTTTGTAGTTTAAGAACCAAATTTTATGAAAATCGTGATTTTTTTCTGATTTTACAGTTCAATTGTCTCATAAATTGGCTTGATTTTCTCGGAAATGAAAAATAAATCCGGTTTTTCAACCTTAAATTTGAATTTTTTTCCTTAACTTTATGCGGTGAACCCTAATTTTCTGGTGCCATATTGATAGCAGAGTATCACGGAAATTTTTGATTGGGTTTTCGCCAAAATTGGTTTTTTCTTGCAATCAAATAATTATATTGAAATTTTTGCAATTTTTCTGTATAAAGTTAATCAATAATTTACAGGTTGACCCTTGATTTTTTTGGTGTCAAAACGATCCTTTTGATCTAAAATACTAATTTTTGTAGAGGATATTGTTGCCCTGAGGTGGTTCCATGTTCTTTAAAGCGATTTTGGCTGCGACAGCGTAGAAATCTGATTGTTTTCTCGCGATTGAAATTAAATTGGACGATTTCCTTCTGATAAAACTGAGAGACGATCTTGAATTGTTTGCATACCCCAGAATGACATGAACGTGGCGAAGAGGACGGTGGACGTGTTGTCGAACACGTGGTTGAGTCGCGCGTACAAACACGAATCGGCCAAGAGCTGATAGGAGCAGGCGCCGTTCAGACAATCGGGGCACAGGTATTGGCCGCCCACTCCCGTCTTGTTGCACATTTCGAAGCTGAGAAATTCAACCAAAATTATCTCGAGAAATAATTCGTATATGTTAATCAGAATCCTTAAGTTAATCAATCATCCTCATTATGTGTACCTTGGCGTGTTGATCTGTTGGTTGTCCATGGTGGCGAGACCGTAAATGAAGCAAATGAGACCCACTATCGACGCCGGGATCAGCATTTTGGTGTAGAAGCCGAGCCAAGCGAAGTAAAGGGCAACTTCATCCCCGAAATAGTCGCGGATTTTATCCAAAGGCTGCACCTTGTACCAGACCTTCAACCGGGCCCACTCTCGGAACAACTCCTGCGAGATATTTCAAGAAAATACAAATTTGAAGAGTTTTTAATGTTAAATACGGATCTGTCATTTGTGCCGGAGGTCGCGTTCAAAAGGTAGGGGCCGTCGTGAAGGGGGTACGCCGCCGTGTAGCAATCCCGGTTGATCAGACGTCGGATTCCGATCTGGACGTGAAATTCTTGTTCTAAAATAAGGTTGATTGTTGTAAAAAAAATAGGCGCACCTCTTCTTCTTTGTCGCCGTAGGGCGTTCTTCGCAGCAAGTCCCACACAATGTCGGCCCTTTCCGCCGGCGAGAACAATTTATCCTCGTCGCCGAACCTTTTTTCCAAATTAATTTTCAATTTTCATTAAATTTATTCACTTTACAATTCCACGAATTCCTCTCTGAAAGTGACTCTCAGGGTCTGCGGAGTTCCATCCGAGTTCAAGTGCGGCTTCATGAAATTCGGCGTTTTCTTCGTCTTTGCCCGAAATTTCAGATTTTTCGGCAACTTGACTTGCTTCTTCAGTCCTAGCAAATCTGCGTGTTTGATCAGCACGTCGGCCGGAGCGTGGATTTTGACAAAAACCACGTCGTCCTCTTTCGCAATGTCCTAATAGAAATTTGTTTTTGGATCATGAATAATAAAAAATTTCATCAGACCTTTCCGGACTCGTGCTGCAAAACCAAGCCGGAGTTTTTCAGATTTTGCTCGAAAACGTCCCTCGCCTTGATCTTATCATTCTGCACCGACTTAGCTTGGTACACCAGGACCAAATCAGTTTGCAAATCCGTTTCCATCTCGATTGGAAAAGGGCGATTGTGAAAATGCGGAGCTGCAAATTTCGGTCTTACTTGATCTGCAAAGTCCTCCTTGGTCGTTGGAAACGGCTCGTTCATTTCCTTCTCTTCAAATCACACTAAAACCTTTACTGCTTTTGCGCTGCCGCTGATTACTTTGGTCGATATATGCGTCAAGATAAGAGAGCGGATCCGGTTGATGTGAATTTGAATTTCGCTATCTTATCGGCGCGTTTTGACAAGCGCTTTGCTTTCACGCGTGGACCCACAGCTGCGGCATCGAAATGACCTCACCTTGTAGACGAGACACGAGATGAGCCAATGCAACATTTCAAGTGATAGAACGTGTCAAAACATCGAAATTTGAGAAATATGTAAATTTTTCATTAATTCACGGGTTAAAAAAAAAATCTTAATTTTAGAGTATTTTTCTATTGCCAAATCCAAAGCCATTTTGTTTTTAAAAGCAGTATGAATTTTTTTAAATTTTGAATGCTTATAAAATTCAACAGAAAACCAATAATCTAAGCCATGTCAGGGGCGTTTCTGGCAATCCAGTCCATGTAATTGGCGACGTAGTAATAAGGTTTGCACGTACGCAAGGACTCTTTTAATATCTTAAGTGTCTAGACAGAATCCTTGCTGAGGACGCCGCGCAAAAAGTGGCGTTCACGGTCAAAAAAGGTCAATCCTCCCCCACTGTCTCCAGAACACGCCCTCGTTCCTGCGAATTAACAATTTATTTGGATTTTTAAATGAAAAAAAATCACGGTTTCGAGGAATTCGGGCGCAAATTCAATTTGGAAAACGTAAATTCGGTCGGAATAAAAACTCCGCAATTCCACCTTCTTTACGTCCAAAACCTGAAACCACCGCTTTTTAATTTCGCACTATTTTTAGGAGAAACCTTTTTTTTTATAATTTGCCCTCATTTTTTTAATTTAAAATCAATGCCATCGGTTACAGCAAATATTACTTTAAATCACGTGAATTTATGGCAACAGGGTAGTTTTTAAATTAAATTTATGCGGACAAGAAAAGTTTTTCTCTTATGGAAACAAATTCTGTCCTTTTCAGTCAAATTTAGAAAGAAGATTTCATTTTGTTTCCTTTTGTAAATCGCAATCCAGAAATTGTTATTGAGCTCCATCACCCATTAAACTAAACAAGGAATACTTCTGGTTTAAAGAAATCAAGTTCCACAACCGGCAGCAGTGGCGTGTCGCGCAAGTTGCCTACTCTTGATTATCTCGCGTTTAAAAAAACTTTAATTTTCAAGTTCGTCTGCATCGGGTCTAGATTTTTATCAATTCGATTCAACAAAATCTTCTGTCTGCACCATTCTTGCCTCTCATTTACTCCAATCGCTTTGAAGAATATTTGCTTGGATTATATTATTTGCAAATGAAGCGCTTTCCACCCCAACAACAGCTTGATCTCGCCAGATCCGCAGCCTCAGTTGTGCTGGGCAGAAAAATATTTATGTTTTGATCACTCTATCGTCGGCACTTTAGCTGTTGATTTTTTTTAAATTGATTCTTCTAAATCATTGTCCTATTTTTTTTTTTTTTAAAGCAAACTTTATTGAAAATGTACATTATTTAAAAAAAAAAATTTCTTTATTTCACATAAAATTAAAAATTGAATGGAACAAAAAAATTGAGGGAAAGGTTAGAATTATTTTACTTAATATTTGTTCTCATAATATGTATCTTTCCATCGAATTCTATAACTTTTAAATAAGATATAAATTCTTGTACATATATAAATATATTTTCCACTCCGGAAATTCCATTCAAAATTTAAAAACTTGCGTTTGTGTTCAAATATGAAGTTTACGAGGCAATTGTGGGTGAAGAATATTACTTAGGAGGTGGATTTTTATTTTCATTATTATTAATGATTTCCTTACAATTAGAAAGAGCGAACGTGGAAATGTCGGAAATTTCTCAGTGTAGTATTTTTTACAATGTTAACCGATTTACTCTTGTAATGAATTGAAAATTTAATCGAAATGAATGAAAAGCTTTTAAAAAGTGTTTTCGCATCAAACGTAAGCGGCGATTTTTCACAAAAATTTTCGCACCAAAACTAATAATTTGTTATAACAAAAAATATTGTTTGAAATTTTTAACTTTGTAATGACATTTCTATTTAAGAAATAATCTGAACATTTATGTCGGGGGTGTTTTCGACGATCCAATCCATGTAATTGGTGACGTCGGTGTAGAGGGCGTAGTGGGCGGGGTCGCACGATCGGAAATTCGGAGTTATTCTCTTTCCCGGACTGGCACTGACGACGCCGCGCAAAAAGTGGCGTTTGGTGTCATCACGGTCGTAGAAAGTCAATCCTCCGCCACTGTCCCCTTTGCAAGCACTTGTCTCTAAATTAACAAATTTTTTACTTTTTTTCCCCCCCAAAGGAAATTATATTCTCACGCGCTTGAGGAATTCCGGCGCAAAAGTTCTCCGTCGGTCGCATGTATTTGGAAAAGAACTTGCTCTTGCTCTCGAAACAATCCTCATAAGAAACGACTTTCAGTTTCGCCTTTTGAAGGATTTCAGGCTGTTCGTGGTCCAAAGTGAAGCCCCAGCCGACCACCTTTCCAAATGTTTTCAAAATTTAATGCAAATTAAAAAAAAAAACTTACCATGACAGATTTGTTTGCGATTTTGTTCAAATCGTAGTCGTCGTTCCAGAGGCAAATGGGCCGCACAAAATCATTGAAATTGACCTCTTCTGCCAAGATGACCAGGGCAATGTCATCCTTGAAATCAACCTTGCTGTGGTTGTAGCCAGGATGAATCACCAGACTTGCAGCCTAAACAAAGAATTTGCAATAATTAATTAATCTTTGTGTGAGTTTTAATCGATAGTGCAGTGTTTCTTGTGGTGCGTTGAGAGTTTAAGAAGACCTCGTCGTCAGCTTTGTGAGGAATTCTGTGCTTAGCTTTGTGATTCATTTCCCATTTTCAACTTTGTCTTTTTCATGAATTTAATAGAATAAACAAAAATAATGAATTTCTCGTTGTTAAAAGAGAGTCGACCTAGAAATTGAGAAATAAAAGGAAAATTTGATTTTAATCGATGCTCAGCATCATCCAAAATATTTTATAAGGATTCAACAATTCACCTTGGATTTACCTAATTCTCCACGTCAATTTTAACCTATGCAATAAATTAAAATGCACACCAAAGGAATTTTTTAATTAATTAATAAACAAACGCATTTTAAGTCTTTCCCATCAGAGAAAAATAATTGACAGTTCTCTAATTTCCCGTAAAAAACTCTCTGAGCAGTTTTTAAGTTTTAGATTGATTCAGTCAGAAATTCTGATTTTTATTTTTTACCGTAAACTTCTGTCGATTCTCTTGCAAATTCGATCGATTGTGCATTCCGAGGGTCACGTCCACGTGTCTCGCATTCAAAGAACTTCCATCGACGTCAAAGAGACAATGCGCCGCTAAAATCGTGTTTTGATTTTAGAAATTCGTCAAGTTCAGTTATGAAAAAAGAGCGATTTTTCTAAAAATAATACAATTCTGACCTGTGACGAGGACTTTTTTGGAAATTAGTGTCGCGCCGCAAGAATCTGCCACACGCTCTGTTTCCGTTTCCCTGGAAAGACTCGCGTGCCAAGGGTGTTGACCTCTGACCGTGTTCTCGCCATTTGTGACCAACGCAAGCGCCTTTTCGGCTTCTCTTTTTCGGCGACGTTCGCCCGATCGTCGTCCGCAGTTTGCAAAACTCTGGTTTGATCCAAAATCTGGAAACCTTGAAATTTGCAAATAATCAAAATGGAAATTATATTAAAACCTTTTTTGGATTTTGCTTTGGGGATTTTTGGCATCGAAGCCAAATCGACGGACGCTGAGGTGATTTCATTCAAAAACGGCAACAAATCCAGCCATGTTGTAGCGGACCCAGAATCGGCGGCCCTCATTGCGCGTAGATAAAATCGTTTTTCTCGCTCAATAAATAAATATTTTGATAAATCTGAAACAAAATAAGCAATCAATTGGAAACTGCTAAAAAATGGAGCACTTTCCCAAATTTTGGGTTCGTTTTTTGAAATTCTTTATTTGTAAAGCTCTCAAAATATAATTTCTAACCCCTCAATCAAATTACCCACATTTGCCGCCTTTCTTGACAAAATATTAAACATTTTAATAAAAAAAATTTCCAACAACATGCATTTGAAATTTTGCAAACGGAATTTTATGTAGTCATTTAATTGTTTGTTCTTCTAAAGTATTATTATGTAATTAAAAATAAAAAATAAGAAACTTTAAAAATGAGCAGAAAGGGCATCAAAACTATCAAACGCCCGAAATCAAAAGAGACGCGGCCGCCGCGCTGAACCAAAACCATAAAAAGAAGAACAATCGAGAGCACTGAAATGCATTTGGCTTTGCCTTGCTTTGGAGTCACATTTGAGCACCAGCCTATAACTCCGCAGGAAGTTGGCTGGACTCTTCATTTTCTACTAAAACAAATACAAATGTATTTTATATAAAAAAAACATGTAAATTTTCCTCTCAATTAGCGTGGGGAGATTGCTCGAGGGCAGGTGGCTGAGGTCGTTCTAGGGCTTGACGATTGAAAGGAAAAGGCGCTCCAGGTGAACTTTTTTTTGGTCGGTGTTTTCTTCAAAACATGTTTCACAAAATACGAACGGAAATCGTGGATTGCGCGACCGAATTTTTTTGCGCTCAAACCTAAATCCTCTCAAAATTAATTGTGAAGCGCAGAGGCAGACAAAATGAAACGACGCAAATCGTCAAACAATCACAAATTTTGTGGCGTCATTGCGAATTTATAACATATTTCGCGGGCTCGATTTCACAAAAAAAAAACAGACATGATTATTGAAACAAAAAATTATGCAGTAAATCCTTAACACCAAAAAAATATCAAAATCTGACCTTCCCCTACCCCAACCTTATCCACATCCTTTCTTAATCTTTTCTCCCTTTTTAAGTTTTCAGCTTTGTTTGTCATCATCGCGTGGACCAAAATTAAGGATGTGCCAGCATAAAATGATGATTTTTTAAATACCCGAAAATATAAATAATAAAAATTAATTGGGTGGTGACTTCTGTACCACCAATAAAAAGCACAGGCCGACAAGACTTTGTCTTGGCCTGACCCAAAAGAAAAAAAAAAAACATACCAAATGATGTGCAGATTGCATTCCCGTAGAGGTCGCATTCCCTTTTTTCAATCCTTTCTTCACCATAACACCTTTGCTCCGGCAGGAAATCTAATTTTCTTCTTCCTTGCTGCCGATGGAGACAAAATTGTGGAAATAAAACGATGTTTTATAATTAAAAATCGAGGAACTAGAAAAAATAATTAATTGTAAAATTCGTGAATAGAACAATCCGTCCTGCTGTCGTCGCTTTTGAATATTCGCGCGCGCCTTCAAAGTGTCACCTGGAACAATGGACCACCCCCTACCCCTGTGAAACAAGATTCCGGTACAACAACAGGCCGTGTATCATGAATACGTGTGCAAAATTTCCGTGGGACGAAATGGAAAAACAATTTTTCACTCTTTTGCATTTATTTCAACCATTTGGGAAAATTAAAAAAACATTTCAAATTATTCAGCTATTTAGGCGATGAGTTTTTCTTTCAATTTGTAATTACGTTGAAAATTTTGCTATTAGTTGAAGAAACAATTGCATGTGTAGATGAATTCATAGCTATTTTCGCATCTTGAAAATGTTGAAATCTCGCTCTAGAATCGTTTTTCCAATAAATGTTAATTTCTCCAAAAATAGAAATAAATGATAAAAAAAACCGTTCCACTTTCAAAAATATCAAAGAAAACGAGGCAGATTTCGCAAAAACTCGCATCATCACGGCAAATTTATGGAATTATATTGACGGATTATTTCCAGTCAAATTTATTGTCATCATTTTTCCACCATTTATTCAAATCTAGTTAAAAAAAAAATTGCACAACCCGTTCAATATTTTCTGGAATATCAAAATTCAATTTTGTAATATAAGAAACTAACGTCGTTGCAAAAATCTCAATAGAAATAAAGCTGCAAAATAATTAGCTACTCGCGCCCTCTAAAAGTGTAAAAGGCAAAAGTTTAACATACTTCATAATCGGAAGCATAATAATTTTCGAGTTCGTCGTTCGTGTTGTCCCAATTCCATAAACAGGCAGGCTGCAAATTCGGTGTCAAATCCAATTTTTCAATTTGCCAAACAAAGAACATCTCGGAATAAAATCTGCCGTGCTTCAATTCCAGCTTCTTTATGTTCAAAACCTGAAACCATCGCGTATAAATTTTGAGCATTCAAAAGTATCCTTTATGTTTTATTATTATCCCGTTTTTAAATTTAAAAATTGTGCCATTGAATACACATTTGTAGCTAACGTAAATTTCAGGAAATATAATTTTTAAATCACTTAAATTCATGGCAACATAGGTTTAAATTAAATTTACACGTTCAGATCAGATTGAGGAACTTTGAATTAATTTTGAATTAGAATTTCACGATCGAGGGTTGATTCATGGGGATTTGAATTTAAAGTTCAGCTTTTCCTCGATGGGTTTTTGTGAGTTTTTATTGTTTCAGAAAAACAATATCCTGCTCTACATGTTTCGGCTGCGGGCTGCAGCCACAATTATGAGCTGTCAAACTGTTTTTCACAAACAACTCACAAAAACCAATCGAGGAAAAGCCGAATTTTAAATTCAAATCACCAACATTGAATTAATTTCATCTTGAGCAGAAAATCGTCTTTTGGAAAATCGAAAAAACTAAAATTTACAAGTTTGTGAAAAAAAGGCGGCGAAAAAAGGAAATATACCTTTTTATTCTGCGATAAACCTCTTTTCCCGAAGCAATTCTGTTCATCATTTTCGTCTTCACATTTGCCGGCATAAATTTTGATTTCTTTCCCTTCTTTATGCGCGTCGTGTAAATAGTACCCATAGTCTAATTGAGGAATCAAAAATCATTTGGTGTTAATTTTTGAAAACTTGCAAAACAATAATTCTCCAATCAATACTTACCAGAGATGATTGTTTTGTCTGATACAAGAGAACTCCATAACCCAAGAAGACACCACCCGTTCTGAGGAAAACAATCCACGGAGGGATTCCCCTTTGGTTCCATCGACCGCAGTCATTGAAATTTTGAACGCCTGAAAATCAATTATTGAGAATTTTTATTTTTGAATGAAGTAGAATTATCGAAAAGAAGTAACAAGTCCAGCCAATTTGAAGCGGAGTTTTCGGCCGGTGCTTATGTGACTGGAAAGCAAGACTTGAAAGCCGAACAATCCAGTTCTATACGCATTTTTTTACATGCGAATTTTTTATTGACGAGTAAAATGTCAACTCGATATTATAAAAGTGACAAAAACCATGTTTTAATATGAAATTCAACAGATTAATTTAATTATATTCAAGACGATTAATGAAAAATTTTATTCCCAGAGACTTTGTTTTTCTCTAAAATCAAAATTTTGAGATTATTCAGTTGGAATTTTGAATTTTTACCTAGTCAAAGGCTTATAAAAAAAAACTTTTCTGGAAAACCTTGTACAGAATATTTGATGCCTTAATTATTTTTGAATAAAAAGAAATTGAAAAATGTGTGATCGTTTTTAAAGTTGCGTTAAAAACCGAATTTTCTGTTCTTTTTCTAACATTAATAATGGGGACTTTAGAAAATTGAAAATTGCAAGTTGAGTGAACTTAAAAATTTATGCTCCACATCTGGAGATGCAATAATAAATTTTGAGCCTGATATTATTTGAAGGTTGTGAAACTTGATTTAAAAAAAATAATAATATTGACTTGAAACTTTCATACCTGGAGATTCAAAAATTGATCGATTTTTTCCATAATTCCAGCAGTCGGTCGAGTTAATTTTCTGTGAAAAATGAAAGTAATTTTAATTTTTTATTTTACTTCAATTGATCATAATTCTATTTCTTCTAACAGATTAACCGTAATTTGCCAAAATTAAAGTTGAGAAATTGAAATAATATTTTAATTCAATTCATACCGTTGGACATAATTTTGCCTTCAAATAGTTTCAATATCGAAAAGTAGAAAACTTTTTATTACATTGTCAGGACATGTTATAAAATTTATACCAAATTTTAAGTTGATTTTCTGTCACAATTTTATTTAAACTCCGATTTTAACTTCAAACAGATCCAGTCAATAAAAATTAATTGGATTCAAGGAAATTATTGATGCGTTTTTGCTAAACTCTCACCTCTATTTTTTCCTCTTCAGTCTGGGCAGAAGCTGAAAAAGTGCAGACGGCGAAAATCCAAATCCAAGTTTCAATTTCCATTTTCAAATTTGGCTTTTGCGAATTTTGCCTGCAAAATTCATTTAACAAATTTAGTTTCAAGTTGTGTTTACAAATGTATCACCGGGCATTATCTCTGCCCAAATACATCATCCATACATTCAATACTATAAATTGCATTGATAACAAGAGAGAGAAAAATACATCAAAAATACATAGACGGAACAAATTTACATCTTTCCAGGCATGAATTTTTCAAATACATTTAAAGGTACATTAAAGAGCAATTTTTTTGTGAAAAAAAATCGCCAAACGAAGATGAAAATCTGCAGATTTTGCGATAATTCCCGAGTTGACAAACTTTTTGACTCTCGCAGCTTCAATTTACTTCTCTCAAATTTTTTCAACGTTTTTTCATTCCCACTTCATACGCCCCATTTTATTTTTGCTGCAAACTTCTCTTTTTCAAAAAAATAAATCAATTTTAATTTCATATTTTCTCTCTTTATTTATCGAAAAACTAACAAATTTTAAACTTTTGAACGTGTCAATATGTGGTAATTGAAGCTCATAACAAATACTCCGGCCTTTGAACCAACATTATCTCTCAGGAAATTTGCACCACATCCAGAATTTTCCTTCTTAATTAAAATTAACCAAACAAATAACTGTAAAAATTGATACTTCTTGTGCCACTGATGCGTCGGTCGAGCTGTTGCTGAGCGCGAGAAAGCTTTGGCGAAACTGAAGCTGTGCAGGTTTGTTTCTAGCCAAAACTGGTACCGACCTTCGGATTAATGAGATGGCCCCAGGGCAAAAATTACTGGGGTCAACCAGCATATGCAGATCTCTTAACATTTTTACCATGAGAGAGAAACATCGTGGGAGATCAAGTGATTTTTATTTCGACTCTCCACTTGTGGGAAAAAATTGAATTTATAAATTTTCAATCTCGATTTCTCAAGTAAAATTTGAAAATTTGATAAAACTGAGATGGACTAACAAGAGTTACAATAAAAATCAGCAATAATTATTTACCATTTTTACTTGAAAAAAAGGAAAAATAATAACAAAAGAATTCAAACTATGTTTGGAATATTTACCAGAAAAAGTTTTGTCCTTGTGGTAAGAAATTAATACAAATTTAACGGTAAGCTGCGATTTTATACTCGAAAAATTATTAATTTATGTTAATTTTCTCCCCTTAAAGTGTCTCAAAATGATCATTACAATTGTTAATCAGGAGCTGCAGATGCTCGAAATGAAAATTTAGAATTTTTGCTGTCAACCGTATATATTTGGAAGCAGCATTCAATAAACTTGATTTTCAGCCGCTACCATTTTTGTAATTCATTAAAGTTGAGAATTTTTCTGCAGGGAATTTTATGCAGCCAAGAGATTTTAGAAAAAAGCTTTGAATTAAATTTAAAGTTTTGATCAACTAAAATCAGATCAATTTTGCTGGTCCAAGTGAATCTGGAAATTCTTCTATCGCCCGACGACTTCACTGCTGAAAATAAAATCTTTATTTTCAATTCATCGTTTTCATCATTTTTGATGACGGGCCTGATTAGTGAGAAAAACTTGATTATTTTGATAGATTATTTTCCCGAACAAAAAACGGTAAAAACAATTTCAGGCAGCAAAATGCCGATTTTGAATTAAAGATGAGAATAAAGTCGATCAGCATTGATTAGATCAGTATTGCTTAGATTTTGGATCTGCTGCATCGGAAATCTGAAATAAATTAATTAATTTTCAGCAAAAATCAAGAATCAGTTTTTACCGTACACATGTTAATTTTGTTTGAAATGAACAACTACTTTGACAATGAGAGCTAATTTTAGTCACCATTTGTCAATTTTAAATTTTGTGAACTGCGAAATCAGATTTTATTTAAACGTCGTCGAATAAGTGCTTCTCAAAATTTATCCCACTTAACGAGAATATTTCCATATTTTGTTTCATTTGTTCTGAAAATGGGCAGATTGTGTATCCAATTTGAATAACACGTGATCCTGCCGAAATCAAAACGACGCAATTTATTTGTTGATAAGCAAAATCAAAACCAAAATACTTTCCTATGATTAGAAAAATATCTTTAAAGCAGCGACTGTGTTTACTGGTTAAATTGTCATTAAAAGAAGTCCTATTTGTTAGTGTAAAAGTAAATTTTTTGCTGTAGGGAGAGAAGTTGAGGGAAAGAAGAATCGTTTTTTATTTGAGACTTTTCCTGTCGAAATGGAAAAAAATAAATAAATAAAATGAGAAACAAAACTTGTGGCCAAAACGCGCAGTAAATAAATTTAAATTAGTTCAAAGTTTCCTTTTAAAAGATCGCCAAGAATAATTATCAAGAAATAAAAATTAAACATCCATCTTATTCATGGTGATTTGAATTTTTTTTTTTTTTTTTATTATTATTTATTTATTATTTCATTACAAGTCCAGCCAATTTCCGAAGAAATTATCGGCTGGTGCTTTAAAATCGGCTTTTCCTCGATGGGTTTTTGTGAGTTGTTTATTGTTTCAGAAAAAACAATAAACAACTCACAAAAACCCATCGAGGAAAAGCCGATTTTAAATTCAAATCACCGTGAATCAACCCTCGATCGTGAAATTCTACCACAAAATCCATCTTATTCCTTGTTCACACCTGCAGCTGTAAAATGTATTTTTTGTATTTTCTATTTTCTTCATTTATTTTTCAAAATGCACACCGATTAAATCAAACAAGGAATCATTTTAGTTTAAAAAAATCAAGTTTCTCAACCGGCAGAGTGGCGTGTCGCGCAAGTTGCCTACTCGTGATTTTCCCAGTCAACCTCGCTCGCATATACAAACTTTTTTTCAAGTTCGTCTGCATCAAGTCTTGAATTTCCCATAAATTATCAATTTGATTCAACAAAAACACTTTTCTGCCCCATTCTTGCTCTTCATTTAATTCCAATCGCTTTGTTTGAAGAAATTTGCTTGGATTACGTGTTTAGCAAATGGAGTGGATTTTCTGCGAAATAGGGATTTAATTAAAAAAAGACGTGCTTTCCACCCCAAAAACAACTTGATCTCGGCACATCCGCAGCCTCAACCGTGCTGGGCAGCAAAATATTTATATTTTGATCACTTTTCTTTGTCGACATTCTAGCTGTTGGTTTGTTTTTATGTTTCTTTTACAGTTATTGCTGCTATATGAACGTGAAAGTGTTTTACAAAGCAAAGTCTATGGAAAATACATAATAATATAAAATTAATCATTTAAACAATTATTTTTTTAATCAACAAAAACTTCTTACCTTTTCGCTAAATTTGTCCAATTTTAAAAATAAGATTTAAAATAAAACTCCTCATTTAGTTTGATATAATACAATTTTTTCTTAATATTTAATGGTTCCTTTCACGAAAAAACTTTCAAAATTTAAAAACTTGCATTCGTCGCCAAATGTTTGCTAGGCATTGGTGGGTGAAAAATATTATTCTTAATTGACGGACGCTGAAGTGATTTGATTGAAGAACGGCAACAAGTCCACCCATGTTGAGGTGCTATTTGTAGAATTGGCTTCAATTGCGCGTAGATAAAATCGTTGATCTCGCTCAATAAGCAAATAATGTGAGAAAGCTGAAACAAAATGAACAATCAGTTGGAAACCATTAAAAAATTGAGCATTAAAAAGCTTTAAAAATATAATTTCTGTCTCAATAAAATGATTTTTAGCCTTTCTTGGCAAAATATTTAACGTTTTCACAATCAATTTTCCAACCATATGCCTTAATTTGAATGATATTTTGCAAACGGAATTTTATATTTCTTCAAAATCTTGGATTGCGCGACCAAAATTTTCTACGCTCAAAATTAATTGTGAATCAGAGACAGAAGAAATGAAAAGATGCAAGTCAGTAACGAATTCAAAATATTGTGGCGTGTCATAAAATTTATTCAGCATGCTCAATTTTACTTACCATTTCTTGAAGTGCAGATTGAATTCCCGTAGAGGTCGCATTCAAATTTGTAAATCTTTTCCTCTTTGTAACACTTTTGCTCTGTTAGGAAGTCTAATTTTTTCTGTTCACTCTGCCGATGGGGAAAAAATTGAATTAATTTTAATTGCGGCAAGAAGAGTTTTGTAAATCGAGGAATGAGACAAAAAATTAATTTTATCTACAAATGAAAATTCATGGCACTTTTGTGTAGTTTTTTTAGGCTTAAATAACTGTCCATTGAATGGAGATTTAAAAAATAAAGTATTGCAAAGTAAATATGGATTTTGTTTGTTCCACAGGGGGTGCTGGGGTGGCCCATTGTTCCAGGCGCATTCTCAAAAGCAACAAAGCAGGGCTTTTTTTGTTCCAAACTCATTTTAAATGGAATAATAAGATGTGGAAGTTTCTTTGTCTCGCCACCTTTGAATTTTCAAGTAATTTTTAAAAGATCCAAAAAGTTCATGAACTTCAAATCTTAAAAATTTCATTTCCCAACACCAGTTTTTATTTTACGAAACGAACATTCACATCGTAATTAATATTTAAAATATATTGCTTACTTTGAACATTATGTTGTTAAAATTAAGTTCAGATATTCGATAGAAACAATATTTGCCTCTTCCTCATTGACAACCTTTATTTTTGTATGGACTTTCAAGTTTGAAGACTGATATTTTTATCTAACAGGAAACAAAGCTGGTTTTTTATATTTAAAAAAATCGATCGCCTCTCTAAATTTACGTTTAATTTTAATATTTTACTTACTGCTAATTAATTTCTTTTATTTCTCATCCTATCAAAGCTGATCAACCCTTTCGTAGGTTGCAATTACAGAACTTTTGCTATTTTTCGGATCAAGCCGAGTTTTATGGGCAGCGCAAATTCGTCTTTGCTAAATCTGTTCACGTCTCGCTAAACTTGTCAGCCGCAATGTAAAAATTAAAATGATCAATTTATTTGCAAAGCCTTGAAAATTACCATAATATCTTGTGGTGCGCAGGCGCTGAAATTTCCTTTCGCTTTTAATTTCATATAAAAATTACTGTTGAAAACAATTTTACCCTCGGTTTTCATCGCTTTGAATCAATTCCGAATGTCGCCTGGAACAATGGTCCTCCCCCTACCCCTGTGAAACAAGGTTTAGGGAGAAAAACAGGCCGCGTATACCATGGGAAATTGGGAAGAAATGGAAAAATTGTTTCACCGCTGTTACATTTGAAGAGAAGTTAAATAAATATTTCGAATTATTCAGCTTTGGCGGTTTATGCGACGAGTTTTTCTTTAAATTTGTATTTGTGTGAATATTTTGCCAGTTTAAGGAAAAATTCTGAACCAAAAATAAAGTGTGGAGGAAGAATTTCTAATTATTTAAAAATAATTCCATCTTTTTGAGGAATGTAGAAATTTCTGGCAAAATTCGTTTATTCAATAAATGTCGATTTTCTCCAATGAAACAGAAAGACTATCACAGAAAATAACAATGATAAAAATGAAAAATATATTAAATAAAAGGAGCCTAAATTGGCAAAAACTCCCATTTACACACGGCATATTCAAAGAATTATTTTACTACTTTCACGGATTTCTCCCAGTCAAGTTTATTGCCATCATTTTTAAATCATCATGTAAAAAAATCCGGCAAAACCTTTCAAATTTTTGTTTAGAAGTTTAAAAACTCAATTTTGTTGCGCACAATTGACGTCATCGCAAAAAAACTTCTAATTGTAAGAAACTAGGCTGCAAAAATTCAATTATTTGCGCTTTCAAGAATTGGAGAAGTCAAAGGTTAATCATACGTACATGCCAATCAGAGACAACATAAAAAGTCTCGTGTTCGTCGTTCGTGTTGTCCCAATTCCATAAACACGCAGGCTGCAAATTCGGCCTCAAATCCACTTTGTCGATTCGCAAAACGTTGATCGTCTTGGAGTAAAATCCGCCGTGCTTCAATTCCACCTTCTTCACGTGCAAAACCTGAAACCATCGCGTGGTGTTAATTAAGAATATCCATTCTGTTTTATTAGAAATCCTTTTTTTTTAAATTAAAATTTGTGCCATTGAATACAAAATTAAAATGCAATATTAAAATCACGTAAATTAATGGCAACAGTTTTCAATTAAATTTATGCATAAATATCAAGAAACGTTGAATAATTTTTAACTCGAGCAGATAAATCGTCTTGTGGAAAATTGGGAACGTAAAATTTTATAAATCGCTTCAGGTGAAAAAATTACTAAATAATATTTGAATGAAATTGGAAAAAAAGGAAAAAGCAGCACAAAAATCACCAAAGAAAATTCACCTTTTTGTTCTGCAATAAACCTCTTTGAAAGAAGCATTTTTGTGCATCATCTTCGTCTTCACATTCGCCGGCATAAATTTGAATTCCCTTCCCCTCTTTTTGCGCGGTGATAAACTCATCAGGCCATCCATCTGATTTTGTGGAATAAAAATTAGTTGAATGTGCAAAAGAATAATTTTTTCTGATCAATACATTCCGAGATGATTGTTTTGTCTGATACAAGAACTCCATAATCCCATTCGCCATCATAAGTTCGGAGGTAAACAATCCACGGAGGGTTTCCACTTTTGTTCCAGCGGCCGCAGTCGTTGAAATTCTGAACGCCTTGAAACAAATTTGAGAATTAAGTAATCAAATGTTCTTGATCATGAGGAGAAAAATTTAAAAAAAAAAAAATCTTCACTCAAAATTTGAAAATTATACGGGATGGAATTTTGGAATTTTACTGAGCCAAATCCAAAAGCTTAAAAAATAGCTATCCTGGAAATTATTTCTACAGCATATTTGACACCTTAATTTTGAAACGGAAAATAAATTAAAACTACTAAAAATTTGTCGTTTTTGAATAAGCGTTTATTTCCAAATTTTCCTCGTTTTACTAAAATTAATAATGGACTTTATAAAATCTAAAATTGCAAGAATAAAATTTAAAATTCATCTTCCTGATAAGGAGAAGCAAATACAAATTTTTTTCGCCCTCAAAAATGCTGAGCCTTGTATTCAACAGGCTATAAAGGCATTAATATTAAAAAAAAAATTAATATGGAACGGAATTTTAACTTTTCATACCTGAAGCTTCAAAAATTGATCGATTTCTTCGGTGATTCCAGCAGTCGGTCAAGTTTATTCTCTGTGAAAGTTGAAAGTAATTTGCATTTTTACTTTTTATCGAACATATTTCTATTTCATACAAAAGATTACTGTAATTTTTGTGAAATATAAAAGTCTGAAATGTTGAGATGTATTTAAATAGGTAATTAATATTTTATGTCAAGCTGTAGCAAACAATTTTGCCTTCCAATGGTATTCCTGTCAATAAAAGAAATTATTTTTATGTTACCAAAAATGTTGACAACACTTTCTCGTTCACTTTAACTCAAATTTTAAGATACTAAACTGATCCGCCACCATTATGCGTCAATCGATCAAAATAATTGAATTCAGGGCAATTAATTTTCTCACCTCATCCCACCCCTGAGGCCGCGTCTGGGCAGAAGAAAAATAAGTGCAGACGGCGAAAAACCAAATCCAGCTTCCGATCTCCATTTTCAACCTTGGCTTTTGTGATTTTGCCTGCAATTTTTATTTCAGCAATTTTTATTGCAACCAAAGTACAAATATTTTACAAGCGTCTTTAAGGAGCGTCTTCTGCGAAATTTAATATTCAGATCAATTTAGTGTGAAATTTCACAGCCAGCATTACAAATTGCAGAGAAAATTATGGCGAAGAGAAATTAGGGGCTTGTTCGACCTTCTTTGGCCACATTTGACTCCAAAGTACAACAATCGGCAACAATCAAACAATGCACAGAATTTACGATATCATAAGCTTCTCCTTAATATAAGTGCAAATTTTTTTCAATCCTGATTCCCACCATTTCATTCTTGTCTGCGAACTTCGCTTTTTTACCGTATTTTCAAAAAAGATTCAATTTACAATTTTTTTTTCAAATTATAAAAATAAAAATATTTCCATTGAATTCATCAAATTTTGAAATAATAATATAATGTTTCATTTTCTCAAACAAAATGATTATTAATAGAAATATAATTTTGGGAAAAGATGCAAAATTAACTCTTGCAAAGTCTTGATAATTAAGTTTGGTAAAATAAGTAAACTGGATCTTATTTAAAATTGAAATAATTGGGATTTTTAGTTTTGAATTTCACCTATATTATTATTTAAATATTTAATTTCCAAATGTTTGAAGCTAAAAAAGCAGGTATTTGGCAGAAATAAATGGAACTGCGGCGGAAAAATTTTGCTTTTTAAATAGGATATTTTCGTTTTGCCTAATCTAAATTACAAGTAGCAAATGTTCAAAGAGTGTGTTTATTTAATCTGAAAAATCGTCTGAAAATTAGACAAAAGTAACAAATTGTCTGCGAAAGGCGAGGGCACATGTCTGGGTGTCCAAATTTTCTTTATGATATTTAAAAACTTAGCCAGAAAAACCAAGGCATTAAATGAATATTTTAATTTCAATTGTTTTGAGTAAAATTAATAGCTGGAAAAATTGCCGCATTTTGAATAAGGAAAAATTTAATTTCAATTTAAAATTAGGATTGCTATGAACATAATTCCCTTGGGACAAAAAACTTACTTGAGAGTGATTTTGTGGGACGAGCCGTGGCGATGATCGCGAGTGAGAAGCGAAGATCAAATGCCGAGAGCCTTCCCAAGCCACTTTGCTTTTGTTCGAGCCAATTGATAACAATTCTCTTGGTTTGAATCACGTGATAAATTAATTCGCTTCATACGTGCTGGGAAGAAGTTTGAAAATTCCATTTTTTGATTCTAAAATTTGCCGCTTTTCCTTTTTCTATTTTCCCTCGTTTTTTTTTTTGCTCAGTGAAATTAAAAATAAATTCAAGTATTTTCAGTATTAAAAAGTTACCAAAACTTTTAATTATAACAAAATTTGAAGGTGCAAAAGACGAAATTTTCGGAGGAGAGATTTCATTTAATTTTTAACAACATAAGTTGCTTCTTGTTTTGGAGAGAAATTGGCAGATTGTGCGACTTTTGCCTTTGATAATCTTTGACCTTCGCAGCATCCGCCGTCTCAAATTGATTGTGCCAAAATCAAAGCGAAACAATTTTTATAGTTACCAAGCGAAAGCAAAGCTGAAATAAAACAAGAAAAATTCATGGAAACAACGACTAAGTTGTTGATAAATTTTCACCATGAAAATAAATTATGGGGGGGTAGAAGTTCCCTAAGTGGAAGTTGCCGAAAGTGGAAGTTGCCTAGTAAAATGGAGGCAAAAGGTGGGGCCAGGGTAGCATGGGGAGGAAATGGGCAGCATCGACACATAATTTGACAGTAGCTGAAGCCAATGAGTGAATGGAAATCCACACATGTGTAAATGTAGGTCGAAATTGCGAATTTTTGCATTGAAATAAAAAATCGCATGTACATTGAGTGTGCCAGTGGAACCTCCCGAAAGTAGAAGTTCCCGAGAAAGCTACTCAATTTCCAATTTCGGGAGTTTCTACTTTTGGAGGTATATTTTTTATATTTTCTGAGTTTTTTAAAATTTCATTGAGTGGAAGTTCCCGAGTGGAAACTCCCTAAAAGTGGCTTCAAGTATTGTCCGAACTGGAAGGCAGGTGGCGCTGTTGAATCTGCGTGAAGGCATCTCTTTGCCGTGGAAAAAAATTTATATATTGACTTCGAAATAAGAACAACTTAAATTTATTTGTTTTTGAATATGAAAATGCAAAGGAAAAATAATAATATTATTTTCTAAAAAAAAAAATTATTTATATTTTTTGTTTTAAAATTACTTCGTACTAAAGAGAGTATGCGACGATATTTCAAATTTAATTATTACATTTCAGAGCATTAAACACTTTTCTTATTTGTTGCCTCTGTTTGCGATTGCTCGGAGCAGAAAAAGTCTACTGTTCTACGACACCAACGGCAAATAAAAATAAGTACTTTATTCATGTCTGATGGACGAAAAGTATAATAATTAATTAATTTTCTTTCTTTGGGAGATCAAATTTCTGTTTCAAATCAGGTATCCAATTAATTTCTGAAAAATATCTACAATGAGCATTAATTACAAAATATTTTTGACAGAACCTAATATGGCAAGAGACAATTTTCCTTGTAAGGTTATAATGCCTTTATTAACCGGATTCAAACTATTATTACTCTTATTATTATAATTAAGAATTCTTGATTAGAGAAAAATCAAATAAAAATTAACAAACTGTTTTTTCTAAAAATTAAACATTGATTTCAAAAAAATTGAAGCATCGTCAAAAGGTGCATGGCGCTTAGTTAGAGGTTTGTAGAGCTACGTGTATTCACTAAAATGGGTAATAGGAGAAGCATAATTATTTTTATAATATAAAATAAAATTATTTTAATGACTTTCAATCTTTTAAATTAACTTGATGTTTTATATCAAAAATTATATTTCGGTCAGATACGGAACTAATAATGATGTAAGTTAAAGGAGAGGCAGCAAAAGGAAATAATAATCTTTTTCGTCTCTCCTCGGTCTGTGGAATCAGCTGATAGCGGTAAAAATCCATTTCAGTTTTCAATTGTTCTAAGCACAGCAAAATATAAGACATGCATCAATTAATTCTAAACAAATATCTTTACTTTGCCTGTTTTTCTCAAAATTTTTTATATTAAAAGTGTCATTAAAATTCGAAAATATGGATTTTTGAGAAATTTTAGAAAAAATATTATTTTTCTGCGGTAAACGTCTTGTTCGTAAAATTCTGACCAGCGGTTTTCTTAATAACACGCTCAATAGTTTTCCATTTTTGACACATTTGTTTCTCACTTCAAATTTAATATTAAAAAACAAAAAGAGTTATAAATTGCTTTGCAACGGGTTTTTGTGCGTAAATATGTGCTAAATTTCAGTGATTTTTTAAAAACTATTATAAACAAAAGAAAGTGCAATATTCAGTTATATGCTAATTTTTTAAAGTTTTTCACTTTATCTTTCGCTCGCGTTGGAATATTTTTTAAAATTTTTAGACATAGATGCGGCAAAAATGATAAAATGCATAAAATTTGGAAGATGAGAAATGAGCAATTAATACATACTATTTGACCCGCCCCGTTTTAACGGCGCGAAAAACCAGCCGTAAGCTTGCTGCAGAGCAAAGCAGAACTTTATTTAGATTACTTGTAAGCGTGATTTCAAATATCTATAGCTTTGCTTATAATTAAAATATAAGGTTCATTTTTGAAAAAGGGGTTCAATATTTATTTTAGCATTAAATTTGGTATCAAGAATTTTTTCGTGACAGCAACTGGAGTTCAGATAATTAAATATAATACTCTAAATATTAACAAATATTTATAAAAATCGCAAAACTTCAAGATTTTCGCCATGGAACACATTATATTATATTTTCATTTAATAAAAAATGAAAAATAATTAGTGCCTTTTTGAAACAAAAAATTGGCTTTACATTAGCAATGAAATTGCCGATTTATGAAATTCTTGGATTTGTTTACTTTCCATTCCATGCAGTCATGAGCACACAGCAAAAAAAACTCAGAAAAGGCTGAAGTATTTTTATTGGTGTTTCCACTATTTTTAATTTGATTTAGAATTAAGATTATTAGATTAATAGAAATTGATTATGAGCAATTGATTTAACTTAAAGTTTTGTTTTTATTGAAATCAAAATTATGAAATGCAGCCAATAATTTAGAATAATTAAAAAATTTCATAATAATTTATCATCATACATGATTTTATTTCAAACTCATTTGAGATTTGGAGATTAAGAAAAATAATTCTGCTCAGTGAGACAAGCAATGCAAGTGCATTTTTAGAAAACTCAAATGCAAAAAAGCCTTATTTTTTGTTTGACAAAATCAGATAATTTCATCTCAGCTGATGAGAGACGAGGCCGAATAGAGAAGTAATGTTTTCTCCATTCATTCGCAGGCCCAGAGCTGCCAAAGTGTATTTTTCTCTCGCACAACCTGCAAAAATTGCCACTTTTGCCAGCAAGTGCACCTTTTTCGAATACTATTTGATAAACAGAGGTGTTGCTGCCTTCACGCAGATTCAACAGCGCCACCTGCCTTCCAGTTCGGACAATACTTGAAGCCACTATTAGGGAGTTTCCACTCGGGAACTTCCACTCAATGAAATTGTAAAAAGCTCAGAAAATATAAAAAATATACCTCCAAAAGTAGAAACTCCCAAAAGTGGAAATTGAGTAGCTTTCTCGGGAACTTCTACTTTCGGGAGGTTCCACTGGCACACTCAATGTACATGCGATTTTTTATTTCAATGCAAAAATTCGCAATTTCGACCTACATTTACACATGTGTGGATTTCCATTCACTCATTGGCTTCAGCTACTGTCAAATTATGTGTCGATGTTGCCCATTTCCTCCCCATGCTACCCTGGCCCCACCTTTTGCCTCCATTTTACTAGGCAACTTCCACTTTCGGCAACTTCCACTTAGGGAACTTCCTACCACTCATAAATTATTGAGCAAAAGGTAAATTTTTTGCTGCAGCAAAAGAAATTAAATCGTTGTTCTGGGGAAAGAAGAATGGGTTTTTTTATGTAAGATTTTCTCTGTCGAAACATCAAAATGAAATGACAAAGATAATTTTCTGCCCGAAAGGAAAATGGACGTAAATCAGTTCAACAGTTTCCTTTTCACAGATTGACCCAAAAATATCGATAAAAAATTTCCATCTCAAATTCCTCTTTCATTGGCTTAATTTTGTTTGTTTGCCCCATTCTTGCTCTTCATTTTAATTCCAATCGCTTTTGTATGGAAAATATTTGTTTGAATAATGCGCGTTTTAAAAATAGAGTTGCTGATATGAGAAAAAGAGATTTGTAATTTATTGAAATGAACGCCGTAGGCGTGCCACAAATTAACTCTAACAATATAACCTCCCAATTCACTTGGCTTTACAGTTTGCTGCTTCACGCAGACTCATTTTCTTTTTTACACAATCTATTATATGATACTGTGAACAAACTCCACCACAAAATTTACAGATACAATTTTCCAATGCTTCACAGTGATATGTGTACTGTTTGAACAAAACAAAAAGTGAAAACCATGACACGCGTATCTGGTGAAAACATGTCTATCCTTAAATTGCGCCGCCTTCCAGTTTTCTTTAATCATCGTCTCCGTACCATAAAATTCATCACAAATATTCAATTTCTTCAGCAATTGTTCATAACAAAAAGTTTCAAATGCATTGTTCACTGGAAGGTCAAATTTTTCTTTTAAATCAGAAATAAATAAATCGGTATCAACAAGCTCATACACAAAGCGAGATCTCGTGTATTTTGACATACCTAGTACTTTTTTCAAGTACCTACTCTTTACACATTCCAGTTTCACAAAATCTTCCTTTTTTAAATACTTCCAAATCGCTTCAATACCATACGAGGCCATAGGAGCAAATTTCAGCTCAAATAATTTCAATGCTGTGTCAATCGAAAGCATCCGCAATTCTTTTACACTATACATTGAGAGTAACGCCGCTCTCACTCGCTTTTCGATATGCTTTTTAAAAGTCACCCCTGAGGGCTGAAAAATTACTCCTAAATAAGTAAACTCATTAACAAATTCAATTTCCTCATTTTGAAACAACAAAGAATCGCCTTTCTTTAACCTCCCTTTTCCTCCATTTCTAAACTTCATAATTTTGCATTTTCCGACATTTAATTCAAGGCCGCGCTCCATGAGGTACATTTTTAAATCTGCCAGGAGTGATTTTAAATCTACTAAATTAATACACGTAAAAACAATATCATCTGCATAAAAAATTGCTTTTATGTTTGGATACTTTTTAACCAGCTTTTGGATATCTGCAATAGAAATATTGAAAAATAGCGGGGAGGTGCAGCCACCTTGCCTCACTCCATTCGACTGAGTTAATAAATTAGATTCTGAAACGCCATCCACAATTTTTAAATAATTCGGATCTAATGCTTTTGCTAAGAAGGATAGTTCAACATATGATAATTTATTACAATCAACTAATTTCTTAAAAATGCACTCTCTATTTACTGAATCAAAAGCTTTCCTTAAATCTAAAAACAAGGCATACAAAGATGATTTCTGCTCGTAAACTTTTAAATTAATATCCTCTAACAAGGCATGAATAGCTTGACCCGTCGATTTGCCTTTTACAAATCCGTATTGGTTCTCTGGAATATATTCAATCAAGTTCGAATGAAGTCTATTGTGTAGTACTCTATCTAAAAGATTATAAAACACTGGACTTAAACTAATCCCTCTATAATTATTCAAAAGAAAAAGAGATTTATAAAAAAATTTAAAAAAATAACGAGCTTTCCACCCCAACAACAACTTGATCTCGCCAGATCCGCAGCCTCAGCCGTGCTGGGCAGCAAAATACTTATATATTTTGATCACTTTCCTTGTCGACACTCGAGCTGTTGTTTTGTTTATATTTCTTTTCAAATTATTACTGCTATATCAGTGTGGGTGTTTTTTGAAAAGCAAAGTATAAAGAAAATATGTTATTTCCAAAAAAATTAATTTATCATTTCAACAATGATTTTTTTTAATTATCAAAATTTTTTACCTTTCCATTTAAATTTGGTCAATTTTATTATTTTTTTTTTTTTAATGAGATTTAAAATAAAACTTCTTATTTCATTTGATACAGTCCAGTTTTTTTTTTTTTTTAAATAAATGTGTCTTCCCGAAATATCATTCAAAATTTAAAACTTGCATTCGTCTTCAAATGTTTGCTAGGCGGGCGAAAAATATTATTCTGGAGGTGGATTTCTTAATTTTATCATAGCATTTTTAACAATTAGAAAAATAAAACGTGGAAATTGCTCACAGTGGCATAAAATTTTGCCCAATTTGCAAATGTATTAATTTAATTTAAAGCCTTAACATAGTGTTTTCGCATCAAAGGTGGTGATTATTTTTTCATAAAAACAACAATTTTTTCGACCAAAATATAATAGTTGGTTGAAGGAAATATTATTCAGGAATGAAATTATTATCAAATTTATTCATAATTTGGCATTTGTATTTAACAAATATTCTAATTACTAATGTCGGGGGAGTTTTGGACGATCCAATCCATGTTATTGGTGACGTCGGTGAAGAGAGCGTAGTGGTCGGTGTCGCACGATTCGATTGAACCATAATTCTTCCCTGGACTGGAACTGACGACGCCGCGCAAAAAGTGGCGTTTGGTGTCATCACGGTCGTAGAATGTCAATCCTCCGCCGCTGTCCCCAATGCAAGCACTCGTCTCTAATAATTTAACAATTATTTACTATTTTTCCCTTTAATAATGAACTGAAAAGCTCACCGTTTTGAGGAATTCCTGCACACAAGTTTTCCGTCGGACGCAAGTAGATAGAAACGAACTTGCTATTGCTCTCGAAACAATCCTGGTACGAAACGACTTCGAGATCGGCCTTTTGAAGGATGTCCGGCTTCGAGTGGTCGTACGTCGAACCCCAGCCAACCACCTTTTTTCCAATTTATATTTTAATTATTAAAATTGAAAAGAACTTGAAGCTCACCGTGCCAAGTTTTTTGGTGATTTTGTTCAAATCGTAGTCGTCGTTCCAGAGACAAATGGGCCGCACGAAATTTGTTAAAGTGACCTCGCCGTCCAAAATGATCAAGCCGATGTCATCTTTGTAGTCCTTCTTGTTGTGATCGTAGCCGGGGTGCACCAACAGCCTCATGGAAGCCTAAACAAGTTTTTTGAAATAATTTATGAATCTTTGAACTGGCCTGATTTCCCAGCGCATAAACTTGGCCAGATTCTAATCAAGAGAAATATTCAGCAAAGTAAGTAAAGTACAGAAAAGTTATAGAAAAATAGCAGTAAAAGAATGTTCTAAATATCATTGAAATCGGAGAAATAACAGAGTTTGATTTGAATTTAATTATCTGTAATTTTGTACTAATGATGATGAAATCTGAATATACTACAAGTAAACACCCTAATTCTCTTCACATAAACGCGGAGTACTCAGAAAACATGTCACCATCCATACTCAAAGATCCTCTCCGGTCATTTGAATTGCTCTCTATTCTGAAAGATTGTTAAATTTTGAGTATATCTTGTGAAAAAACTATGTGAAAATTCAAAAACGTCGCGTCGCAATCAAAAGAAAACCTAAATTCGAGTGATTCGCGTGAAAAACAAGTGAGAATTGAGTTGCCAATCAGATTCATCAGTTTTGTACAAAAACTGCAGGATTTGGTCAAATTGGCGCTGCGATCGCTGATTTTGCCACTAATGCCCCACGGCGCTGTGCAGAAAACTTGGCAAAATCAGCGATCGCAGCGCCAATGTGACCAATTCCTGCAGTTTTTGGACCAAACTGATGGATCTGATTGGCTACTCAATTCTCACTTGTTTTTCACGCGAATCACTCGAATTTAGGTTTTCTTTTGATTGAGACGCAAGGGTTTTGAATTTTCACATAGTTTTTCACAAGATATACTCGAAATTTAACAATCTTTCAGAATAAAGAGCAATACAAATGATCGGGGAGGATCTTTAAGAAATATTATTGCCTGCCATTTTGCTATTTATTTTTATGAAGACGAGTTTTGCAATTATTGGAGTCAAATGCAGTTAAAATTTGATTTTGCATCTTATATTTTAATTATTTGCTACGCACGGTTCCAAGTTAATAAATACCTTGAATTTCTGCCGCAAATTTTCTTCCGAATTCGATCGATTGTGCATTCCGAGGTTCACGTCCACGTCTTTCGCTTCCAATTTTCTTCCCCGCCCATCGAAAAGACAATGCGCCGCTAAAATTCATGTTTCACTTTGAAAATTTTCCGAACAAATTAAGTTCAATAAAACAATAAAGTCATGCAATTCATAAACCGGACCTGTGACGAGGACTTTTTTTGAAATGAGCGTCGCTCCGCAAATATCTGCCTCACGCCCTGTTTCCGTTTCCCTGGAGAGACTCGCGTGCCAAGGGTGTTGACCTCTGACCGCGTTCTCGCCATTTGTGACCAATGGAAGCGCCTTTCCGCTTTCTCTTTTTCGGCGACGTTCGCCCGATCGTCGTCCGCAGTTTGCAAAACTCTGGTTTGGGCCAAAATCTGGAAACCTTGAAATTTGCAATAATCAAAATGGAAATTATATTAAAACCTTTTTTGGATTTTGCTTTGGGGATTTTTGGCATTGAAGCCAAATCGACGGACGCTGAAGTGATTTCATTCAAAAACGGCAACAAATCGAACCATGTTAAAGTGGACTCAGAATGGATGGCCACCAATGCGCGTAGATAAAATCGTTTTTCTCGCTCAATAAATAAATATCGTGCATCATCTGAAACAAAATAAGCAAACAGTTGGAAGCTGCACAAAAATGGAGCACTTTTCCAAATTTTGGGTTCGTTTTTTGAAATTCTTTATTTTTAAAGCTCTCAAAATATAATTTCTATCCTCTCAATCAAATTACCCACATTTGCCGCCTTTCTTAACAAAATATCAAACATTTTAATAATAAAATTTCCAACAATATGCCTTTGAAATTTTGCAAACGGAATTTTATGTATATCGTTTATTATTCTAAAGTAATTAAAAAAAAAAGTATCCTTAAAAATGAGCAGAAAGGGCATCACAACTATCAAACGCCCGAAATCAAAAGAAACGCGGCCGCTGCGCTGAACCAAAACCATAAAAAGAAGAACAATCGCAAGCACTGAAATGCTTTTGGCTTTGCCTTGCTTTGGAGTCACATTTGAGCACCAGCCTATAACTCCGCAGGAAGTTGGCTGGACTCTTCATTTTCTACTAAAACAAATACAAATGTATTTTATATAAAAAAAACATGTAAATTTTCCTCTCAATTAGCGTGGGGAGATTGCTCGAGGGCAGGTGGCTGAGGTCGTTCTAGGGCTTGACGATTGAAAGGAAAAGGCGCTCCAGGCCAACTTATTTTTGGTCGGTGTTTTCTTCAAAATATGTTTTGCAAAATACGAACGGAAATCGTGGATTGCGCGACCGAATTTTTTGCGCTCAAACCTAAATTCTCTCAAAATTAATTGTGAAGCGCAGAGGCAGAAGAAACGAAAAGTCGCAAATCGTCAACCAATCATAAATTTTGTGGCGACAATTTATAACATATTCCGCGGGTTCAATTTTACTTACCGCCTCTTGATGTGCAGATTGTATTCCCGTAGAGGTCGCAGATCCATTTTTCAATCTTTTTCTCACCATAACACGTTTGCACCGGTAGGAAATCTACTTTTCTCATTTTATCCTAACGATTGGAACAAAATTTGAATTAATTTTAATTGTGGAAAGAAAACGATCTTTTATAATTATAAATCGAGGAACGAAAAAATTAATAATTGGAAAATTCGTGAACAGAACTGCGCTTTTGGATATTCGCGCGCGCCTTCAAAGTGTCGAGGGGAACAATGGACCACCCCCTACCCCTGTGAAACAAGGTTCCAGGCCGTGTATCATGAATATGTGTGCAAAATTTCCGTGGGAAGAAATTGAAAACAACTTTTCGGTCTGTTGAAAATTAAAAAATTATTCTAATTATTCAGCTTTGGCTATTTATGAGATGAGTTTTTCTTTGAATTTGTAATTACGTTAAAAATTTTTTTAGTGAATGAAACAATTGCATGTGTAGATGAATTCATAGCTATTTTCGCATCTTGAAAATGTTGAAATCTCGCTCTAGAATCGTTTTTCCAATAAATGTTAATTTCTTCAAAAATAGAAATAAATGATAAAAAAAACGTTTCTCTTTCAAAAATATCAAAGAAAACGAGACGGAATTCGTAAAAACTTCCATCATCACGGCAAATTTATGGAATTATTTTGACGGAACTTTTCCAGTCAAATTTATTGACATCATTTTTCCACCATTTATTCAAATCTAGTTAAAAAAAAATAGCACAACCCGTAAATTTTTTTCTACAATTTCAAAATTCAATTTTGTTCATAAAAAAATTAACGTCGATGCAAAAAATCTGAACAGAAGTAAAGCTGCAAAAAAATTATCTAATCGCGCCCTCTAAAATTGTAAAAGGCAAAAAAGTTAATCATACGTACATCCCAACGATCGTAAGTATAAAAATGTTCGTGTTGGTCATTCCTGTTGTCCCAATTCCACAAACAGGCAGGCTGCAAACTCGGTGTCAAATCCACTTTGTCAATTCGCAAAACGAAGATCATCTCGGAATAAAATCTGCCGTGCTTCAATTCCACCTCCTTTATGTTCAAAACCTGAAACCATCGCGTATAAATTTTGAGCATTCAAAAGTATCCTTTATGTTTTATTATTATCCCGTTTTTAAATTTAAAAATTGTGCCATTGAATACAAATTTGTAGCTAACGTAAATTTCAGGAAATATAATTTTTAAATCACTTAAATTCATGGCAAGGTTTAAATTAAATTTACACGTTCAGATCAGATTGAGGAACTTTGAATTAATTTTGAATTAGAATTTCACGATCGAGGGTTGATTCATGGGGATTTGAATTTAAAGTTCAGCTTTTCCTCGATGGGTTTTTGTGAGTTTTTATTGTTTCAGAAAAACAATATCCTGCTCTACATGTTTCGGCTGCGGGCTGCAGCCACAATTATGAGCTGTCAAACTGTTTTTCACAAACAACTCACAAAAACCAATCGAGGAAAAGCCGAATTTTAAATTCAAATCACCAACATTGAATTAATTTCATCTTGAGCAGAAAATCGTCTTTTGGAAAATCGAAAAAACTAAAATTTACAAGTTTGTGAAAAAAAGGCGGCGAAAAAAGGAAATATACCTTTTTATTCTGCGATAAACCTCTTTTCCCGAAGCAATTCTGTTCATCATTTTCGTCTTCACATTTGCCGGCATAAATTTTGATTTCTTTCCCTTCTTTATGCGCGTCGTGTAAATAGTACCCATAGTCTAATTGAGGAATCAAAAATCATTTGGTGTTAATTTTTGAAAACTTGCAAAACAATCATTCTCTAATCAATACTTACAAGAGAATCGAGAGATGACTGTTTTGTCTGATACAAGAACTCCATAACCCAAGAAGACACCACCCGTTCTGAGGAAAACAATCCACGGAGCGATTCCACTTTGGTTCCATCGACCGCAGTCATTGAAATTTTGAACGCCTGAAAATCAATTATTGAGAATTTTTATTTTTGAATGAAGTATAATTATCGGAAAGAAGTAACAAGTCCAGCCAACTTGAAGCGGAGTTTTCGGCCGGTGCTTATGTGACTGGAAAGCAAGACTTGAAAGCCGAACAATCCAGTTCTATACGCATTTTTTTACATGCGAATTTTTTAAAGAGTTAAATTTCAACTCGATATTATAAAAGTGACAAAAACCATAAATATGAAATTAAGATTATTTTAATTAAATTGATTGAATATTGACGATGATTAGTGAAAAAATTTTATTCTCAGAGACTTTGTTTTTCTCTAAAATCAAAATTTTGAGATTATCCAGTTGGAATTTAGAGTTTTTACCGAGTCAAAGGCTTATAAAAGCACTTTTCTGGAAAACCTTGTACAGAATATTTGATGCCTTAATTATTTTCGAATAAAAAGAAATTGAAAAATGTGTGATCGTTTTTAAAGTTGCGTTTAAAACCGAATTTTCCGTCCTTTTTCCAACAGAAATAATGGGGACTTAAAAAAATTGAAAATTGCAAGTTGAGTGAACTCAAAAATTTATGTTCCAGATCCGGAGATTCAATAATAAATTTTGAGCCTGATATTATTTGAAGGATGTGAAACTTGATTTAAAAATTATATTGAATTGAAACTTTCATACCTGGAGCCTCAAAAATTGATCGATTTTTTCCATAATTCCAGCAGTCGGCGAAGTTAATTTCCTGTGAATATTGAAAGTAATTTTAATTTTTTATTTTACATTTATTAATCAAAATTCTATTTCTTCTAACAGATTTACCGTAATTTGCCAAAAATAAAGTCGTAAAGGTTAAGAAATTGATATATAATATTTTATTTCAATTTTTTTTTAAATAAAGTATATTTATTTGAAAGAAGAAACAAATCCAGCCAACTTGAAGTGGAGTTATCAGTCAGTGCTTATGTGACTGGAAAGCAAGACTTGACAGCCAAGCAATTCAGTTCTATACACATTGTTTTACTTGCGAATTTTTGCAAAGAGTAAAATGTCAACTAAATATTATAAAAGTGACAAAAACCATTTTTTAATATGAAATTTAACAGAATTTTTTGAATCAAGATTTTTGAGATTTGGTGGTAAAGCATTCCACAGTCTGGGGAAAGAAAATTCAAATGTGCGATCAAATATTTGTTTCACTAGGCGGCATAACAAGAGGATCCAAGTGGGACATTCTTGTTTCATATTGATGCATTCATCGTTGGACACAAATTTACTTTTGAATTGTTTAACAATTGAAAAGTTGAAAAAATGTTAGGTTACATGTCAGGACATGTTACCCAATGCTGAAAATTTTTGAATTGATTTTCTCATATTTAATTTTTTTTTAACTCCAATTTAAACTTCCGCAAACAGATCCAGTCAATAAAAATTAATTGAATTCAAGGAAATGAATTTTGCGTTTTAGCCAAACTCTCACCTCCCATTTTTCATACGAAGTCTGAGCAGAAGCTGAAAAAGTGCAGACGGCGAAAATCCAAATCCAACTTCCGATCTCCATTTTCAACCTTGGCTTTTGCGAATTTTGCCTGCAATGTTTAACTAACCAATTTTTACCTTGCCAGAAATGAATTTTTCAAAAACCTTTATATGAAAATTAGAGAGTAATTTTTTTCGCCAAACGATAATGAAAATCTGCAGATTTTGCGATATTTTCCCAAATGGACAAACTTTTCGACTATCACAGCTAAAGAAATTGTCCCTAAAGTGAAAAATTTAAGCAAAAGTAGAAAAATTTTACACCAACTTTTAATTTAGTCGAAATTCAGCACTCAAATTTTACCATCGTTTCTTTTAATAAAAAATGATTAAATTTAGAAATGGAAATAAAATTTTGGGAGAATTTGCACAAATAACTCTTGCAAGTCCTGAAATTCAAGTCGGTAAAAAGTTCAATCAATCTATACCAAATTTTGATCTTCTGAATTCCACCTAAAGTTGCGTTTAAGGACTCCTTATTGCAATGCTAAGAGTATCAAGGAGGTTTTTTTTGATCGCACATATGCCCAATGTTATTTTTTTGCCCCATGAACCCTCAAATTTTTTTCTGCTTATCTGTTTAAGGCCATTCGCTTATCATTTTGTGAAATTTTGAGCAAAAAATTTCGGGCAGTTTTTTTTTAATCACCAAAAACAAAAATTTCCATAAGACGCAATGTAAAAATTCAAAAAATCATATTTCAAGAATAATCGGCGCTACCCCCCATTTTTCTTTGTGCAATCAACTCTACTGATAGGTAGGAATCTATAAAAAAATCTGGGTCCAAAAATTTCGGGCCGATTTGCCGCAAACAGGAGTTGTAGATGTCAATAAGCAGGCCTTAAGTTTTAATTGAGTTTTTATTTTTCGTGAGCCATTTAAAATTGAATTTCCTAATTAAAACTCAACATTTTGGTATTCCATTTATTCTCGCAGTTCCAGCAAAACCATGTGAAAATCTCTTAATAAAAACTCTTTTTGATCATTTGCTACTTTGCGTCTCTGTTAATTAGGCAAAGTGGAAATGATCACTCACACGTATTGATATCCTATTTCCAAAGCAAAAATTTTCCTCCAATTTTGTTCCATCAAAATCTGCCAAACACCCTTTTTTGTTTCAAACTCTCGCCAGTTAAAATTTAATTAGATAAATTGTTTGGAATAAAATACCCGTAAAATGAGGGCAAGCAGAGCAAGAAAACTGGCCTGGATCGCGATGTCACGCAATTGCAGGATTCGCAAACACTAACAACTATTTGAAGCTATCAAATGTTGTGTTTAATTAATCTAAAAAGTCGCATTGGAATTTTAAAAGCTCGTTGACTTTTGTTTTGTCTGCCTATTGGAAAAAAATACAAATTGGCTGCAAAAGGCGAGGACACAGGTCAAAAGGGCCAAAAGGGGTCCAGGTTTTCTCTCGAACATTGAAAAACTTCGCCAGAGAACCAAGATCATGAATAAATGTTTTGAATAAAATAATTCCAGAAATATCGCGGCATTTAAAATGAGAATATATTATATTAAAATATGCACATGACAGGATTTCAAATTCCCCAGAGTGGGACAGAAAACTTACTTGGAACTCGAGCCGTGTCGATGATCGCGATTGAGAAGCGAAGAGCGAATGCCGAGAGCCCTCCCGAGCCACTTGCTTTTGTTTCAGCCAATTGATAAAAACTCTCTTGGTTTGAATCACGTGGTCGCGCCGAAATAGTTAATTCCCTTCAGCATCACTTGAATTATGAATTCCCCCTTTTTTAATCCACGAATTAATTGCTTATGAATTTTTATTGAATTTTTAAAAAGTTCTAAATTTGTGCACAAAATTTTGGAGAGCAAATAAAGTGGACACCAAAGGGCAAAGCGGGAATGTCCTCGTTGAATAAAATTAGTTTTATTCAAACCCGAAAAATGATTCTTCCATTTTCATTCAGGATTTGTGAAATGATTTATTTTCCTGGTATTTTTCTAATCTAAATTGATCTATCTTGCTGAAAAAATAAAAATTCCATAGGAAAAAAGGATAATTATAATTCCTTGAAAAAATTTGAGCTTCAAGAAAGAATCATTGAGACTAATTGTCAATTAAGGGAAAATTTTCTTAATGCCATTTTACTTGAAATTGAGGAAATTTTCAAAACGAGCCAGGAAAATTTTCACTTATTTCATAGTTGTAAGACACGAATTGTTTTTTCTGCAAGGCAAATTCAGTTCTTTCGAGACAAATTTCTGAATAAAATTTAGCAAATTGATTTAACAATGTAGAAAAATTCTTCTTGGCCTTGTATATTTTGCTCTTATAGATTTGCCAATAGTTTGAAAATTACTATTTAATTTTATTATATTTAAAGAAAAAACGCAAGACTGGACAAAAAGATGTGGAAAGAAAAATTGTGGACCATAATTAAACCAACTTGGACGCTTGATTCGCTAAATTGAATTAAAATTTAAAATCATAAATTTTATCAATTGCAAAATTTGTCTTTCAAACTGAAATGTTTAAAATAAAATAACAAAATATTCAATTGACTAGGTTTCAGTGATCAAAAATTATTATTAAATGAAAGTGCTTTAGATAAAATATTTCTTTAGCTCCAAGATTTTGATTTGAGGGGCGGTTGTGGAGGAAAATCGGCAGAGATTGCGGGACTTTCCAGTTTTAGATTGATAAACCCTCACAACAGCATCCGGCGTCTCAGATTAGAAGCTCATATTTCAGATCGCGCCGAAATCGAGCGAGGCAATTTATTTGCTGCTAATTTTAAGCTAAATTAACATTTTTATCATTTTAAGACCAGAAATAAAATATCTTAAAATCAACGACCGATTTTACTTCCGTAAAATTCTTTTTTGCATAAAAATGCACGCATTTAAAAATGAAATATTTCTTAATATTTTTTTTGCCTTTGCCTATCAAGTATCAAATGAGATTAAAACGTGCTGAGAAGCTCAGCAGTTCCTTTGCTGCCTTAATTAAACATTTTCAATTTAAAATTTGCCCCTTTTTTATTTATGTCGCTTTTGCGGCTTAATTATTATTATTATTGTTGTTGTTCATTCTTCACAAAACAGTCAAATGAGAAAAAAATTTCAAAATGTGAAGAAACGGCAACACAGGTTGCTAAAACGCGGGGCCTCAAGAGAGGTCCGCGCCGAGATGGGCCGCGAGCTGATTATTAAAAAATTCAAGTCTTTTTGAGTTACCATAATTTTCAATTAGATCAAAATTTGTGCGTGCAAGAGGCAAATATTTTTTAATCAAATTATTATTAATAAAAGTTGCTGCCGGTTGAAGAGGAAAATCGGCAGATTGTGCGAGTTTCGTCTTAGTTGGCAGGGGGCGTCACTGATAAACTTTGACCTTCGCAGCATCCGCCGTCTCAGATTGATCGCGCCGAAATCAAAGCAGACGCAATTTATCTGTTGCTAAGCGAGAGCAAAACTGGTGTATTTTTCCTTCACATACTCGAAATTTAATTTCTTTCAAGCAACAAATGAATTTTGTCTCAATTCGTACAATACATTTTGAATGAAACAATTTCACATAAAATCAATCACCAAAATTTAAATTAAAAAATAAATAGCTGAATATATATTTTAGAGAGTTTTTTGTTTAAACGGAATTATATAAATGGCCGGTTTAATTCCAAAATTAATTGGGCAGAATATTAGAGTTTCAGAAAAACAACTCAAGAGTTTTGGTTTTCTCATTCTGACATGAACTTGACACTTTCTGTTGCGTCCGTTTGCTGGTGCAGATCGCTGCTGGGAGCGAATGAATTTTTTTCACACGTTATTTGGCCAACACACGTGCAAATCCTGCAATCAAAACAAAAAACTCGCACAGATGCGTGTGTGAATCACGAAATTAAACATCTGGTCTCCGGTCCCAGATCTGCAAAATCAATTTAACTTTTTAGCATTAATAATTTTATTTCTTGCCCTGAAATCGCATGAAAAGAAACCAATCCAAGTCCGAAATATACCAAGTTTATGAAGAATGAAGTACGCAGAAATTTTTCGCTGTGAGAAATATTTTTATTTCCTGCAAATTTGTATGAAACGCTTATTTTTATGTCTCATTTTTTAATACAACGCGTAACCTGTGCTGCCGGTTGCATACCTCAAAGGCAACAGGTGAACTTTATTAATTAAATTCTTCCGATTATGACTTTGACGAAAACTGAGCACCGACGCGTATTAGCAATAAAGAGGCGTGTTATTGAACTTCCTGGAAAGCAGATAATTGTCGAGATTTCACCCTGAAAAACTCCTCCGGGAGCGTGAATCGATTTCGGTTCGGCTGACCAAAGTTTCCATTCAAAATTAAACTTGCATAATGTGAAAAGAATTAAGATAAAAATCACTTCAGCGTAGGAATTATTACGATATTTTTTGAAAAAAAATTGTTTTACGTGTTTCAAACTCCAGTTTATTATAAAATCTGCATACTTTCCATTGTTAAACTTTTATCGAGTTATAAGTAAATATCCTAAAAGATGGACAAATATTAAAACTATGAAATGTGACATTGCTTGGATATATTTTACAAAAATTCTAAATCTACCGAAGAACAATTAACGTGACACCGATTTGATTAAAATACAAGAAATTTATGCGGGCGGGACGAGGAGGGCGAGAAGTTGGTTGCCGGCCTTGAGCATCATGTTGCCGTACGAGTTGGGGGCCTCGGTGGCCCCTTGGCCGCCCTGCTCGCCGCAGCCGTACTTGGCCTTGAGCTTGGCCATGTCCTTGTCGGTGACAAAGTGTCGGTTGCCGATCTCGGCGCCGTCTTGCTGCGAATTCAAAGTAATGAAAAATCAATTTTGATCTGATTTTTGTATTCAGGGTTTTTCTTTTGGAAAAGCGAGAACTCACAAGCGGCACCAGCGTGTCCTCGCCGTTCTTGGAGAAGGCCTTGCGGCTGTAGTGCATGACGCTGTTGTAGTCGTAGCCGACGCCAAAGTCGGACACGATCGACTCGTTGTACTTGTCAAAGTTGCTCTCGCGACCTCAAAACCAAAATCACTTATTTTCATTTTCATGCCACTTACAAAAATTTGGTACTTTTCTCAAACGGCAAAACTTTTGGCTACAATCGATTTTAACGGAATTTAGCAGAAGAATTTGTGAAAATACTCAAAATTGCCCAATTTTCAGGGATTAGCTTTCAAAAAAAGGTTTTTCTAAAAATCGAAAATATCTCATCTCCTGTTAATCATAGCGCGAAAGTTTATACAAGCAAAATTGTAGGAAATGAAACGTTCTTCAACTTTGCAATGGTAACCAAGGTCAAAGGTCAACTCTGAAGGTCACTATTTTTTAGCTGAAATATTAAAATTGTTACCAAAGTATCAAGACAATAAATTTTTTTGATTCCAAACTAGCAAAAAGTTGGTGGATTGAATTTAAATTCGGCTTTTCCTCGATGGGTTTTTGTGAGTTTTTATTGTTTAAGAAAAACAATATCCTGCTCTACATGTTTCGGCTGCGGGCTGCAGCCATAATTCATGAGCTGTGAAAAACATTTTGACAAAAATTAGTACAAAATTAAATATTTTTTCAAAAATTATTTTTCTTTCAAATTGACAAATTTTTCTTGAAAAATTATTTAAATTTACATTTCTTCACAAACAATAATTTTTAACAAAAATTTGACATATACTTCAAAATATTTTTCAAAAACCAAATAAGTTTTTATAATAATTTTGGTCAGAATATTTAAGCACAAGCAAAAACACTTTGAAAAAACTTTTAATGCGTGTAAAACCGAAAATGCCACAGTCGGAAAAAGAAGTAGTGTACAAAATTAATTGTAAAACGTGTGATAGAGCATATATTGGTCAGACAAAAAGAACTTTGAAAACACGAGTGCGCGAACATATGCGAGCGTTAACAAAACCGCAAGACGAAGATGCACCGAATCACAACAAACTGGCGATGCACGCGCAAAAAACAAATCATGACATCGACTTTGAGGGCGCCAGCATTATTCACCGCGAGAAAAATTACAAAAAGAGAGTGGCGGCAGAATCAATGGCCATGGTGGCGATCGGCAATACAATCAGCCAGCCGAGTTTGACGGTTGAAAAAATCTGGTATAAGCCCATCAAGGCGGCCAAAAATTATTTCAAAGAAAAAAGCAAGTGTTCGTGGCCGGCGCCGCCAAGAGGGAGAAGAAAATCAGCCGCGGCAACAGCCCTCCGCTCGCCAGGAGAAAACAGGAGAAAGAAAAAGAGTGCCGCCGCGCCTATTGCAAGTGCACAAAAGAGCAATAAACCCATCCGCACCCACAGGTATCAGCTTAGGCCGCGCACAAAATAAAGAAATATGCAGACAGCAGTGGCGACGAGTGAATACAATGCAATCCCAAAACATATCTTTTACCCGAAAAACCAACCGAAAAATAATTTAGTCTTCTCTCGACCACCGCCGAGAAAGGTACGCTCGAAACACACGCTTAAATATTCTGACCAAAATTATTATAAAAACTTATTTGGTTTTTGAAAAATATTTTGAAGTATATGTCAAATTTTTGTTAAAAATTATTGTTTGTGAAGAAATGTAAATTTAAATAATTTTTCAAGAAAAATTTGTCAATTTGAAAGAAAAATAATTTTTGAAAAAATATTTAATTTTGTACTAATTTTTGTCAAAATGTTTTTCACAGCTCATGAATTATGGCTGCAGCCCGCAGCCGAAACATGTAGAGCAGGATATTGTTTTTCTTAAACAATAAAAACTCACAAAAACCCATCGAGGAAAAGCCGAATTTAAATTCAATCCACCATGAATCAACCCTCGATCGTGAACTTCTACTACAAAATAGCAAAAAGTTGCTCTAGCTAGTAATAAAGAACATGTCGAAAATTGGTGATCTCAAAATTTTCAGTTTTTGAGAAATTTCGGATCAAAGGGCAAAATAAGTGGTTTTCTGATCCTTTTTAGTGTGAAAAAATCAATATTAACCTCGATAAAAATGTTCCTGTTAGAGTTAGGAACAAATGCATGATGACAAAAAATGATTGCCTTCACTTGTTCTTTCAAACTATGTATCACACATGGTGACCAGGTCACAAAGGGTCATTGACCCCTGATGACCTGTGACCTTTTTTAAAACATTTTCTTCGTGTGTGACGCATGGATGGAAAGGGGACGGCAGCAGGAACATTTTGATGCCTAGATAAAATTAATTTCTCCAAATACTAAGAATAGTATTTTTTTTCTCAAATTTTTCCTCATTTTGAATAATAAATTTAATAGTTTTTGAATAAATTACAAAAAAAATTAAATCAATACTTCACAAAATTTGAGTGCCTTAAAATCAAATTTGCAAACCTCTCTCCAAAATCGAAAAATGAAAAAAAATCACTCTTTTTTTGTTTTGAAATAAGTTTTTTTACCTTCTTTTTTCCATAAAATGAAATGTTGTTGTTTTTTCTTGCAAAAATGTTGCTTTTTTTGGGACCAATTTACCTGGTTGGATGTTGGTGAAGTTGATGAAGATGAAGTCGTCGCGGTCGGCGGCGCTCTGCTGGTGGAAGAAGCCGGAGGCGTGGAGCAGCTCGTGGGCGACGACGCCCTTGTGGACGCAGCCGCTCCTCTGCAGGTTGACGACCTGGCCGCCGCCCTGCCGCCCCACGTACGACCAGCACCCGGTCGGCCCGCCCTGCACGTACACAAAGTCCAGGTCGCCGATCTGGAACGGCCGGAACTTGAAGCACGACCCCTGCTCGATCATGTCCATCCCCTCGCGGATCGTCTTCCTCTCCGCGTCGTCTGAAACCGAAAAACGCTTGCTCGTCATTTCAAAACTCTTCTTTTTCTTAAATTCAAAATAAATTGGTTGAAACTTCATTTCCAGAGCATCCAACGTTTGAAGAATAAAATTTTTGTCTCAGAGTCTGGTAGAAAATTATTTTCAAGATGCCTTTTGATTTAGAGTTTTTAAGGTCAGTTTTTTTTTAAACAGACGCTCTTGGCTCCTAATTTTAATGGAATTTATTTGTTCCTCCGAGTTTAAGATGAAATAGTACCAAAAGATTTTTTGTTTTCAAATATCCTTTTCTACAGATTTAAAAAAATCATCCCGGTTTATTTTCTTTTTTTCTCTCAATTTCATTCCAATTAAATTTATGTAATTTCATCAAACCAATGAAAAAATTGGCAAAAAGATTTAAATACGAATCTTATTTCCGTGACGAGAGTAATTTTAAACAATAAAAACAGCTTTGATTCGAGTGGATACTGCGCCGCTGGACGGACGCGTCGAGCAGGCTGCCTACCCTGCAGGTCTCGTTCGCAACTCACTGAACATGGGCTCGAGGATGTAGGGGATGGTGGCGTCTTTCCAAAGGGTTTCCGGGTCGCTGACCACGTTGCGCGACCTCGGCGCGTCCTCCATGATGTCGCCCTCCTTCAGGCCCGACAACTCCCACACGTTGGTCGCGTCGTTCGGATTCCACGTCGACACGATCCCGGCTGCCAAAAATAAAATATATAATCAAAAGTTGAGAGACACAAAAACGGAATTGTTGATTTTTATTTAATTGTAGGTGAAGATATGCTTGAATTTGGTCAAATAGGTGAAATGTGTTAGATTCTAGAACTTCAATTTCAACTTAAAACTTGAAAATTGCATTCATGATTGAAGGAATCTGAAATCTTGGATAAGATTTTAGCGAAAAAAAATTTGGCCTGGGATGAAACGCAACCAAACAAATCAGAAACAATGAAATATTTGCTGACAATTTTGGCAAATATTTATAGAAAAGTATTCCAGAGACATAAAAATGCAAGATTTCAACAACAAAATCTTTAATTTTACTTTTGTTTTAAAAATTTAATAAGAATTCTAAAATGAAATAAATTTAAAAATCGAATTCTGTTTTTCCTCTCTTAATCAGAAATTTAAATGTTCCGACTTTTGAATGATTTAGTTGCTTAAAATATCAGGGTCTTTAATTGCACATTGAAAAAAATTTTTGGATAAAACGGAGATCAGTAAACAAAGAGAGCCGAAATTGATATACCGATGAGGTTGGCCTTGTAGTCGGGCGAAAAGTAGCCAGGGTGCAGAACGGGCGGCAGCGCCGGGAAGTCCTCGGCAGGGTCGTTCAGGTCGGCGGAAGGACGCGCCAGGGTCAAAACTGCACCGCCCGCCAGGGTCAGAAGGGCCAACAGGACGGCGGCCATCGCTGCCAGCAAGAAAATAAATAATGAGTTGCAAAGTGGCCGCGCCGCTTTTATATGCGTCCGAGGGCCAAAAATGCAAATCAACCCTTTATCAATTCGTCGCAACAGGAAGAGGAGGGCCTTCCAGTTTAAAATTAAGTTGCTAATTTATTTTAATCATTTTCTTTGCTAATACTTTGTTTGACGTTTGATTTAAAAAGGGAAAATCACCTGAACTCAAATTTAAAAAAAAGATCCAGGAATGAAAACTAATTTCATTGCCAACCGAAAAAAATTTGAAATTTTTATTCAATTAAATGGTTTTCATGCACTATTTTTGTTAAATATTTAAAGTATTTAAACAATTGCAAATAGCAAGTTCGACTCAATTTTTATTTTTAAGAATTAAATTTATGGATTTAAACAGCTATTTTCATCGGCTGAATCCTAAAATATCTAAAAAAAATATATTAAAATGTTCGTTTTGATGGACAAAATTAAATGAAATATCCATTAATTGTTCTAGAATTTGAATACATACCGACGAGGTGGGTCGTATATTGGTGGCGGCCGCGGTCGGACTGAAGGCAATAAATGCCCTTTTGCGGCGATAAAAAGGAAAAAGTGCGAGGAAGATAATGCGTGAGGCGCGGCAGGTGCGAATTATGCAACTGTTGGTGCGCGGCCGACGCGAGGGAAGCATAAAAAATGGGGCACACCGATAAAATTCCAACACATTCCTGTCAACAATATTGCATTTTAACTTCAGAAAAACATTTAATTTCATCAATCATTAATTTTTAATATCTTTCTTGAGATTGAATTTTAATGTTAAATAAAATTTTTTAATTCTTTTCATTTTGAAATAGTTTGTCGATCGGCTTGGATTTATTTCCAAAGGCCGAGAAAGTGTCACTGCTTCTTTTACTATTATTACGCGCTTGATTAAACTAATCTCGCGGCGAGTTTGAATTGCAAAAAATCAAAGCGCAGCGATAAATAAAAGTGGCGAAGCAGGTCACGGTGCGTCGAGAGAGCGATTGCAGCAGCGTCGCGCGCCTTTGAATTTCGGTGCGATATGAAAATAAAGTTGATGTGTTTTGCGATGATTAGAGGTGGTCGTCGGCCTGGCTATCAATCGGAATGCAAATATTTACTCGCGCCGACGCGACTGGTTATTGAACCTCCCCGAAGCTCAAAGGAAAAAAAAAGAAAGTTCAATAAGCGCGGCGGAGCCCCGCGGGGGCACCGAGTGACCCAATCTGTTTGCCTATCCTTTCTATTCAAACACAAATCTATCACCAAATCGGTATTTTGTTGTTGTTCCAATTTAAATTAAATTAATAACCATAATTTTTCTCTTTTATTTTATTAAAAATATAAAATTTCATGCTGAATTTTACAATAAAATTTTACATTTAATAAAAAATATCTTTAATTAAGCAACAGGAATAATAATTTTGATCAATCAAATCCAGAATTATGAAAATTGCATTTTGTTTCAGTTTCTTCTACAAAGTTGATTGGTTCTTGAGTTTTCTATTCAGTGCTGCACCCAAACGCACGTCTTGCTAACTATTTTACTTAAAAATTTCAAGAAAAATTTCTAACATATTTAATTGTTTCGATTTTTTTCATGCAAAACCGTTTTTAAAGAATTAAATTTAAGAAAATGGAATTAATTCTGGGTGAATTTTGAATAAAATGCTGGTAATTTGAGCAAAAAATCGGCGCCCGTGTGGAAATGAAGAGAGAGCTTGCGAGGGCGAAAAAGGTTTGATTTTTGGCGGCGGCGGAGCGGCCCGTCCTTGTGACGTCACAAAGGTGAATGACCGGCGCGCAGGTGGGCAAGGCGAGCTTGGTTACCCTAGAAAGCGGCTGCTTTTCGTCACTCCTATGCACTCCCAATTCCCACTTCGTCCGCGCCTCAATTCACTTGTTCGTCCGTTCGCAGAGACAATTTTTTTTTTTAAATTTCCGGTCCATTCAAAATCTCTCCCGAATCAGGACGAAATTCTGGGCAAAACAGTGAAATTTGATTTTTCACATTCATTGGGAATTTCGAGCTAAATTAATGAAACACTTAAAAGGGAAATCAAATTTAGGCACAAAAATGTATCAAAGCTCATTTCGTTGTGAATAAAAATTAATTAGAATGTCGGCCGACAAAATCTGTAAAAAATTGAACTCTTTTCGTCCAGAAATATGATTATCAAGGCATAAATTTTTGAACAAGAAATATTGAATGCAAATAATTATGTATTTTTTTTGCACTCTGTTCATTTGGGCTTCAATTATAATTTTATGTACATCAAATTCATCTAGAAAGGGTTCTCTTGAAGCAATTATTTAAAGGTTATGATTGAGTTCTATAGAGTTCACATCATTATTTTTGTCCTCAGACCTGATAAGGACAAAATATGAAGAAGATTATTAATTTTATTAAAATATTTTTAAATGTTGTGCTACAATTATGTAAATTAAAAGTTGCAAGAATATGAAAGGTGAAACTATTTCTTAGTTTTTGAATAAAATTTTAATTGTAAATTCAAATCTCAATTCCACTATAAAGTTTAAACAAGCTTTTTTTTTAAATTCAACTCACTCACAAGACTCAGATGTTATTGCATTGGCATTATTTTTTTTGTTTTCTTTTTTCCTGAAAAAATCATCAAAGCCGAAGAAATTAGAGCCAAATCGGATGTTTCTTGTTCCTTGTACCGTGCAGAGGCGAAAAAGCGCGGCTGAAAACCCGCCAATTCCTCTCGCGTCACGGGCAGCAAAAATTATTTGCTCTCTTTGCCAACTTTACAAAAAATAAAATTGCCGTAAAATTTGCACTTTTTCTAGTCTTAACAGCCAATCTTCCATTTATTTTTATGTTTCTAAAGCAATAAAATATAATTAAGACATTTTATATAAAAACAATCATGATTTTGTACGTATTAATTTGAAATTTTGTTTGGTTGGTACGAGCTGATTTTCTTCCGGTTCTCACATGTTCAGTCAAATCCGGTGTTTTGCTCGGTGTTGATCGTTGATCAGTGATTTCGGACAAAAATGTGACTTTTATCCTCAAGAAAGTGGTACTTGCGGGCCGTGACCTTTCGTAGCGACCTGCGGAGGTCAGGAAGGAACGTTCCAAGATCTGAGCTGCAAACGGTCCCGGTGTCGACCGGAAAAGTCGCCACGAGGTATGCACATGCATCTTGAGACTGCGATTTTTGTTTGGACAAGGGACCTGCTCAGACCTGCTGCTCTAGAATTTCGTTCAGTTGTCCTGTCGGGAAGGTCAAAGGGCGGCAGGCGTGAGTGGAAGGTCGGCCAGGCCAGCAACAGGCGTGAATTTCGACTGAAAAAAATCTCGCTCTCCGAAATCAATTTGTTCATTTTATGTCCTCCGAATGAGAACTGGAGGCTTTTCATTTTGGATTTGAATGGGTGGGTCCGAATATCAGAGAAACGATTCTAAAACGATTCTGCAGAAACGTTTCTCGAGAAAAGATTCTCGCGCAAGGATTCTCCGCAGGATCGTTTCTACCTTTAAAATTCAACTAAAGAATCGATCCTTGAGAATCTTTGCGCGGGAATCTTTTCTTGAGAATCGTTTCTCAAGAATCGTTTCTAGAATCGTTTCTCTGATATTCGGACCCACCCAATGAATTTTCAAAACATAAGGCTGATTTTGTTTTGCTTTCCAGAGGTGAAGAATCGTGGAGGAGACAAAGGGTTTAAGGGTTGAGATGGTGCATCCAAGTGTCTCCGCCTAATCACCCGACCTTCTCGGATTCCTCTCGCCTGATCTCAGCACCCTGCTGTGTCCATTCAACTGGCGTGTCAAGCCTTGATGCCTTAAAATTCAATCTCCAAGGGTAAAAATTATGAAAATTAGATTTACTGCAAAGTAAAACGTTTCAATTTTTAATCTAATGCAACAAATGTTGCTACTCGTCTCTTTTGCATTTGCATCCACTAAATTTTGTTTACATCAATTCAATATTGTTGTATTAATTTGAAATGATTTCACAGCTCGTTGGTGCTGAAGAGGACGCAGAGGTCGAAATCAAATGGACCTTTTCAAAAACAGCCACCAATCAAATGAATCAACCAGGTCGCAGGACATCCTGGTCAAGGCCAGCCAGCGCAGACCTTCCGAAAGGTTAGTGATTTTCCTTTTGACAACGTTTTCAGCACTTAATGGGCTGCCTTTTTATGAAAATCTCATGAATTTTACTGCGTCGGTCAGTATTTTCAGATTATTCCGAATTGATTTTGTCACATTTTATGTTTCGAATAAATGCAAGCGTTATTGCAATTATGCACTCCAGAAAGTAACTTAATAGCCAAAATTTAAAAATTTGGGGTCCATATAATGGCCTAAAATTGATTGTCAGAATTGTTTGTAATTTGATAGAAAACGAATCGTTAAAAAATGCAAAGTCAATAATTATATTATTTTTCGATCTTAATGAAAACGCTGGAATTTCTGAGTTTTTAATTGAAAACTTAAAACCCAACACAAATTATGATTAGAGGAGGTTGGAATTATGAAAATGAAATAATTTCCTAACGCTATAGCGCTTATATTTTCATTATCAACAGGTGAAAATAAGAAGAAATTAAACTTAAATTCTTCATGTTGGGTTCTTTATTTCTCTCCAGCTTTCTGGAAAGTTAAATTAAGTGAAAATTGATGGAAATGCTAAAATATTTCTGGGAAATTTGAGTTTAATACTGTTGATTGCTTAGACCAACGCCTTTTTAAACAAGTATTTGAAGCAAACCTGCAAATTCTATATTAATGACTTGAAACTTTATTATGTTTTATTTTAATTACACAAAAATTACCATGACATTGTTTAAAATATAATTTTCCGCGCTGAAAAATATTCAATTTTTTGTAAGAAAAAATTGCAACGATCGAAAGCTAATGTTGCACGAAACTTTGCCAATTTGAACTGCAGTGGCGAATAAGAAAGAAAGGTGTTAATGGACTCTAGGCGCGCGTCTATTATTAAATTGTATACTTTTTAATTACGCTCTCGGTGCGCGCGCGAGAGAAAGCGCTGCTGCACTATTCGTCTCTCTCTCTCTCTCTCTCGTGGAAAGCAGAAGAAGAAAAGCCGAGTTTGCGGCGCCGACCTTGTGGTTCGTCGACCTGTAATTGGGTTCAAGTGGAGGAGATCAAAGTGGGTCCTCAGGTGATTTCAAGCAGTACTTTTGCACCAGCGTGAAAAGAAAATGCAAATCATTATCTAAATTTACAGAAAATGGTGTAAAAAGCAGTTTCCAAATTTTTATTTTTTCGTGTTGCAGGATTTTTTTTTTTTTTTTTTTTTGCTGCGGTTGGGACGAGAAATTCCGAGGGGCGTGTTTGTCCTTTTTTTGTTGCTAGGGAGGAGAGAATGCTTCACCGTTGCAGGGGATGGAAATTTCTCCCTCTGAGGGGGATGAACCGTTATGTGAGCCGCGGCAACCCCCCTCGCATTTCTTTTCCCAGAAGCGAGACGCGGATTCCGAGAATGCAATTCCGGCAGCTGCGCCCGACCAGATTGGATTTCTTAACAGGGAGAGAAGGAAACAAAAATAAAAACTCCAGTTGTTGCGCGGGGAAAATTTATGGAAAAGCAAATTCCTTTCTGTCTTTTGCAAAAAAAAATTGTCGATTTCAGTTCCAAGGAGACAATTCAAGTCATTGGAAGAGCTGAATTTTTTTTTTTTTTAATTAAGAGATTTTTTTCTCTCAAAATTGACCCAATTAAAATAGATTTTACCAACATAACGTTCAATTAAGATGAAAATTAAAATCAAAATGCCAGTGAACATCAAAAAAGTTACTCAGTTTTCATAAATTAGTCAATTCTTGGCCTCAAATCTTTTGAAAAGAAACAGAAATTTTGAGTACTTGGCAAAGAGAAAAAGTGCAGTTTGAGGTTAATTTTGAATCAAAACTCGTGGAGAGAAATCTGTGCTACACGTGGAGCAGCCACACGTGTGTTTTTTTTTATTTTTCTGGACCGCGTTATTAAATCTTTCAAAACGCGGCCGCTGCTGCAGCGTGACTTACTCGCTCGCGCGGCGACAAAACCAATTAAATGGTCCGAAAATCATCCAATTAAATCTGCAGCGAAATGAAGCAAGAATTCGTTGCTCAACAAAGAAAGAAAAAAAGAATCAATTGGAAACGACCTTTTGAATATAAATATATAAATGTGGACCGCGGCGAGCGAGCGATCGAGGGTCCTTCGGAGCAGCCAGAGCATCTTTTTCTCAGCTGGTGGAATACATGATATGGGTCAGCATGTCACTTGCACGACAGGTCGACGACCGCCCGAACAACAGCCTTTCAATCGCTCAATTTGTTAAAATAAAAACAAGTTTTTCCTTTAATTATTCAGAAATCTCCAAATTCGGATATTTCAATTGAAATCTTTTATTGTTAATTTTTGCGTTTAAATTCATTTTTATAAGGAAATAAAACTGATATTTAAATTTTCCAGTAACTTTTTAATAATTTTTTGAAAGAACTGATTCAACTTGGAATAAATTTAAATTTCTAAACTTTTAAGAAATTTTTACTCTGCCTCATTCCAAAACTTTGAATTTTAATTGAGAAATTAGCAATTTGAATCTAAATTATTCAAATTAATTTTTGCCATTTCATATCATAATCCGTTTTGATATTAATTAAATTTTCTCCTGGAATTTCCCCTTATTTCCGTCACATTTGTTGTTTTCACCCCCAGAGCGCTTTTGTATTTGTTGCTATGCGCGGCGCGCGGCCGTTGATATGTTTTCTTTCTTGGGTCAGCGTCCTTTGCTTTGATTTCTCCTGCTGCACGCGGTTGGCAAAATATAAATATAATCGTCTCCCTGCGCCTGTGTCGCGCGCGCATCAAACTTTGAAGTCTCGCTCGCTCCTCACCTTTCTCCCGCGAGCCAAACACATTGCAATTATTGTGGAATCAATGACCCCTGAATATCAATATCAATTGGCAAATCTCTCGCGTTTTGCTCTAGGAAGTAGTGCTTTTTTCTGCCGGCCACCAATAAAAAAATAAATCAAAAAAATCAAACACCAGACGTACTTTTTATACCTTCGGGAGAATCAAATTAATGCTTATTGCTAAAAATATATTAGTAAAAAAAACTTGTCATTTCGAATGAATAGAAATAAAACTATTATAAAATTTAATTGTTATTGCTTTTTAGTAAATGTTATTTTGAAACATTTCATTTCCATCGTTTTGCTTCATTTTGATAAAAAAAACTGGATTATTTTCACAGCCATTCATCTTCGTAAGCAAATAAAAGATTGATTTTTTGAAGAAATAAAGAAATTTATTCATTTTTTAGCTCTAGCGGAAATCATTTAAGAAAGAAATGTTTCAACCGAAACTTTTAGAAAATTTAATTTTGGGCATAAATATGTTTAAAATTTTGTCCTTAATCCGAACTATCCAAAGTGAAATAAGTTGTTAAAGTGGAAATTTTGAAAAAGGAGGTTTTCTGCTTCAACAATTGCCTAGATGTTTTTCTATTTCTTTTATAAACATGAGACCAACGCCAATCGATAGGAAATTTAATAAGCTTTAAAAACTTTACCAATTTCACTTAATTGGGGCAATTTTTGGCGCCAAAAATTTTCATTCTTTGAACAAAGGTTTGTTATTTTTTATTAGTTTTTTAGCTGTAGCTTTTCTCGAGAGAAATGTTTGAAACGAGAGTTGAAGAAAATTTAATTTTGCACACCTTTTGAATGTAACATTTTCTTCTAAATTCCAAGCAAAAAATAATTATAAAAACGGAAAGCTTGAAAAATGAGTTCTTCTCTTTTTGGACCATAAAAAAAATTGATTTAAAAATATCAACTTTCTCAAAATGAACTCTAAATCTTTTGTAAATATCAATTCTGTTATTTTAAAAACTTTTTCGTCTTTGCAAATTAACAATTTTTTTTATTGTTTGTTAACTTTTTTTGTTTTAAAAATAAACAAAAGTTACAGTTTAAAATGAAATATTTTGCTTAATTGGTATGAAGAGTTTTTACTGTGAAATTGAATATTTATTTACGTTTTATCGAAGACAAATCGTGCAACAATGTAAAAATCCTTGATCTCAATTGCTTTTGCACTTAATTATATAAATCTGCTTGTTCGCGGCGATCGAGTGAGATCATCTTCCATTTAACATGTACGAGCCTAGCTTTTTTCCACACAGCCGCATTTTCCACCTCCTAACGATTTGCATAACCTCTTCTGTATGTCATTTCATTGCTTACGCCAGCAGCTTTATTTATTTTTTTCTTCCTCCGACCGAGACTTGAGAGAGGAAACCTGCGGCCTGTATAAAGAAAAGCAGCAGGACGAATTGGAGGAGAGAAAAAGAGAGAGAGAGAGAGAGAGAGAGAGAGAACTTATATTATATATTGTAACCTAGATTACGTGACATACAACCTGGTCTATTGCACTCCTCGTCCCGCAGCTTTAAATTATGACAAAGGATTATTTTAATGTGAATAGATCAACCTCAGGCCAGCAAAATCTCGCATGAAAATTAATTGTTTAGGACATAAATATATCATTTTGATGACCAGAAAATTAGGGGTTTTTAAAGGAAATATTATTGGAATTTAACGGTTCGTTTCTTGTAAATATTCCACAAAAATAATTTAATTGCATTTTAAGTCTATGAAAAGAATTTTGGCAAAGATGTATGACCCACTAAAATGTTCCTTGGCAACCCTTCTACAGATTTGGCACCAGAAAATTAGGGGTTTGAAAGAAAAGGTAATTTGAAGGATGAAAAAACGTTTTTCTAGTTTCCGAGAAAAATTTAGCTAATGTTTGATTTAATCGATTTCTGCAAACAATATCATAATTAGTTAGGATTTTTGCTTGAATAATATTCAAATAATGTAAATTTTTAATATTTTTTTCTCCAAATTCCAATATGGCCGCTGGAGATAAATTCGGATTTACGAAAAGTGATTTCAAATTAATTTTGGTGCAGATTTTTTTAATTTTCTCGGTGCGAGATTCGAGCTGACGAACCAAAGCATCTTTTCTTAACTGGCACCAATGTTCTAGGTCAAAGGTCATTGACCCTGGCAAAAGGTCAAAATATGAAGTTTTTACACTTTGAAAATAGGCAACCTGA